TTCTACCCATATTCAGAACCAGTAGCTCTAAGAGATAAAGTTAAGTAAATTACTATCATGTATTTAGTATCTCTTCTTCTTTATCTTTTTATTATACAACAGACTGTGCTGAGTATAATAAATAGAGTTTGCCATAATAAAAATCAGAACAGTTTCTTTTTCACTTACAGTATTCTGAATAATTTGTTTAAACTAAGCTTTTTATACTACTATACAAGCTCTAGTTTCTCTACAGCAGTATTACTACTGGCACTTCTCTGTTTCTGTCTGTTAATATAATTAATAATCATCTTTCTTCTGCTGTAGAACATTCTCTCTATATTATCTGGCTGCCATTTTACTTTATACAAGATATCTAAACTCTATACTCAAGAGCTATTCTTCAGATTAACTGTTCATTTCTGCTACAGATCTGAAACTATAGTGATTGTACAAAAAAGCTGATATATGGCTGAAACAGAGATACTAGCAGAGACTGGAGCTATCTCTAATAAACAGACTGAAGCTTGTGCTTCTCTAAATACTGTAGAATTACTGTTTTTCTCTTTATCTTTATCTTTAAAGACAGCAGCTGCTGTCATTATTTTTTAATCAGCAGAAAATACTTATACAAGAAAAAAAACCTGCTTACTAGTCAGTACTTCTAACTAGTTGTTAATTTTTTGCAGTTCTGTTTCCAGAGCAGTATATAAATAACCACAGACTATATCTAGATTCTGCTGTATAATATACAGCTGATCTATTATTGTAAACACTATCTGCTGTAGCTATATTATATATAGCTTCTTTTTATAAGTGTTGGCCATTCAGACTATTTTTGCAAACTAATAATAGTTCTCTCTTATAAATACAGAGCTGATCTATAGAGAATAATTAGAGAAGAGAGACTGAAGAATAACAGAGTCTTACAGAAGAACTGTACAGAAATAATAAAGCAGATATAGAAGCTCTTAAGCAGTCAGATTATCTCTATCTAGCTGCACAGCAGAAGATTCTCTAAGCTAATCTCAAGAATTACTCTAATCTGAAAATCTTCTTAGCTCTAGTCTTTAAAGACAGAAGTTAGAGTTCTGAATATTATATAACTCAAATCACTGCATTTAGTTATTAACTTAGAATCAGACAGCACACTCTAGTAACTTAGATACAGACACTTTAGTCTACAGCAGATAAAAGTTTCCAGATGTGCAGAAGTTAAAGTTAGCTATAGTCTGTACAAACTTTCTGAGAATATTAGTTAGATAGTACTGGCTGAGAATATTACTGTTTTATCTTTTAGCACAGTAAATCTGACTCTTACTGATTTTAATTTGCTCTGCATGTCTGACTTCAGCAGCTTACTTAATATAAGTCTTCTTTAGACTAGAAAGCTCTGTTCCACTGTAGATGTATTAAATTTAGTTTAGCTGAATCTTATATAACAGAAGCTTTCTTACATTATCTCTCTTGATTAGATGTAGCTGATACCAGTTCTGACAGTTATAAAACTAAGATAATGGCTCTCATATAATATTTCATCAGTAGAAGAGATAAAAGACTATCTGTACTATAGTACAGAGCAAGAAATTACAATAGTATATTACTGTAGCATATTTAATTCAGCTCATCTGATTAGTCTTGCCATTTCTTATAATCAAAATTATAAGAAAGTAAGAAATAAAGTCTTTATTTGTTAGCTTCAGAGTAAAGAGATCAGCTAGCTGTACTATACAGCAGAATTCACTGTGGAGAAGCATGCTGTAGCTTATTAGAAAGTCCACTATAGTGCAGAGATATAGCTCTACTAACTGATCTTTTTTGAACTCTGATCAGCTCTGCCAGCAGTACTTAACCAGTTATATAATATTCTTCTTATAATATTTATTCAGTAGAGTTCCTGCACTGTAATTTATAAACTCTGCTTTCTTGCATTTATACTTCTGTCTTGAATAAGTTTGAAGCAGAATCCAGATAGCCTGGTTAACTGAATAAGAATGAGAGTTTATATAATAACTTTATTAGTAGCTTTAGAGATTAACAATTGTAGTTTTATAGATCTTGATAAATAATTAGCCCAGAGTTTGCACAACAGGCTCTTTATTCTTATTTGTACAGTTGCAGAAATAATAAGATCTTTTGACTGGACAGTTAATTATATATTCAGATAGAAACTAGAGCAGCTTCTGCTCTGTTATCAGCTCTTTATTCTGAAAGCTCTTTATTCAGTAGAAATGCTAGCAAGTAGAAGCCAGAGAGTATCAGTCAAGCTAATATAGATATCTTATATAGTATAAAAACAGAACAGAAAAGAGCAAGAATTAACAAAAGAATATATATAATATAGATATCTACTTTTTACTTCTTCTGACACAACTTATACTGCATCTGGATCTTCTTTAGCTGGGCATTCAGAGCACTATCAAGTGCATGCTATACACATGTCTCCATTTCCATCATCAGAGCAGACTGGCTGTTCAGAGTTGAAGTGATTATACTGTCTAGTGTTGCAGAGAGTATGTCAATTAATGTAGATTCATCAGAAGCAGAAGCTCCTGTACAATACAAAATGAATTGAGATGGAGCTGAATTAGTGATCTTGATCACTCTGTACTGATTATATAATCTACCTCCCACCCTCCCTGGTTGTGAGGATTGTACGTGTGGATCAGCGTGACAATGAATCTCTAGGGGGAATATACATGGAAAAGAGTACACAAGGTAAAAGGTCTGTATTCTGGCAACTATGTACAACTTGTAAACAAGATTGCCACTGGCTCCCAGCAAGAGATTCATGCAGTGACAGCCTTTTATGTGTGCTTGTGAGCATGTGACTTAGTGCCTCACAAGGACACATGCAACTCCCAGCAGCTTGCAAGCCGAGCTCTCTGGCCCTCACGGGTGCTGTTTGTCTGTGTAAGGGGTTCGCGGCGAATCCTTACACTGGTCTAAACAGGCTATTTGGCAGCTTGGCAGTAACCAGGCAGTAACCTGGGTGATCACCCACACTAAACCCCTCCATCTATTTGCTAGATAATAGATAGTAAGTAGCTTTTAGTAGTGCAGTGGAGCCTACCCAGTCACATTTATTTTAGCTTCACCAGATGCTAAATGGACTTACTATCTCTACCTAATTATTAGTTATCATTAGGTAAAAGATAGTAAGTAGCTTAGTAGAGCTATAAGCATACATGGGTTGCCTTTTACACTGCAACTTTGGTGGGTAAAAAAGTGTGCTAGTTGAAGGATTCAAACCTCGCACCCTAGAGTGCACCTGCAGCTCATTTTACCAGTAAGCCACCTGGTGAAGAAGATAGACTAGTTAAATAAGTGCTGAATCAAGCTAAATGTGGAATCCCCCCTGGCCTGTATTGGTTGAAGATACAGCTAATTATCCTCTTACTATATGAGATTCTATTATCTCCACCAACCTCTCTCTATGTGTTGGCAAGAACTAAGTGTTAAATCTAGTAACATGCTGTCTGAAGCTCTAAAGCTGCTGTTCCAGACACTATAATTATGACTGTGCTAAGTGCAAAGATCAGCAGATTATGAAGAATTAATTTAAGATCTTGAGAGATACAATTACTAAGCATGGAATTCTGCCAGAGAATATATATAACTTTGATGAGACTGGCTTTGCTATAGAACTCTGTACCACTACTAAGATTATTACTAGTAGTGAGTGCTATAGCAGAGCAAAGCTTCTATAGCCTGATAATTATAAGTAGATAACTATAATTGAAGCAGTAAATACTTCAAAATAAGCTCTATCTCTCTATATTATTTTTAAAGATCAGAGCTTGTTAAAAGAGTGGTTTGAAGATCTTTCAGAAGACTATAGACTAGATACTAGTTCAAATAACTGAACTACTGATGAAATAAATCTTAAATAACTTCAATGAATCTTTATTTCTGCAGCAAATCTATACAGAGTTAATAGTTTTATTCTTCTTATTCTGAATAAGTACAGCAGTTATTTTACTTTAGAATTTAATTAAATTTGCAAGAATAATACTATAATATGTCTTTGCATACTATCTTATTTCTTTCATCTTTTACAGTTACTAGATGTGAGTATTTTCTTAGTTTTAAAGCAAGCATATAGAGATCTAGTTCAGTAGTAAATATAACTTGAATTTAATGTTATTTGAAAAACAGATTTTCTAGATACTTACTTTCCAGCATGCACTGCAGCCTTCAAATCTCAGATTATTCAAAATAACTTTAAGACAGCTGGAATAGTGCTCTTTTGATCTGACTATATTCTCCAGCAGCTGAATATTCAACTATAGATCTCTATTCTCTCATGCAGCAGCTCTAGCAATTCAATTATGTCTTGGGTGCTTCAAATATCTAATAATTCTCAGCAATTACACTGGCAGATGAATAAGATTAAGAGTTTAGTGAAGAATTAGTCTCAAGACTTTATGAAAGATTTTGACTAAATTATCAAGATTTATGAATATAGAATGGTCAGTACCACAATTATAAAGAAGCAATATCAGAATATATTCAACACAAATAAGATAGAGAAGCAAAAACACAAGAGATCTAGATGCTGAATTTAATAAAAAGTAGAAGATTTAACTAAAAAAGAGATTTAAAGTCTTCTAGATCTATCTACAGTATCTGCAAAGTCTGCAGCATCTGTTAAACTAGTAGTTATTTAATTTTGCAATCTCTCATTATCTGAGCCTGCTTCATACTGATAAGCTCCACAATGCTGTAGTAATTGTGATACTCTTGAGCATACAAGATTAAGATATCCTCAACCAAGTGTAATTTAATTGAATTTAATTGAGTGTTGTTGTGTTGAGATAATTTGAATTCAAAACTAACTAGTTGGGATACAGTGGTTTTGGTGATCGGTTCACTTGGGTGATCGGCTCGCTTGGGAATTACTTACATTAGCTTGTTGGCTGATTACCTAAACAGTTGAAACCTCGTGAAGGCTTTTATGTATGGAGTTCTCCGTACTACTCCGTACTCCGTACAATTTCAAAAAGGATTTTTATTTATTTATTTTGGGTTAAGGATTAAATGATACATCTCTGTACCAAGGTTGCAATGCTTAATTGTACACAATCCCCAGCTTATACTCGACTACTATCTGCCTTCGCATAATGCGATGAGTGACACTCCTCGATTAAGATCTGCCTTCCCCCAAACGCCAAAAACGTCTGAAAGGACCCATGGGACGAAGCATTCATATGATAGTGTGTTATCACAGGACGGCACCCGATCGCAAACTGCTCCCAATAAACCCCATCCATCTGTCCAGGGCGATGGCCAAGATGCGAATATTCCCCTAATAGCATTCGACATCATCGACGCCCCATCGCAGCGACTTTATGTTGCAGCCTTCTATGTCTTCCTGAATGCATGGCGTCTGTATGAATACTGGGAATCCTCGGATGACCTTGACTCAACATGGCTTTTTCTCAAATGGATCTCGATCGACGCGGCTTTTTTGTTTGGTCTTCCGGCTCTAAGAATACCGTGGCTGGAATGGGCATTTTCAACATCGCTTGCCGTGTTCCTACTGCATGCGGTTGCGAATGTCTTTTTGATGTTTCACATTCCAGTAACTTTTGCCAAATCCTTTGGTGTATCCTCGCGTGTTAACTCGTTTTGTCAGATCCCGATCGATACGTGGATTGCAGCCGTGGTAAAACTCGCGTATGATAGAGAACTGTCGATATCGGAACGGAGAGTGAAGCCGGCAGACATTCTACACAACTCATCCCTCATTTTGGGAAAGCAAATTATACACATTCTTCCGGAGGGGTAAGGCTTGTGGCATCTGCACATTTTAAACGATTGGACCCTCTGTAATAACAGTGTTCTGGCCAGGTCTGCGATTTTAAATCCACAGCGGTATCCGTTTTGTTTAGACGAGTCACATCCTACGGTAACTCTTCCAATTCGAATAAATCAAACGACCCCAATCGCAATTGAGTTGTTACGATTTGATCTCGAATCTGGCGAAAATGAGACAATTTCAATCTCCCAAAGGCTAGCAAAACAGCTAAAGCGACAAGCAGATAAGTTTCACGTAAAATCGGATCAGTTCAGCCCCCGGGATTTACTATATACTGTTAGGAAGCCTGGGATTTATCGGCTTCAGAGAGTTATAGATGAATCAGGCCTTGAAGTTCATCGCAAATCCCATGACACCCCCGTTGTTACTTGTCCAAGGGCAATTATTCGTGAATCTGCAGTTCATAAATGCAAAGGCGAGCTTTCAAATCTCACCTTGGAAATCCAGGGAACCCCCCCCCTAAAGATTAAGTATAGGCGTATGCTTAATGATGTTGACCACGGGGTATCTTATCAAAGCATTCAGCCCGAAAGTCTTGTCTCCCATCCTGTCGGCCGAACGTATCTCGATCACCCTGATAGTTTGCGGGCTAGCTCACAGACCATCAGTATTCCATTAAACGAATCTCTCAACGCAGGAGGCGAATGGATTTATGCGATTGATGAGGTACAAGATACTTATGGGAATATTGTGAATTATACCAGTATGCGAATCGGTGATTCAGATTCGACAAGGGATGGTCTTCAATCACGGCGATTTTTCGTCCATGAGCGACCTCGGATTTCACTTGCTGGCTGCACTCCTCAAACCTTCCTTAAAGCAGCGAAAGGGGACTCAATCGCACTCCCAGTTCATATCCATTCTTCTGGACGTTCCCAAGCAACTGACACCCCTTTTACCATTGTCTACTCTTTCAGCGATAAGCCTCGACAAAGCGATCACCTTGCACAACCAGAATATCACGAAGTTGTCCTGAAAAACATGGATGATAAGCCGCGCATCAAGGAACAAGGCTGGTATGATATCATTAGCGTCTCCAGCCAGTTTTGTTCAGGGGACGTACTCGAGCCGTCATCATGTTTCCTCCATAATCCACCTGAGCCCCAGTTGTCAATCCGCAAAGAGTATGTCTACGATCAATGCGCGAATCATTCAGTTGGGCTTTTGATAGACTTGGACGTTATCGGCACTCCTCCTTTTAAGATTCGTTATTCCATCGAACATTCTAAGGGGATACAGACGAGAATCCTCTCTCTTGACAGCCTGCGGGGTCACCTTGAATTAACTCCTACCGAGGCAGGTCGATACCGGTACCAATTTCTCGATATATCTGACCTTGTGTACGAAAGTCGGTCGCTGAAAGATAAAATACCGACTTTGGAACAAAATGTGAAGCCTCCAGCATCCGCTCACTTCGTGGGTCCTGTCACAAGCCGGAAGGCATGTTTCGGTGAACCTGTTGCTGTGGATATAATTTTCTCCGGTGAACCTCCATGGGACCTACAATATGAGCTAATTCACGACGGCAAGAGGCTCAAATATGATTTTACAAGCACTGCTGAGGTAGCAACGTTAACAACCGAGCAGCTTCTTAAAGGTGGTGATTATATTCTTGGCCTCGTGAGCGTTACCGACAAATCGAATTGTAGGCGTCCCTTGAACGAGGAAATTAGAATTGAAGCTCGTCTGAAGAGGCCTAGTGTTTCCTTTGGTCAAGTTGATAAAAAGCGGGTTGCCTTTGCTTTAGAAGACAGAAAGGTTGACCTTCCCCTAAGGCTGGAGGGAGAGGCGCCATGGAGAGTGAGGTATCGGAATACCGACAAGACAGAGACAACGCCAGTTGAAAAGGTTTTTTGGAATGAAAATAGTGTGATACAAGTCGACCAGGCCGGAAGATATGAACTCCTGGAGGTCAGTGACGCCACTTGCCCCGGATCCGTTGACAAAGCTGCACAGCTATTCAATGTTTCTTGGATTCCTCGACCTGTCATCGCCTCAATTGATGGCAACTTGCTAGTGAACAGAACTCTTCTCAGGAAGGGTGACGTCTGCGAGGGCGATGAAGATACGATGGATATACAGTTCAAAGGGAGTCCACCTTATAGTGTGAGATACGAGCAGCAGCGCAAAACCAAGTCTGGTGTTACTTCACGCCCGAAGAGTTTGACTGCGGCTTTGAATTCCGCATCCATACGCATGGAAACTTCGAGGGCTGGGGAATATTTGTACAAGTTTACAGATATTGGTGACAACTTGTATAATTTTGAACCCAGCAAGTCGAATCAATTTACGGTTTCTCAGAGGGTCAATCCCCGCCCTTCCGCCCAATTTCAATCTCCAAACCGTATATATGGATTTTGCAGAGAAGAAAGCGACGGAGATGAAAGTATCCCTATAATCTTGGAAGGGATTCCCCCGTTTGCGATAGAGATCGGTGTCAGGCACCATTCAAATTCGAAAACTGATATCCTTTCTATTCCGAATGTCAGTTCCCGTTTGTATAATCTACCTGTCCCTCGGCGGTACCTTGATTTAGGCCAGCATGTGATTACGATACGTAAAGTGCGAGACGCGCGCGGTTGTCTTCGCACGACAGAATATGATGGCTCATCTGTGAGGGTCACAATATCCGATGTTCCTACCATCATTCCGCTGGAATCTAAAGTGGACTATTGTGTCGGTGAAAGACTTTCCTTTTCGTTGTCTGGACATGCCCCGTTCGACATTTACTACACATTTGGCAGTATAAAGAGGAAAGCAACTAGCCAAACAACAAACTTTCGTCGAATCGCTGAAAAGTCGGGCGAGTTCACCATTACCGCTGTGAGTGATAGTGCCAGCGGAAAATGCAAAGCCCATAAGAGCATAACGAAAATTATTCACGATTTGCCGAGCGTCCGAATGAGCCGGGGTAGGACTTCTGTCATCGATATTCATGAAGGAGGGGACGCTGAGATCTTATTTGAGTTTTGGGGAACTCCACCATTTGAATTCACGTGAGCTGCCTTTTGACCTTTGCGCCGCTTACTTCTGCTAACCCCTTACAGCTATACCCGTAGCTCAAATGCGGGTAAGGGATCCAAGCCACAGGTTTTGGATACGAAGCATGACGTATCTTACGAGCATACCAAAACTATCCGCGCGTCTGATGAAGGCACTTATGAAGTCGTTTCTATTAAAGATAAATTTTGTTCGTTTTCTATTTTGAATGGGGGAACAGTCACGAGAAAGCGATGATTATTTGAATAATACAATTTCATTTCCCTAATACTCCGATGAATACTTACGGATTAACTTGGTCCACTCAAGTACAGAGAAGGCCAACCCGTAAATTTCACCTGTTTATCTCCGCCTTAGAAATGAGATCTCCACCAAGGGTAGTGATATCTTTTAAGGTCGTGTCCTTGGCTAAAACTACTGCTTGATCCGTGGCATCCGTATCGGTTACTGGTGCGATCGAGTAGTTCAGCTTCAGGCCAAAGCCCCGAGGTTTTGTAGAATACGGCTTCCAGAGACCTGCAATCACCTTGCACTCTTCATTCCCGTGGAAGAACAAGATATGGCTCCCGTACATACGGTCAAGTTCGCCGAGAAGATGCGTTATCACATCTACTTTACCAGACGATCTCGGTTCCGGAAGATTTTTATACAATTGTTGGCCTCCAGAAGTCGTGCCACTTTGGGGATTGAGATGAAGGACAAAATCATAGTCCTGCAGTAAAGACCGGAAAAGATGAGAAAAGCAAACCTCTACTCCCATCTTCTTGACAAGGTCAAGTGCCGCTCTAGTAAGATTCGAGAGTCTTAAAGCGACAACCTTTGGTGGCTTTCCTCGACGAGTCCAAGCGATACCCTCATAATCCAAACTAGAGGCCACAAACAAGCTGACGGTATTCATAAGTGGATCAATTTTACGCCATGCTGCGAATCGGGTTTTGATATCAGCGAAGTCACTTAGCATTAGTTTGTTGTTAAAGTCGACCACAAGAGGCTCGTGCTGCCAATCCCATTTTGAAATGAGGTACAGGGTATGGAGAAGGCCGTTACCAACACTCGAAGGGGTTGTCCATGGCTCGGGATGGAGGAAAACACGACAGACTAGGAGTTCCAATAATTCCTCGCAGAAGTAAGGTTCGAAAAGATGCGAATTCACCCACAGTTTAAAAGCACGAATAGTAGGCGTCAGGAGCGGGAATCGGGTAGCTAGCGTCTGAATGGCCTGCGTATGCTGAATTTGGTAGGGGAAGAGCCGCTTATGAGCAATAAGAGCTGAAGCAAGGTTTTCTTTTACTTGATCCCCCATATTTCGGCCTCTGAGGCACTTCTCCAGCAATTTTTGTTCGCATTCGTGATATAGACGAAGGCGAAAAGTCAACATATGCGAGAAGCTGATGTCGAGAAACGCCGCGTTTTGGATTCCGCTGTCACTGTCCTCTAAGCCCACTCTACATGGTACGCCACCCTCGGACTGCTCTAATAATTCCCCAATCTTTATCAAGAATGACAACTTTGTCATTTGAATTGCCGCGAGGTCATCAGGCCATCGAGCTGATCCTTCGAACTGGAGAATCACATCGATTGGTTTGGACCAACCTCGGTCACTGGTTGACATGTCAAGTGACGAATGCCGCAGGATAGGGCTCGCACCAAACATTTGACGAAAAGTCAAAGGTAAACCGTGCAGATTGCGAAGCTTGCACTCGAGTGATCTAAACGCATCCAATACTGGTTGAAAGTCTGTTCGAGGTCTCATGACGTCTCGGATGGCCGGGAACTTCTCAGAATCCAAACCTTTGAAATGTATATCATCCGGTAACAAATCCAAATGTCGGCAGAGACTATATGTGATTATTTGACGTATAACTGATCCATCAGATGGGCGTTCCGACCATACCAAAGTTTCAGCGATTGTACCATCCTTGAAACGTCGCAATTCAGCTTTGTCCCCCCAGAACTCCCGAAAATCTGAAGAGGCTTCTTTATCTTCCGCCAGGGGACCGCGGTCGACAATACGATGGCAAGTATCCTGGTTAAGGAGTAACCCTACACCGACAGGTTTAATGTCTAAACCCCCAATGTCTGACTGAATAGGCCACCGAGGGCTATCACTGTAACTAATATGAACGAGCCTCGTCCTGTCTCCGAGGGCTTTTGTGAGCACACCATGGGCAGAGCAGCAGCACGAAAGGATATCCAAGGCCGTCTTCTGGCTTGACTGGGGTCTCAGTGTTAGATATTCATCGAACCTGCAAAGTGGGTAGTCCACCCGGTTGATGAAGATATTATCGAAGTGGTCTAAGAGAGGATCGTTTAGCATGCTGAGAGTGATAACTGCTTCGTGACGAAGTAGTTGATATGACCAAAAGGTCATTTTGAAGAGCAGGTTTACTCCTCGTTTTCCATCAAATAAAACAGGACCGCTTCCCACAGGGAGTTTCTGTTTCATTTCGTCACTGAAAAACACAAAAGGCTTCGTCAAGTCTCTCCCACTTAGGAATTGCACCATGGCTTTGAATAACTGGTACGGATTGTAACTTTTTGAGAAAAGTGCCTTTTCAGTGGTAGATCCATTTTCCAAGAGTAACGCTAACAGAATAGCCCACTCGAAATGGCCAAAACCACCTTGGACAATGGATGTGCCAAATCCACGCTGACGGAGCCAAGTTCGTCCTAAGATGCAGGCATCCCGGAACGCTGGGCACTTGATGATCGCGGCATGCAAGACTCTTGAATACTCAGCAACCGATGACTCCGCGCGAACAGTAGAATTATATACTGAAACAAATTCCGGAAAGCCAGGCTTGTCATGAGTGGGAAAAACGTGTCGTACCTTATGGCGGGTAGCGGTAGTATGGTCCACAGGAAACGTGTCATTTTCGACTGCAGTGATGACCCGCACAATCAACTTTGAGCGACTATTGTTATCGTTCGCCCGTTCGGTAAGTTCAATAAGGATAATAGGCCGCAATTTATCGTCATCTTGGTAAGCGTAGCTGAGATGGAAACCCGGTTCATTGGAGATCTTGATGCCTGCGGCTATACAGGATATGTAATAAGCTCGCTTGTAAATATAACGATAGTTGTAATAGTCCTTTTTTTGTAAGAGACGTTTCGGAATAGTGACTGCAAGGTCGACCGTAGGGTGTCCCAGTCCCTTCACCGCAGTCTTCAGCGCAAAGCTTCCCACAACACTGATTGCTGTCGGCCTAGCGTACTCCAACAAGTATTTCGCGTCGTGGCTAGGTCGCGGTTCAGGAAACGGAATAGCTACTCCCGCTTTTCGTAAATCAACTTCCGCATCCCTTACTGATTTGGCGCATCTAGCTGGGATGCCTTCAATTATCTCCTTAAGTCGCCGTAAGGGTTGCTGAACAAAACGAAGTTGTTTATCGTCATCAGGTCGTAGTTGGTGAAGCAATTCGTCGATCTGCAATTTGAAAAGATTCGACTTAAATTGTCCACTTGTGGTAGCCAATTTCACAGCAGAGGCTACCGGTTGCGACCGGGGGCCATGAATCCCATTTAGGCCATTAGGGCTTGGTGCATCTTTTTGAGGACGGGCTGGCTTCCGTCCATCGCTTTTCTCGTCCCCGTCGACTAGTTTCCTCCTTTTGGCGCTCGGAATCGGCATATATGGATAATTGCTGATTGTAGTCGGGAGCCTAAATCCAAAAGTGCTATGAATCGAAGTGTTGAGGCGTCTGTCCTTTCAAAAAAGCAATCGTGAAACAAAAATATATTTTATCTTTGGTGTATCCATTTTCCCTTTTTTTTTTTTTTTTGGAAGGGGTTTCTGCAAGCAGCTTTTCCTTTTGGGTGCTAGTCCTTGCGCCACTACATAAATTTTCGAATTACTCCGTACCCAACAACTTTTTACCACCCAATAAGTCTTCTACCAGTGCACTTGTCCTTTGAACCAACCTGAACACTTTCTGAAAGCTCCCAAAATGTCCCAGGCAGTAGCATTGGGGGAACCAATTCCGCCAAATACATCTCATGTATGTCAAATACCTATGTAATAGATCTATCATATCATATACTCCCTGTTTTTCAAATTTTCTCAAGATCATCTTATACTATGCTTGTATTTACCTATTGAGTATCTAATCATTACATATGTCGTCTTACATTCTGCGAGGCCGGACATCATAAGGGTCTTGAGTGCAACTTGCATTTGATCTATGCTTTGCTTGCCCCCCTTGATATATAATTGCTATCTAGCACTGCTAACATTTAAACCGTAGGCCGTCAGTGTGTCACTTCCTACTTGGAGCGCAAATGTGGGTTATGAAGAAGGCCAGGATTGGGTCATAAAAGTGATGAGGACCGGTTATCCACGCTTCTTTATGCACACAAACATCCGGGAGCTGGTATTTCATATCATCCGCCAATTTGGACATCCAGGCGAGTCGGCGATGCCTTTTCCGTCGCTTAAGACTGCATCTCGATGCCACGATTTTATGGTGTCGCGACTCCCTCTTGACACCCACGCAAAAATTCGTGTTGTGAGTTTGATGGTAATGCCACTCTCAGCTTCTGAGACGTCGAGTGACGAACAACTCTCAAGTGTCACTGCGAAGCTTTACTGCATTTTATATCCTAAGATATATAACCACCTCGCCAAACAAGTGTGGCAGCATAGTGGAGATGGAATATCTAGTCGCCGGAGCGAATTCTGCCTGAAGCTGCTTGCAGATGGGTATGTGCTTGAACACAACCATTCATGCAAGGTGCCAATAAACATGCGAAAAGTCAACAAAGGACCTAAAAGGTATCAGCGATGTGATTCGGGGCCCAATGTAGCGAAGGAAACATCATTTCAAGTGCAAGGTTCAGCCAGCTTGGAAACCTCACACTCTGAAGGTTGTGAGTTTGACCAGTTCATTGAAGAGCGTTTTGGACGCAATCTCAGCCCATTGTTGGCCAACAACGCGAAACTGGCAGTGAAAAGAAGAATTGCTGGTTCTCTCACTGCAAATGTTGAGCTCACAGAAGCCCTTAAAAGCTCCTCAACTAATGGACGAATTGCGGGGTTATCGGAACAACATGTTTACTTGTATCCCACCGGGATGAGTTCGATATTTAATTCCCATCAGGCACTATTGATGGCCCGTGGTCAGCTGAAGAGTATTTGTTTTGGATTTCCCTATATTGATACTCTGAAAGTTTTAGAAAAATGGGGCCCTGGAGTTTTATTCTATGGCCATGGATCTTCTGAAGACCTCGACGATCTTGAACAACGCTTAGAATTAGGGGAAAGATACCTAGCGCTGTTTACCGAATTTCCGGGAAACCCATTGTTGAAATCCCCCGATCTCGAACGTATCCAGAATTTAGCTTCCAAATACGATTTCGCTGTCGTCGTGGACGAGTCCGTGGGAAACTTTATTAATGTCAATGTTTTGCCTTATGCGGATATCGTTGTCAGTAGCTTAACGAAAATATTTAGTGGCGACAGTAACGTCATGGGTGGAAGCGCTGTCTATAATCCCCACGGCCGGTATTATCAAGCGCTAAGGGATATTCTTGAAAGGGAATATGAGGATAATTACTGGGCAGAGGACGCTATTTTTTTGGAACGGAACAGCCGCGACTTTGTTTCGCGGATCGAAAGAATTAATGCTTCGGCGGAAGCTCTCACTGCCCGGTTAAAAGCGTCTTCACTGGGTTCGTATCCTCTGGAATTTAGAACACCGGTTCTTCTCACTGATTCGTGCATAGTCAAGGACCTTTATTATCCTAAATACAGTTCGACAATGCCGCTTTATGAAAAATGTCGAAACCCGAACGGTGGCTATGGAGGATTGTTTTCTGTAACATTCAATTCGACGGATGCAGCTATCGCTTTTTTTGATGCCCTTGAGGTGATGAAAGGCCCAAGTTTAGGCACTAATTTTACACTAAGGTCCGTTTGATTCTCTATTGATTTGGGTCCATTGAAGCCTAACCTATTTCAAAAGCTCCCCATACACATTATTGGCGCATTATGGGGAATTGGAGTGGGTAAGTATCGCCCGAACATATTTAGTTCCTTTCCAGCCTAATCGTCCGAAACAGGCAAATTCCTTTGGTGTCGCTTCAGATTTAATCAGAATCAGTGTCGGTTTAGAAGATACCCATATACTTGAATCGACCATTGATCGAGCTCTTGACACCCTAAGGCGTACCCAAGCTGCCGAATTCTGATCTTGCACTCTTATCCCCTTGTGCGTCTATGTGGCATTTTTTCGCGTAAGTATAGTGTTGCCCTTGGACTGAACCGATCTGTCGTTTTGTTGTTTTCACACCTAGGACTGTTGTAGTAGCAGACATGAGACCAGATACTTGTTGGTATAGCATGATGAATCAACTTCACAGTATATGTTCGGCTATCCGCCGAAAGTGAGAAATTGGACTTAATGATGCCTTCAACAGCAAATGCCAAAGCATGGGGATGAAGTATACAAGAAAATGCGCTTGAAATCAAAGTTAAAAAAAAAAAAAAAAAAAATCAAAACAGATGTATATACAGCAAGACCTGTTCCACGCCATGTCCCGGTATGAGCAGAATATTTAGAAAAGGAAAAGGCCAAGGAAATAGTAAAATGAAGGAGAGACAGAAGGGAATAGCCAGGCCCAAATGCAAATTAAAATGTGATAAGAGCGTACTGTGATAAATTGATAGACATCCCGCCCTATGGACGAGACCACGGAACTGTATGCAGGTTATTTCTCTGAACCCATCAAGGCAATGCAGATCACCTAAAAGGCCGATCATACAGGCCATCGCCGCTTCCTACAGCACTGGCTGGCTGGCTTTTGAAGGCCCCAAGATCTCCGCTCTCCGTCCTGCGTAGAGCTTGCCTCATGGTTTCGATATTCAAATCCCCTGTATTAAATGTTCCAGCTGTCGGGCTATGCGAGTTGAAGGTAGGGCTGCCAGGCCCGCGACCTTTGCGATAGGGGGAGATTTCTAGCGCCCGAGATTCGGGAGACACGCTGGCTGGAGGCGACGTACCACGGCCATGAGAAGAGGACACTGGAGAATGGAAAGGAGATGGGGACCTATTTCGTGCTCCGAAAGTACTTAGTCCTCCCACATACGTGGAATCTCCTACAGAAATGTGGTCGGCAGTTTCAGCAAGTTCACCATGCACAACGTCGGCAAACGAAACGAAGCTCAGACGCCGGACATCGGTAGGGTCATGAGGAGCGCCATAATTAGACGCCGAATCATCAACGTCTGCCATACGCTGGGAATTCGCTTCATCACACCAGGACGCCGACAGTGCATGGTCAAGATGCCCGCTGACAGCGAGAGACGCAGGCTGATGGAAGTTGTGCGTGATAATTTCAACCGAGTCCGGATCCAATCGGACATCAGTTAAGGCGGCCGAGGAGGCATCGAGAATTGGGGGAATATGATTTTCTGTCATAATATGTGAGGGAATCGCCGGAGAGGTTTGGGAAGGGCCGATATCTTCTTGAACACTGCGTTCAAAGATTTGGGACGAGGCTGGTGAATGCGTCCTTGGGGATGAAGGAAATTGCCGACCGGGAGAGGATGGAGCCATAGAGGCATTCTTCGTACCGTGAGGTGACACGGAAGACCTTCCTAGATTGAGAGGGATCAAAGGCGAAGGAGGTCTGACGGATCCGGGCGCGTTGTTTTGAAGTAAAGACCTAATTTTGTATGTTTCCGGGACTGACTCATCACTGGTCACTGCGATTTTGCTTTGCATTTCTCCCTTTGCCCCAGTACCTCTGGATGGACCACTATTGCGCAAAAGGGGCCCAGGTCTGACGGTGGAACTTTGAGATGCAGCGGAGGTCCCAGCCATCGATCAAGCGAGTAACCATAAGGGTTGCGGTTTGAATGGGGCTGATTGCTAGATATGCAGGCAAGTATGGAGTACACAAGTGGAAAACTCAGAAAGTGGTGTTGAGGTTGCTAATATGGTATGATAATAAACTCGAGTTGGTATTAAATGGAGTGAGGTGATCATAAAGGTAATAAAATATTCTTGAAGGTTGACATTACGGAGTACTTACTGAATAACTATTGAGTTGACCGGTACTACGGAGTTAACAGTTAACCAGTGACGTCTTTTTGGTGCAAGGGAGCTGCAGCAAAGCTACCCAAAGAGTCCAGAGCCAGTAGATGTAACTACATACTCCATACATTGTAACGAATATCGCTCTGTCTCAAGCATGGAGGAGCTGATCTAGGCGCATTTCAAACCACTTGGAGCCAAAAGCAGGATTGGGTATGCTTTAACCGCTAGTTAGATATCTAAGACGCTGAGGCCTCCACTGCAACATTCCAAGTGCCATAATTAAGTATGGGTTATGTGGCATGTAACAGTGGATGACTGCACCATCTGTACTCTGTACAGGAGAAAAATATGTGATTCTTCAGATAGGCCCTTGCATTTGTCGCGGCTTTGGACGCAACTGCACTGAAAATGGTGTTCAGTGTACAGAGTACTCCGTACCAATTGAAGGTACAGGTTAGTTACCAAGCAGGTGGTGTGATAGCCCTAGCGCAAAGGGTGACATAGTTCTCCGTACTCTGTTCGGTAGGGAGTACGGAGTACGGAGTACTATATCCCTAAATGCTCACAGTATCCAGAACTAGCCTAAGTTTGTCGTGTAGGGCGCTATAATGATACAAATGTAGTACGATGCGTACTCCGTATTCTGTACTCCATACTCCGTACTCCGTACGGAGTACGGCACACACGTATGTAACTTTGAGTACATGCAGGCCGCGCTAGCCCTTGCTCCAATCAGAGCAGTGCGCCTCATGGTCCTTTGAGAGAAATTCTCCATTCAGGTTGAAACATTTCATGCTTCCAGCAAAAGTTTGGTGGCTGTCCATCATCCTCAATATTCATCCAGTTTTTTCCCCATAAATTTTATATTCTTTTTCTAACCAACTACAGAGTACATAGTTCATAATTCCTGTCCCTTGGTTTCCTGACTTCAGAACACTCCTGTGCAAAACGAGCACACCATCCCTAGGCACCCTTTCCCCTCCACCATATTTTTTTTTTTTATTTATTTCTTTTCAAGGTCATAAGAAAGACGTATTGTGACGGTGCCACTATGCCCGCCCCAGCCCCTTTACCTAAACGTCCAATTCTAAGCCTACCTTTCCTCCTTCCATTCTGTTCCGAATCCACCGTTTTGGCCCAAAGGAATCAATCAACATACCGTCGCTTAAAACAACGCTTACGGGCCAAACCAGAGGCGTCCTTTAGCCAATCTCCGACTCAAGAATATAATCACATCGTCTACAACCCCCCTTCAAGCGCGCCCTCTGTTTACCGCACACCAACCAAGTTCCTCCCGCCCAACGATATCCGACGGAAATTGCGCTCTGAGTCCGATTTCGATATTACCAGCACACCCCACAGTCTTCCCCTTGTGTCCAAACGTTCATCTCCAAAGAAAAATATCTTGACGGCTAAGGAAGTGGATGAAATTCGTCAGCTCCGGCTGAAAGATCCAGTGACATGGAGCCGGGGGAATTTGGCCCGCCGCTTTGGCTGCAACACCCTTTTTGTTGCAATGGTATGTGAAGCGAGTGCGGAGAAGAAGGCGATCCAGAAGCAAGTTCTTGAAGCTGTCAAATCGCGCTGGGGAATCAAGCGAACAATTGCGCGCGAGGACCGTCAGCTGCGGAAAGAGGTTTTAGCAAGAGATCAATGACGCTCTGGCACGACTCCTGGAATTGGAAGATGTATACTGCGAGTCCGGTAGAAAAGAAATGGGCAAATTGCGTTAGACGATATTTTTACAAGTTAGCAAATTCGGGCAACGTGGCGATGGTATTGCCCTAGTCGGAGCAACTTCTTGGAAAGATGTGCCAGCCACTCGGCCCTTCATGTATTACTATCTACGATTTATTGTGTTCCCCTTTTATCCTTCTAAGCGGCCTGGTTAGGGGTTGGATAGCACGGTAGAATTCTATCATTATTGGAAGCCCAAGGGGGTATATCAAGTAAATATGTATGGAATGCGGAGTGCTCCGTACGCTCCTCGGCATTACAACACCTCGTGATAGCGGCTCTGTAACTACTCCCGGAAAACCAAGATACGACAAATTCCATACACGGCTAGGTGCCTACCTTCAATAGACGCGCATGTACTCCGTACTCCAGAGTTGAATACCCAAAAACCGATTCAACTTCAAAGCCTGGGCTTCGTACCTCTGATATGGAGACCGATATTTTGTGTCTTGATAAAATATGAAGCAAGCATGATCCTTGTGATTCACTTGGAGGAATTGCGTCGAATACTACCTTGAGTTTCGTGACCTACGTAATGATAACGAGAAAACAATTGTTCGTTCCCATCTCCACCGTAGGCAGCTGGGATCCTGACTCTTTCGGTTCCTCATGCGTGGTTAAGTTAATCCTTTGCCCTGTCTTTCCGCATCTAGCCATATCGGTCTTCCAATGTCCCCCACCAACCCCTCTTTCGATCGGATCCTGTTGTCGGGCGCATGCTTGCTCAAACAGTGCTTTTCTCCCACCCTCCACGCAAGATATCACATTCACCATCTGCATCCAAAAAAAATATCATTTCGCCATCCAATATTAGCAACTAGCTTTCAGCGAAGATCGTATTACGGCAACATCAGGGACGCAAACATGGCACCCCAGCTTGAGCCATACTTCAAAGAGTCGTGCCCCGTCAAACGTTCCTCGTTTATGACCATGCTGCTGACTGATGAATCAGGGTTGATAACCTCGCAGAGTCTTTTATTGATCGTGAGGACACCTAGCAAAATCCCGGCAGTGTGGACTTACACTAACATTGGTCAAAGGTTTGCGAAAAGCGGTTGCAATTCCCTCAGTCTCTGCTCAAGATGAGAGAAGAGGAGATGTTGTCAAGGCGAGTCACATGGAGTCGGTCAACGGAAGTTCTATTAAACTGGTCTCTTACATTTTTCATGCTGTGACAGATGGCACATTTTCTTGTTTCCGAGCTCGAAGCTCTCGGTGCCGAGGTAGAATTGCGTCCCTTAGGAAAAGAGCACGGGAGGGAGCATTTGGAACTCCCACCAGTGGTTCTAGCCCGCTATGGGAATGATACGAGCAAGCGCACGGTTCTTGTCTACGGGCACTATGATGTGCAGCCTGCTGCGAAGGACGATGGATGGGGCACAGATCCCTTCACCCTTACTGTCGACGACAAGGGAAGGATGTATGGGCGTGGAAGCACTGACGATAAAGGCCCTGTGCTGGGCTGGATCAATGCTATCGAAGCACACAAGAAAGCCGGCATTGAATTCCCTGTCAATCTCCTTTGCTGCTTTGAAGGAATGGAGGAATACGGCTCCCTGGGGTTGGAAGCGTTTGTCAAGGCAGAAGGCAACAAGTATTTCAAGGATGCAGATGCTGTGTGCATATCTGATAACTATTGGTTGGGAACCGAGAAACCATGTTTGACTTATGGGCTGCGAGGCTGTAACTACTATTCTTTGTCGGTGTCTGGCCCAGGTCAGGACTTGCATAGTGGAGTTTTCGGTGGAACGGCCCACGAACCTATGGTCGATCTCGTGACACTTCTATCACGCCTTGTTGACCCGGAAGGGAATATTCTTATCCCAGGAATTGCGGACCTTGTCGCGCCTCTATCAGAGAACGAGAAGGCGTTATATGATTCCATCAGTTATTCAATGGATGATTTCCATGAGTCTTTGGGAAGCAAAACCTCGATTTTCTCAACCAAGGAGCAAACCTTGATGCGCCGATGGAGATTCCCTTCGCTCTCTATCCATGGAATTGAGGGCGCATATTATGGACCGGGCGCAAAAACCGTGATTCCCGCTAAGGTTAACGGGAAGTTCTCTATCCGAACAGTGCCTAACATGCAGAGCGAGGATGTGACCAGACTGGTTACAGAGTATATCAATTCTGAATTCGCGAAGTTGAAGAGCAAGAACACTGCTGAAGTGTCGCTCATGCATGACGGAAAATGGTGGGTTGCCAGCCCCAACCATTGGAACTTTGAAGCTGCTAGCAAAGCTGTCGAACAAGTATTCGGAGTGGCACCAGATATGATACGTGAGGGTGGAAGGTATGGATACAATCCAACACTGTCACAATAATACAGGTAGAACTAACGGGTCGCAAGTATCCCCATCACTTTGACCTTCGAAGAGGCCACGGGCAAAAATGTGCTATTACTCCCCATGGGTAGCTCCACCGATGCTCCTCACTCCGCCAACGAAAAGCTCGACCGGCGTAATTATATCGAGGGCACGAAGCTCTTGGGCGCATATCTCCACTACGTTGCTGAAGAGCCCATGACAGCCTAACCATGGAAAATAGCCTAAGACCGGGTAGCTTTCTAGAACGGCACCTAAATACACATCATGTATATTTTAGCTAAGGTCGGATACTAAGCCTAGCCCCAGTGCGGGCCCAAATCCATTATAACGTTGGGATATCTGCAGCATAATTAGTTTTCAACAGGTTTAATGCTTAAAAAGATTGGTCCAGACACCCAAGGTTGCTGTTTGTGGATGTGATGCTTGTGATCTTTATTCCTTTAAATGTACTCCGTTTGGTAGAGTACTTAATGTTTCCGACCATCCAATGATTTTTACCACCCAATGACTACAGCTTCAAAATCAACCCTCATTACAGAACCAGCAATATCCCAACAACCAACTAAGATATTCAAATTAGATATTAAATACTAGTAAATAAGATGGAATATTACATATAAATCTTTATAGTAGTGTTGGCACAAAGTCTGGGGAGCAAAGATCAGATGAGAAGACGTAGACGAATAAGATAAGATAAGATAAGAACTCTAGCTTGCTTGACACACCTCAACAAAATGTGAGAAAGCAAGTCTTAAGGAAAATCAAAATAAGAGATTGTCCAGTAAGAGATTTTTCAGATAAAAAGAGTGTGATAACACAACAACTAGAAAGAATATGATAAAGAAAATTGAACAGTTTGTTTAAAGAGTGTTATTGAGTTTGTCTCTCAAAATTCAGATGAAAAGATCTTGTGGTTGCTGAGTAATAGTGGTATCTGTTCCAAGGTCCCTTGCCATACTGCATAGCCTAGACACCAGCCTTCGGCCATGGGTTATGGCTCTACTGATTTACATAAGACAAGCTGGATGATTCTGTAGGTCGGCGACCGGGTGTCTGATAATGAATATTCTTTCAGTTATGTTTCTCATTTGAATCACTCTGTACCCAGATCTTTAGTAAAAGATTAACCTGTTGCTCTGTCCCTAGGCTAATGAGATTCTTCTTGCTTGTCATCAAGTAAACACTCTGTGTGTCTGAGAGAAAGTTGTTCTGGAACCAGAGCTATCAATCAAGAACAGCATTCTGCACTAAGGGATTGGAGAACTTGACCCATTCACTATTACTGCTGAATTTCAGAATATGTTGACAGATGGCATCTGCTCTGATGCTCTAATTCTTTTCTTCAAAATATTTGGTGAAGAAGCCCCCCACATCTTGAAAGATCTTCAAATATTCTCTCTTTCACCAGCAGACATGTCTGCTCAGATCCTTTCTGTGATGATAATGTGAATCTCACTGGTGTAGCATCAAATAAGGGGGGAATGCTTGACAAAGGGGTATTACAAGAGATGGTGGTGATGAGGTTGTAGATGGCTTTCCAGATGCTGGTGTCAGCAGCATTTTGAATGACAAGCTGGACTAGCGGTCAACAGTGATCATAGTGGAGGTGACCTCGCCAGATGCGCTTAAATAGGTCTGCCAAATCCGAATCCACATTTTGATCAGCAATTCATGAATGAAGGTTAAAGGCTGCATCCCCTCTCAGAAGAGCAGAAAGAAGTTTTGAAAGTACATTTTGATAGAGTTGGTCAAGACTATCAATGACACCATCAGATGGAACTAGATGGGACTCATAGATTGTCTCAGCCTCTTGCAGCAAGTTGCGTATATCATTAAGTGAGCCTGCTAAAGGGTGGTCCTTGATGATAGATTTTTCAGCTGGTGAAAGCTCCGCCATGCTGGCAATGTAAGAGGGTTGGTTTTGGTGCTGGAAGGAGGTTTGGCTGCAACCATTTCAAGTCCCTTGCAAACCACATCAAAGGTTTATCATGTGATGGTAAACAGAGCCAGAAAAGTTGCCCTGTGTCAATCAGGGTAACTTTCCATCGTTATTCGGTTTGGTAGTAGATAAAAGGCCTGCTATTACAAGAGTGAGATTCGCGCGGGAACTACCAGTAGTCGTACTAGGTTTCAGAGGAAACATTGCTAACATAATCCACCACCGAGCGAAACACCAAAATATAACTACATACAAATCTCAACTTTTTGCTCTCTTGTATCTTAACAAGTTCATGTCTGATCATTATAAAATGAAAAAGATACTATACAGTTATAATAAACTTTGTAAATTATAAGAATTATCTAAATATAATAATTATTTCTTAAGTTATAGTATTTTATTATCTTTTTACTAGCATATATCAAAGTATCTTTACAAATAATAATAAAATTGATAAGACTGTTTATTAAGTGTCTATATACTCCGTACTCTGCATATAAATTCTAAAGTCTATATTCAACAATGTTGTTGAGACATAAGAGAGCACAGAGTTAAAATTTGTATGTATATTTTGGTGTTTTGCTCGGTGGTGGATTACGTTAACTACTCCGTATGCCGTACGGAGTACTCCGTACTTACCGGAGTACGGAGTAGGTGAGGGTGATCTGAACGGGACGGGGCTAGACCGGATCTGGGCAGGCGGCCGACCCCAGCTGGCGACTCGCCAAATGATTTAAACATTACCGCGCGTGCTTTACGCGTTGGGAGTTGCCCACTCACTCGCAAAATTTAACGCGAGATGCTTACCTGAGTCTTTGAAGTTTTCATACTTAAAGTAACCTAGGTCCTGTGTATAGATACTTTAGACCATGGGTCCTATAAAGCGAACCCATAATTTATCCGAGAGCCCGGATGTGCCATCTGGACAGCAACATGAAAATGTGCGTGCCTCCAATCCCCAAAACAACTTTAAACCTGTTTCATTAACAAGTTTATTGACCACATAGAGAAAGCGAGCACGATTATCTGGTGCTTCGGTATCTGAGGAAGTCCATCCGTTCCTCCTATCCACACCCTCTACTTCGTCACTGGACCATACCGACGATGAACACGAATACAAGCGCGCGACCCAGGCATTGCGGGACAAGTATGAGATGCTCGGAGAGAATCGTCCTGTTGAGAATGGTATTATCGAGCGCGTAGATTGCTACAATTTCATGTGTCATGAGCATCTTTCCATGGAGCTGGGGCCACTGATAAACTTCATTGTTGGTAAGAATGGAAGTGGGAAGAGCGCTGTACTTTCAGCATTGACTATCTGTCTGGGTGGAAAAGCCTCTGCGACTAATCGCGGTCAAAGCTTGAGGAAATTTATCAAAGAGGGCAAGGAGTATGTTCATCCGTGATTGTGATGTATCCGATTCGTTTCTAATATTTGATTCAGATCTGCCACGATTGTTGTTCGGATTAAAAATCAAGGCGACAGTGCCTATTTGCCTAATGAATTCGGCCGCTCCATTACTATCGAAAGACATTTCTCCAAAAGCGGAACAAGTGGATTCCGAATCAAAAACGCTTCTGGTCGGGTAGTGTCAACAAAAAGGAGTGACCTTGATTCGATCACAGATTATTTCGCACTCCAAATCGACAATCCGATGAATGTCTTGACTCAAGATATGGCACGGCAATTTTTAAGTTCTTCTAGCCCCGCAGAGAAGTATAGATTTTTTGTCAAAGGCGTTCAATTAGAACAACTTGACCAGGATTACCATTTGATTGAGGAATCTATCGAGCATCTAAATACCAAGATACTTACTCACTCCGGTGAATTGAAAGATCTAGAAGCTAAAAGAGATAAAGCTAGGGCTCGATTAGCTTTGTCAAACCGCCATGAAGGTATTAGGGCCCGGTTGAGAAACTTACGTGCACAAATGGCATGGGTGCAGGTCGAGGAACAAGAGCGGGTACGCCGTAATCAATTGAAATGTGTGACGCTGCTTAATCAAGCTAACATTATTCAGATACGCGATAGCTTTGATGAGGAAATTATCAAGGCCACCCAGAAAATTACCGTTCTAGAGGGCGAAGTTGAAAGGTCCGACGCCTTATACCAAGATGCCGATAGTGCCTGCGGGATTGCTGTAAATCTAGTCCGAGAAGCCAAATCTGAATTGGATACCTTGCATCATAGCAAAAAAGAAATCCAGTCAAGGTACGATAGCGATGTTCAAGAACGGCATGAACTGCAGGTATGAACTTGCTCACGATTAGCAGCATCCAGCCGTACTTATATAATTGCTCCTCTAGGCGACACAACGTACGATACGCGATCATATAAAGGCGGCAGAAGTCCGAATAGAAGACATGAAACAACAAATTGCACAAGAAATCCAAAGACTGGAAGATATCAATGGGGGAAGCAAGGCACAGAGACTCAGCGAATTAGAGGAGATGAACGCTGCTGTCGAGGCCGTCCGCAATCGCCATCTCGAACACAAGAAAGACATTTCTCGTTTACAACGTGAGATAGTTCAGGCAGAAAACAAAGTTAAGGATACAGGCGAACCGATTACCAAACAAAGACAGGAGATACATCAAGCTGAACACCACCTCCGTATCTTGATGAAGGACCGCCTGCAGCAGGAGAATGCGTTACCCGAGACTATGTCAAAATTAATCAGGGCTATTCAAGGAGAAAATTCGTTTTGTCAAAAACCCATAGGCCCACTGGGGATCCACGTCACACTTCTTAAGCCTCAGTGGTCGTCTATTCTAGAAAAGTCATTTGGGAACACATTGAGTGGGTTTGTTGTAACAAGCAAGCGCGATATGAATATCCTTTCTGGAATAATGCAACGTGTGGACTGGTAAGTATGAAGTGTCAATATACTCCATCGACTGTTCCCTAGGGCTATTAACTAATGTCAACAGTACTTTTCCTATCTTCATTGGAAATGAAGCTGGTACCATGGACACTTCTGCCTATGAACCAGAAACCAAGTTCGATACTGCATTGAGGATTCTTAAGGTAACCAAAGTTGTATTAGTGCTTGAGAACTTAGACGTACTACTAACTGTGCTTCACTGTCTGTGTAGATTGATAATGATCTAGTCCGTCGACAACTCATCATCAACCACAGCATTGAGCAAATGCTTCTTATCGAGGACTTGCGCGAAGCTTCCAGTGTGATGTTCACGAATGCGCCCCCGAAAAATGTGAGACGCTGCTACTGTATTGATGCAAGAGATAGGAGACGAGGCATCCATTTGGGATTTAGCCGGACTGGGGACCCCACCCAGTCTCCTCTTGGGGCATACACGGGAAGAGCCCGAATGAAAACAGATATTGAGATGCAAATCAGGTAAATGACGCTGGATGATGGGTGCGATTGGACATATGCTCATCGATAATTCCTAGAATGCAACATGATGTGATAAATACGTTAAAAGATGCCTTGCGTGAGCTAGAAAGCGAGCACAGAAATGCCCTAAACAATCTCCAGAAATGCAAGCAGGCCCTTGTGAGGCACGAACGCCGAGAACGAGACCTACACCTTGAAGTACAAAAGGCAGAGGATTTCATCGAGCAATTAAAAGAGGCTATAGAAAGGGATAGCGTGGAAGATGGTCGACTTGACTGGTTAAAAGTCGCCCTAACCGAGTCCGAAGACGACAAACGTGTGGCTGAGGCTTCGTATGAAGATGGTATCAATGCACTCGACGCTATGATGGAGAAGCTGAAGTCAATCAAACGGGAACTTGCCGCTAAAGATGCGGAAATTGTAGCTATCGATCGGAAAGTCCGCATGCTCGAGAGCGAAGAAAGTAGGGCTTCTGCTAGGCGGAGAAAGGCTCTTGACGAGAAAAATGCTGCAATTAGCCAAGTCGAAGCCGCGATAAGGGATAAAATTGAAATAGAGCGCAATCGACAAGAGACAGTTGCTCGAGTCATAGATTTCAGCGAGAAGGCAAGCATGGTTGCTCCCCGTGTCAACATCGATGATGGAGAAACTCCACGGAGTCTGGATAAGAAGTTGGAAAAGCTAACACAAGGTCTACAACAATATGAGAAGGAGTACGTAAAATGACCCTTTTCAAATGTGAGTATGCTAACCAATCGTAGAATGGGAGCATCTCGAGAAGAAATTGCGACTGCAGCCGCCGAAGCTGACGCAAAATGCGAGCGCTCTAAAGAGCAGATAACAGATTTCAAACAACTGTCCGAGGTACTATCAACCTTTTAACGTTAAGCGCAAGTTGTGCCGTTAACACATATCAGATGTTATTTGATACCCTTCGAAATCGACGGGAGAGATGGGACAAATTCAGATCACATATCTCTGCAAGAGCTAAATTGCAGTTTACATACCTGCTAAGTGAGAGGAGCTTCCGTGGAAAGCTCCTTACGAATCACAAGGAAAAACTTCTCGATCTTCAGGTATAGTTTTGGCCTTGACCCTGGATATAATGTAGAGAGATTAACTATTTAGGTGGAACCTGATTCCACTAAAAAAAGCTCTGGGAGGGGGACAAAGACCCTTTCGGGGGGGGAAAAATCATTTTCCCAGATCTGCCTCTTACTGGCACTATGGGAAGCAATGGGCTCTCCAATTCGTTGCTTAGATGAGTTGTATGTCCGCGCCATGTCTTGTGACTAAAGGCCTAAGTGGTTCTGATCTTTTCTTAGCGACGTGTATATGGATTCGGTAAACCGCAAAATCACGATCGAATTGCTAGTACGTTGTTACTTGGATTCCTTCCCTGTCGAGTCTCTTTTACATCAATGCTGATGTTCTTCCAACAGATGAATGCAGCTAGGCGGTCCGTTGGGCGCCAATTCATTTTAATTACCCCAGGTTCAAGGGCAGAAATCAGAGTTGCTCCGGACGTGCGGGTTATTGAGTATGTGTATCTAAGCAGTAATAGCGGCGAGCGGCCCCATGCTAACGAATCCGGCAGGCTTGCTGAGCCTGAGCGAGGTCAAAGCACCATTTCCTTTGGAAGATAGTGGTAGTAAAGGTGACTTCGATAACGGAAAGTGAACGGTCGAATCCTAATTTCCCAAAGCGCCATCAAGTACCTCTCATGAATAATGAAACCCTCGACGAGCATGTACCTATTCTTGAACATCACCATCTTTCCGTCCTAGTCCCTCTTGGAAGACCTACTCTTCCCTTAGGGTTCTTTCTAATCCAGAACGGCGAAGTTAAGCACAGTTTTCAGGTAGGATATGACAAGGAAATATGTCCACGCATACGTATTTTGGGAGCTCCCGCAGAAATTTCAACGTAATATAATGACCATTTGGGTTCTTGCCTCAGCAAGATCCTCGGCTTGCGAGTATAGCACAAGTATTATTACTTAGTTACCCAGTTACATGGCCACGGGACCTTAAACAGCCATATCACCAAATCACTTGCAGAAAATCACCAATTTGCCTTCTTCATTGTCTTCGGTTTCTTTAATATAGGCTCTCCATCCAGAGTACCGAATACTCCATACTATGTATGATTTATTTAAACAGAACCATATACTATTAGATACGAAGAAGATATACGGAGTACAGCGAAATTGTTATAATCAAGATACAGAGTCTAGAGTACTTTATGTATGCCTGAAATAGTCTTGAGATTATTTAAAATTATTTAGTTAACTTGTTTACCCTAGAGTAGATAGTTATTTGACATTTCTCAATCTACCCTACCTCTTGTCTCTCATACTTCATACACTCCCTGATGACTTATAAGCAGCAACATTTGTAGCCAGTAAAATATATAGAATGTGTAGAATTGTGGTAGAGCTTCTTTACCAGTTTGCTTTTATTCAATAGTAGTTAATAGTTGCCTGCAGAATGATTGAGATGACGCTGTGTCAGAAATTGATCCTGTATTTTGTGTAAGAAAAAGTTCATATGGAAATATGGCCATTTGGTGCTGTGGTTACAGAGTACATAGCTGATGCAACTAAAAGGAAAAAAAAAAAAAAAAAAAAAAAAAAAAAAAAAAAAAGAAAAAGGGAAAAATTGAAAGAAACGGAAATAGGCTTTCTCTGGATGGGACAGAGTACTCCGTACAGTGGGAAATTAGCTTGCTGATTAGTAAGCAAGCTTAATGTACGGAGTACTCTGTCCACTGTACAGTCGATTTCGTTAGTAACCAATTGAGTCTTTTTGTGATTTTCCTTCCAGTCTGGCTCTCCACCCTCAAATTCGAACATTTCCTGATCAAGATCTTCCACATCCTCTCAGAACAACAAGCAGCATCTTTGGCTATCGTATTCTATCATAATTTAGTTGACCTCTCTTTTCTTTTTACTGAAGGCCTCGCCCCAAGCTTGCGAACCGACCGTTTTACCGAAGCTGAAATCGGATCATTACTTCTCGCGAGAAACCATCCCCCCCGTGAATTGTCGGTTCTCCCAACTTACTACAGCTTCCGTTATCCTACGCCCTTCTGGCATTGCCTCCACGACTAAGTTGAGCCGATCGATCCCGAGCACCCAAACGACTCTACTCTCCGTTTCGCTTCATACCAAAACACCAAATCATCATCCTTACTGCCCATTTCAGAGACACAACAATCCCTGTTTCTCTCTTTCTTTCTTCACGATGGCAGAAGCATTGGCTTCGCAGCTGAACAAGGCCAAGTTAGGGTCCGTTTTCTCCATTTGTGTTTCTAGTGATGAAGAATTATTGATGCGAATGAATGTAGGGACAATGGCGCAGAAACCAAGTGGAAGGAACAGCTTAAACTTCCCCCAAAAGATACAAGGACACAAACAGAGGTGACTATGATTATATTGTGGTATGAAGCCAATCACTGTCCAGTGCTGACTCCTCGCAGGATGTCACAGCCACAAAGGGTTTGGAGTTTGAGGATTTTTATATCAAACGAGAATTGATGATGGGAATATTTGAGGCTGGCTTTGAGAAACCGTCTCCTATCCAAGAAGAAACCATACCCGTTGCACTTACCGGTCGTGATATACTCGCTCGGGCAAAAAATGGAACTGGGAAAACAGCGGCCTTTGTCATACCAACTTTAGAACGCACCAATCCCAAAATCTCGAAGACGCAGGCCCTCATACTCGTACCTACAAGAGAGTTAGCGCTTCAAACGTCACAAGTGTGCAAAACCTTAGGCAAGCATCTCGGTATCAATGTGATGGTAACCACTGGGGGTACTGGCCTACAAGACGATATTATTCGATTGAGTGATACTGTCCATATCATAGTTGGTACACCCGGAAGAATTCTCGACCTCGCAAGCAAGGGTGTGGCAGATTTGTCTGAATGCACTACATTTGTAATGGATGAGGCCGATAAGCTTCTATCACCGGAATTTACACCTGTTATTGAACAACTACTGTCATTCCATCCCAAGGACCGCCAAGTTATGCTTTTCAGTGCTACCTTTCCAATGATCGTGAAATCTTTCAAGGTAGACCCTTCACTCCGATAAACTTGAAGGAAATGCTAAATATTATCTAGGACAAGCATATGCGAAATCCGTACGAGATCAACCTCATGGATGAACTCACATTACGCGGTATCACACAATATTATGCTTTTGTTGAAGAAAGGCAGAAGGTCCATTGTCTAAACACTCTATTTTCCAAATTGCAAATCAATCAGTCCATTATTTTTTGCAATTCAACAAACCGAGTGGAGTTGCTTGCAAAGAAAATCACCGAGCTTGGGTACTCCTGCTTTTATTCTCATGCGAGAATGCTTCAACAAAATCGAAACCGTGTTTTCCATGACTTTCGGAACGGTGTTTGCCGTAATCTTGTCTGTTCGGACTTACTCACTCGAGGAATTGATATCCAAGCCGTTAACGTCGTCATAAACTTTGATTTTCCGAAAAACGCTGAAACGTATCTTCATCGAATTGGCCGTTCCGGTCGATTTGGCCATCTAGGCTTAGCAATCAATCTTATCAATTGGGATGATCGGTACAATTTATACAAAATTGAACAGGAGCTTGGAACCGAGATTCAACCGATACCGCCATCAATTGATAAAAAGCTTTACGTCTATGATACCCCCGAAACAATCCCACGCCCTATAGCAAATGCGTCTACAGAACGTAACCCACCTGCACAACTTGCTCAGAGTTCTGACAATCAAAACCATCGCCAAGCTCACCATATAGGTGGGGGGCACGGGCAACAAACAGCAAATCGGGGGCATTCACTCCGGGGATCCTACAGGGGTGGTCGTGCTCAGGGTCACCGCGGTGGACATCCAGAGAACAATCGTACGAACCCAATGTCTTCTCGCTCGAATATGCCAACTTCTACTACTGCATCCTAAGTTACCGCGATTTGGATGCTTTTCGGCGGCTCGAGTCCGACGCAATCGGTTCGTAAAATAGATTCACGCCACACTTATCTCTCCCCTCTATAGTTCGACTCGTTTACGCTTGAATTCTCGCATTTCCTTTTTCCGTTTGTTCGTTTCAGCATTCTCAGAGATCCACCATGCCTGGGATCCCGCTTCCTCATCTTCAGTGGACTACCTTTTCCGCTGTTGCTTATATCACTTCACCGGGTTTGGTTCCTCGATCGCCTTGCTCCTATTTCAACGGTTGATTTACGAATATGTATCATACTGCCCATGTCAGCACTCGGTTTTAAAAGCTCCATGCATCGAATTCTTATAAATAGGCGCTGGGGCTAGGGCTATATGATTTGAATTCGGTTTTGTCACATTTGTTTGTGACCTCTCTTTGGTGACCGGCTGCAATCCGCATTTTCAGCGCAATGGTGAATGTCGGCGTTTTAGTCAATCTATTTTTGCGGGGCATATTTTCTCATTCCAATGGGCTACAGCCTGCCACTGATGGGATTTTAGCACTAGATGTGCTTGTTTACCACGCACTCAGGCCAGATTTTAGTTTGGTGTTATGCTGAGGACCATGAACCTGTTCAACGCGACATACCTCTATATTTCGGCTGACATTGATACTCATCCAAGTATGTTTCTGGGTTCCTGCCGGCAACTGATGTCCTCGATGACGATATTATTTTTGTGCCATGAATCCCCTTATCAAGAATATCAAAATTCTACCCAATGTCCAAATCGCACCATTTTGATGCGAAGCAGGCCGCACCGGCACTTCTCTCCACCTCATGTTCGGGTTCTCTTTGTCCGCCTCATCATGAGGGCCAAGCAGTCAATCATCAAATTTTAGCTCCACAAAACACTTAACTCTCACTGAAAAACGAGATTTAAAAAAATAAAAAAATAAAAAATAAATCAATAAGAAAATTTTTTTTTTTTTGGGGGGTGGGGGTTGTTCTTGGGGATTGCCTGCGGGTTTCAACCCGCCGTTTAGATAGTAGTATCTAGTCAAGACTCATGAAATGGAAAGACATACCCTCCCAATCATCTCTCCGATTTGGTCAATAATTTGTGAAAATTCGAATCTTTAATCACTCAATTGCTGCGGAGAATTGTTCCCCGTTGCCTGCGCCAAATCAAGCACTTTCGGTTCTCTTCCTGCGCCGTAGTTAGGTAATGTACTGTACCTAAGTTGGATGGTTTATTGTGGAGGCCTTTTTGGTGTTGCCAATGGCGCTGGAAGCTATTTAATACTTGATGCTTGGAATTCACCGTTATTTCGCGAATTTACACCACAAGAACTGGTTTCATAATCCATACCCTCGCATCATGCCTGACAGCGCAGATCGTGAACAGAAGCCGAAGGTTCGCTCTAGCATTCCAAGTTTTGCCAGGCCAACTACTAACTCCACACCGCGAAGCCCAGCAGTCTGCGATCAATAATTGCTGGATCCACGGCGGGAGCTGTTGAAATCTGTACATACACTTGAAGTTCTCCTTTATCATTCTCTTTTGCGGATTTTCAAAAGGTTGCTGACCATCCTGCCTCAGCAATCACATATCCTGCGGAATGTAGGTTTTCCATGGAAGCCTGAATCGCGACGAGACCCGACCACCTAACGTTTCGATTGCAGTCGCAAAAACAAGAACCCAATTAAACCGCCGATTACCGGATGGAAAAAAGCTACCTTGGCCGCCTTTTGGCAAGGCATGGTATGCAGGATGTACGACACTAATTGTGGGAAATTCATTGAAGGCGGGAATCCGTAGGTCTATCCATTGAGCATTGACGCTGGAGCTTAAAAAGCAACCAACTAATCTTTTATTGATTACAGGTTTCGTGGCATTTGACACATTTAAATCTTTGCTTCAAGATAGAGATGGCAAGATATCAGGTCCTCGAACGGTTCTTGCCGGCTTTGGTGCCGGCTTCACCGAGTCCCTCTTGGCAGTTACCCCCTTTGAGAGTATTAAGACACAATTGTTTGTGCTCCTTACTTTTTACCCTATGCCCTTCCTTTACCTGGTTGCGATCCGCTGGTTTGGATCCAGGGAATTTACCCAGTAGTTCTGACAACATGCAGAATAGATGACAGGAAAGCCTCTAAGCCCCGAATGCGGGGATTTCTTCATGGAACGACAGTGATCTTCCGTGAGCGAGGCATTCGCGGGTTTTTCCAAGGATTTGTTCCCACAACAGCGCGACAAGCCGCAAATTCGGCCACCAGGTTTGGAAGTTATACGACTCTTCGCCAATTTGCTCAGGGATACGTTGCACCGGGGGAGAAACTTGGCACCCTAAGTACCTTTTTCATTGGAGGCATGGCCGGGCTGATAACGGTGTATGTCCAAGTATTGTTTTGCATATCGTCAAGAGCTAACACGTATTTCAAGCTATGTCACACAACCACTCGACACTGTTAAAACAAGGCAAGTACAGATCGAACCCACCTATCACATCTCTCTATTTTGATACTTGTGCTTCATCTTTTTTACGGTCGAGCTAATGCCGAGTAGAATGCAATCAATCGAAGCAAGGAAGAATTACAAAAATAGTCTTGTATGCGCCGCGAAGATCTTCAAAGATGAAGGCATCTTCACTTTCTGGTCTGGCGCTGTACCGCGACTTGCGAGACTGATTTTAAGTGGCGGAATCGTGTTCACCATGTAAGTCTGCCATTAGCAAGAGTCCTATCTCTATAAAACTCGCAAGGCTAATCTCAGACTTAGGTACGAGAAAACAATGGAAAGTTTGGACGCGCTTGATCCAGAGAGAAAGTATATCTAAACACTGGTTTTATAAATAGACTATCAATCTGTTCGAGATATCCTTGTAAAGTATGCGCGACATGGAAGGAGTTGGCGGTTTACCTCTGATCATAGACTTTGGCTTATCTGGCCGTCTAGTCCTGGATTTTCAGAGATCTTCTCTTTATATCAAACTAGTCCATAAAATAGTACTCCGTATGGAGTACGTTGATCTATTATGCTCTAGCGCGTATCTTTCTTGTTCGGTCCTTTCTTGGATATCTCGTTTGGTTGCTTCGACCATTCCTCCCCACACAAAACTCCAACCTCCTGATCGACAAGCCAATTGCTCACACTTTCCATAATATTATCAAGTCCTTCACCACCATCAAGCACACTACCGAGATTATGGATCGTCACGCCGCTGCGGTGGTCCGTACAGCGATTTTGTCCAAAATTGTACGTGCGAACTTTATCTCCTCTGCCCATTCTAGCAACCCCTCCCATTATTCCCCTTCGTAATTCCACAAGTTCCTGTTCCCGCGCTTCACGTCTCATCTGAGCGATTTTAGAGCGAAGCAATCGCCAGGCTTTTCTGCGGTTTTCATGTTGAGAACGTGAATCCTGCACCGCGACAACGGTGCTAGTTGGGACGTGAGTAAGTCGTATAGCAGATTCTGTTTTGTTTACGTGCTGGCCTCCGGCGCCACTTGCCCGCATCTTTTCCGACTGCACATCCTGCGGGTTGATATAATAATCCGAATTTGGGTCGTCAAAATTAAGAGCACTATCATTCTGCTCGGAGAAGCTAGGTAGGATCATAACGCTGACAGCGCTAGTATGAACACGGCCCTTCGCTTCAGTAGCTGGAATTCGCTGGACACGATGGACTCCGGCCTCGGTACGGAGGATATTATAGCTCCCGGGGGCCTCGATTTCCATTACCGCTTCAGAAAGGCGGTCCTCAGATCCGCTACCTCCAGCGCCGTCTTCCACATCTTTTTTAAGAATGGCTGTTCGGAGGCCATGGCGTGAACAAAATGCTAAATACATACGTAAGAGCTCCGAGGCGAAAAGGCCAGCCTCGTCTCCACCTGCGCCGGGTCGGATTTCAACCAAACACGGGAGTTCGGCGAATGGGTGCCGAGGGATCAGGCTCTCTTTTAATTTCCCTGACAAAGCGAAAAGACTGGATACGGTGGTCTGAAGGTCGTCCGATGCCAGTTCTCGAAGTTCCGGATCGCTAGACGGGTCGTCAAGTAAATGATTCAATTCTGCTATAGACTGGGGGTAGTGAGAAATGGCACTTTGCTGTCGAAAGCAACTTCGTAAACATACTTCATGCGCCTTATCCCATTCCTTGAGAGCTTGCACCGTTGCCGTTAACTCCCCTACTCTTTTGGCCGTTTCTTTTTCAAATGAGCCAGCAAGGCGTTCCGAAAGAGTCGCATACTCCCTGGCAAGATTTCGAGCATGATTTAGGAGGGCAGGACTTAGCAGTCTCTCGGGAGCAACTACGCCAATTAATTTTCACTTTTAACAGCATAGCCTTCATGATAGGGCATATACGTACCTGAGCTGTAAAACCGGGTCCATTTTCTGAATTGCCTTGCCTCACCAAGTCGCATATATCGGGACAGACATCTCGAGCACACCCACGGGGTACCGAACATATTCCGTCAATTGTATCGTGACATTCCTCATCCTCCTCTTGGTCTACGCTGGGCAATTCGGAACTTCGAGGACTCTCCTATTTAGCGGCTTGATTGATTTGATTGATTGATTATGTCATCCACCATCCCAGCCACTTTGTCAGCAGCTATGCGGGCGTAACCTCGCGTGATCACCAGCTCAGTCATGTGCTCTAGATACAAAATAAGCAAACACAATAACAAGCAAAATAAACAAACACAACAAGCAAACTAAACAAACATAAAAATATAGATACAGGTTTTTCATTTTATTCTTCATAACCCCAAAAGCAGTAAGTGTTGAGAAGCAAGGAATGAGATATAAATAAAAATACAGATAGATACTTAATACTATCTGGTGTATTCTGAATACTGCATATCTCTGCTGCTGTATCTATTTGTCCTGTTGTTACGAACGTAGGTCAACCAAGCATCAGATGACATCAAATGTGCAGGGGAACTCACATAACCCATAACTCTGAACATATAAGGATCGCATGATTCGCGCGGATCATGGAAACATCAGTATTTAGTCTCCAAGTTAGAGGACCCCTACATTCTACACACAACTCCCTCTCACCAGTTGTAGGCATCAGACCTATTTAGCTCTTTTGTATCCCAAATCCTAGGAACACCCATGAAACCTATGTTAGGTTCCCTAACACCTGTATTACTTTTCAGAGAGGCTTATCACTTTACTAACTCTATATTGGTGTGCTGGAACTGTTCAAGTAATCCAGTCTTCATTATAAATCTTGCTACTTTGATGCTTAGACTTTGCCATGAGATCATAAAAGATCTGGTATTCTATATAACTTGTAAACAAGATTGCTACTGGCTCTTAGTAAGAGATTCATGCAGTAGCAGTCTTTTATGTGTGCTTGCAAGCACATGACTTAATGTCTTGTAGAACACATGCAACTTTCAACAGCTTGCAAGCTGAGGCTCTCAGCTCTTACAGGTGTTGTTCATCTGTGTAAGGGGTTCACGGGTGAATCCTTACAGTAGTCAAAGAGAACAGCAGTAATATATATGTAAAGCATGCATGACAAGATCTCTCTGCTTAAAGCTTGTTAACTTGAAGTCTGTTAATTTAGAGTCTACTGTTTTTCTGTTTTATATTACTACTGTCATTCAGGTCATCTCTGTCAGCTCTAAGTGCAATCGCTGTGCTTTCCACATCAGGTTCAGTCACTGGCTGCTCCTGATTAGAATTGTTGCCGCCTGGCGGCAGAATTTCTTGGCTGACTTCTGGCTGAGGCTGGGGTGTTTCAGCAGGTTGTATTATATTAAGCTCTTGTTCCAGCCGCTCCCTCTCCCACTCTGCATCTAGCCTCTCGCGCTCTTCAAGGTCATGAGCAATTTTGTCCCAGGATGACAAGTTCTGGTCTGATTGCTGCTGCTGGTGTTCCTGGTGGTCTTCATCCTGAATTCTATTGTCGGCTTGCATTGGTTCTTCTAGTTTAGCGTCAATCTGTTCAATCAGATCCGCTACGCCAGTGTCTGATTCGGCTGGTCGCTGTGCCGAAAACCTGTTTACGCGCTCCGGGTCAACAAGGTCTGGAGGAGAACTTTCTTCCATATAGGCCCGTTGGTCTTGATACTCCGGAAGCACTATATCGAGAATCGCTAGTGGTTCATCCGGAAGGGTAGTACATGGAGATCTCTTCGTCACGCGGCTGTTGTTGAAACTCCACGAATTCCGTTGGCTCATGCTCGAATATATCTGGTCCCTGTGATCCTGCATCGTTTTCGGCGGGATCCAGCTCAGTCTCAACGGTCATTGCGTCCGTTTCTTGCATTGGATTGGTATAGTTGTCATCAGGTGGGTCAACATCTAACTCCATTAGCGGTTGATTGTGTTGAAGGAGGCGTTGATACCGCTGTCTGCGTGTATGTGTTTTGCGAGCTCGGCGTTGTACGCGGTTCGTCGGGATCCGCGGTTGAAAAACAATCGACAATTCGGTCGACGAGAGTCTCGAATACTTGAGGGTTATATCGAAAGCGGCCGGGTTTTCGGGCCTTGAGCAGAGCGGGCCGTGCGATCTGTCTGTCGGGAGACTGGTTCATTAATTCCGTGATCTCGGTGGAGCGGAACCCGAGACGGTGCGCCAGTGCAGCCATCTGGTAGACCACACATTCATCGGCTTTGGCACGATTTGGTTTGGCCAGCAGGTCATCGTCATTCTTCGGGTCCGCCGGCATCGAGGGATAATGTCGCATGGCATAGAGCCAAACCTGCCGGTACGCGATATCAAGACGCTCCATGCCCGCCATGCGAGTTTGTCGGAAGGTAGACTCCGATGTCTGAACAAGAAAATCTTCCTCTGTCTCGGGAGATGTCACAAGCATGGGCGTTATGCTTTTCCAGATGGACTCGTCAGGGGGGCTAAACAGTCGTTTTATGCACTGAGCACAGCTTTCCAGGTACTTGCAGTCCTCAAAGAAAGTGTGCAGGGATGGGACCAACCCACGGAACCTTTCCATTCGGGTCCAGATGGTCCGTCGCTCAGTTTCACTGAAGCCGGCAAAGGCCTGACCGCTCAGAATAAATCCATACGCAGCTTGCGCATCGACGCGAGATGCACGGCGGGCCATCAATTGAAGCTTCTCCACCGTGTCTTGATCGATTCTTTTCATTGCAATCGGATGATGGTCGACGAGGGATGACCAGAACTCCTTCACACTCTCAAGGTAGTTGAGGATTTCCTTCCGAAATGTTAGAGCATGAAGTGCGTCAATGCTGCGCCGACTGAACGTACCTCAACACAATCAATAGCGACCAGGCGATGGATCATGCTGATCCGCATCTCGCGGCCCCAGAGGCCCGAGATGGCCAACAGTGCATTGAAGCCCTGGCGGAGTCGACGATTCCGGCGATTGTCGAGCTGTTCAAGGCGTTCCCGATTACAGCGCAGCAAGCGCGCGAGCCATCGCTGCTGAAATGGTTCGTTCTGTTCTTCTTCATATTGACGGATCTTCCGGTATATTTCTCCATTGGTGGGATTTCTCTGGTTTGCATACTCCTCAAGAAGGGAGATCCTGAGTTCCTCACCGACATCTACATATAATTCAGAATAGTCAGCCCATAGGTGGTACACGTACCTATGGAAGGATACCATCCAAGTAGAGATCCACCGTCCACCACCGGTCGACGGGGGGGAGGAGTTCGGACACAACTTGGACCCGGTGGCGGCCATGAAGGCCACGAAGCTCGCTATTGTGAAAATGGAGCATGGGGTACTTCTCTGGAAGATTAGTCTTCAAGTCATGGGGCTGAACCTTGGCACGATCGAGCGCTTCTTTGAGGTTTTGTTGCGATATGATTGCCGGCACATGATTGTCAGCATCAAGACGGCGACAGCGTTTTTTTTTTTTTGGAAAACCTGTCGAAGCCGCTCCAAATTACTGGAATTGAGGTCTCGCGGGAGAGGAGGGTCAAACTAGATCTAGTCAAGCCGGACCTTAGCCGTGCCCTGGTATTTTAGATGTTGCTCCGTGGCGACCCTCACCTCCTCTTCCGTGAACCAAGCTCGGTGCATGACAAGAAGACAGGCAGCAAAAGATATAGCAAAGGAAGCAGGAGGAGAATGGGAAAGGGAAGGGAAAACATGGCTGGCAGGGGCACCTTTGTAGCTGAGGAAGGCTGCTCTGGGAAGCTTCCTCCCTGAGAGCAATACATGGTTGACTCAATCCTGAGGGAATGTCCCTGAGCAGTACACAGTTAACTCATCCTGAGGGGCCACATACATATTTTAACCCTTTGTTTCCGTCCGTCTTCAATATGCGTTCGCCGAACATTATCTTTTTTTTTTTTTTTTTTTGTAGATATGTCGACAGAAGACAAGCGCTCTACTCGATTTGACCTTGACAGGTTAAGAGTGGGCCCAACCTCTCCAAAGCCGCAAATCCCCGAACTGCCAAAACATCACAATTTGCTCTCAAATACAACAGCTTCAGCCTCAGCCAGTCGTCTGGCCAAGAGAAAATCTCCTCCGCCACCCTCACTGCGAGGCAATTGAAAGATCATAACTGGCAAAGGCTCGCAATATTTCCCTTGTAGAGGCCTCCAGATCTTGAATAAGCACAGGTCGGTCACTTATCACAAGGAACGAGTCCCCCTGGGATACATTTAAAAAAAGTCTGTGACTGTGATCTGGCAGGCGATGTTGCAGTGATCGTTCATCAGACCAACCCCACCTGCCTTCGTGCCATCTGTGAGTTCGCGAGCAAAGATGCTGATGGGATTTTGGAAAAGTTTCATGACATCAATCATAAAAATGTGATCAAAGCCCTTCAGTACTTCCGCGTGCAAGATGTGGTTTATCTTGAGGTTGATCATTTACCACTTACTCTAGAGCATATTGTTGCATGCAAAGCATACCCCAACGAGCGGCAACTGGCTGTTATCTTGACTCAGGTTTTTCCCCCTCGCTGTTTGCACTCTTTGAAGTCGTTGCTCATAACCATCAGATCCTAAACGGCCTCTCCTATCTCATAGCACAACATTTCAAGCATGAATCCTTGAATTGCTTGAACATTCTGATGGGCCTTGGTGGAAGGATACAAATCGGTATATATTCTTCTCTTATGAAAAAACCACAGCTGAAGCCTACTAGCGCGTTTGGAGGAGTGTCGTCCAAGACTCCCGGAAGAAAAGCAAAAGGAGGATGTCCTTGCTGTGGCTAGAATCACCATGGAACTTATGCAAAAATATAGCAAAGATAATAGTGCGGTTGGAACTGAGAATCTTGACCGTTGGCTAGTTAATTCGCTGGCTGTAAGCTTTGTGTCTGCAACCACCTCCGCCGACTCAATTCAAGAACTGGAGCAGGTTGGGTCAATCTCACTCTCCATTCTTAAAATACTTTCTCACTTTTTATTCTCTCCATTCTAGCATCTCGTGGTAAAGAGTACTCGTTGGTCCAAAGGCGAGCTGGTTGGGCTTGCTTCGCTTGCTTTAATCTCAGCCCGCACCTTTTACTCTTTCGACCCTAGAGGCACAGACGATGACTGATTCCTCTTTCCTTGGGGTGTATCCACATCTCAGGTGGAATTCCCGACTGAGCCACTACGGAGGCAGAATATGAGTTAGCAAGTGAGGCCACAAAGGTAGTCATTCGTCTTCGGGGCCTACTAATTGAGCTTGGACAAGTGCCTAAAGATTATTCTGTCCCCTTGCTTGTCGATAACGAAGGAGCCATCATGGGGAGAAGGTGACCCTGGAACGTACAGCGTATTCAAATTTGTGATTTGCAGCTGTGATTTTCATCTCACACACACACCCTCTCTCTCTCTCTTTTTCCATTTCTTTATCTTTTTTTCCCGGAGAATTGTGACGGCACGGGCTCGGACCCGAACCTGTTGGGCAAGGATTGGCACCAAATCTGGCACGCTGGGCCCTACCACATCAATATTGGTGCACGTGACCGCTGACTCAGACCATTGGTATAAACAGGAAATCAGGGCTAGGCCTTGGGGCTTTGGAAGCCGCCTGCGGGGGGAATATAAGGATTTTAGGTAGCTTGCTTTGTTCGCTTCTTCTTCTTCCCTTCCTCAGCTTTGAATCTTCGTGTATTGCGCTCTATTTGTATGTTAGGTTGAATAGAATTGGCATCTTCACAAATGGTGTGCTGTTATTCCACTGTGCACTTGCTTGGGAGCCACCTGCAGCAGGATGACAAAACATGAATAGGCAGTTTATAAATATGTTCTCTAATCTTCATCCTCTGGCTACCATTTAAGAAATGCAATTTATATTAGGAAACAATCTTCTCTACAAAATGATCAATAGCAAACTCAGCAAAATATGTCCCCATACCCTTTTGAGGTAGAAAAAAAAGCCCAATCCCCTTGTCGTACAGGGTACATTGTATTGAGAGACTTGATAAACTCCCAGTACTCCGGGTATGCCCCTCCGAGCTCCCAGTCAATGATGCCCGTTACAGTAATACTGAATGTAGATTGAGATGGATCTTGCTCCCGAACAACCATGATATTTCTTGGATGTAAGTCACCGTGCGTCATTACGATGCGATGGTCAGCCCGGAGCATGGGTCGTACAAATTCAACATAGGGCGCGGTTACAGGAGTATGGTTTCCAGAGAGAAGAAACTGATTAAACTGAGTTTCGTTTTCGATGTGTGTGTTGCTTGTTCGAAGCCACATTCTACAGTCAATGCAGAATGGTGGATTGCCGATGCCCAGATACTGCGACGGGAGGGGTAGCTTTCGGAGTTTGGCTAGAATGACATCTAGTTGATCGCGAATAGAGAGCTTCTCTTCGTTGGACAACGTCGGCCAGAGTTTGTCGAGCGGCGAGCCTTCAACACGGGTCATGAACATGTATGTTGTCTTGCCGATGGAAATTGCTCCAAGTGGTTTGGGAACGGGGATGTCGCTGTTTGTGTGTTTGTGAATATGAGCCATGACTTCTGCACCTGTGAGGAGCAGGTTATGGCCCAGCTTGACTACAATATGCTCATCGAGTTGTATAACTGCTCGAGAGAAGTGGCCCCAGAGAACTTTTCCATTTTGCAAAGCACTGGAGAGGGCGAGGCAAATTGCCGGATCATCATCTCTGGCTCTGGTCAATAAGCAATCTTGCCCATTACTATCTCTGTATTTGTGCAGAAGGTCATGTACTTCAGATACCAGAGGCTGATGTACAACCGGAGTCTGCACTGGGATCGAGAACATATCCTGAACTGCACGTTTCTTTGGAGCACTCCTACCACGGCCTTCAACAGGGATATTAGTAATGCCACTGACTTACTTGCAAATCCCCCCGTGCTTACAGTCTTGGCTTTTTCTACTCCGCTCCCTCTCCAATCTACGACGGTCAGACAGATACTTCTGTCCCCATCGGAGGAAGAATTTAGTGAGATCTGCCCAGCGACTTGACTGCAACTTGGACTGGAACTCGGTGGCGACCGACTCATTCAGCGTGACGAAGCCCGAGAGAAGGTCATCATTATCATCATCATCGCAATAAGGGTCTCTTTCAATGTCCTCTAGTTCGGACGGGCGTGGTGGATGAGCAATAGAAACCAACTTCTTTTCGCGGCGGATTCGACCGATAAAGTCGCGGACTCCGAACGACAAAACAAAGGGGAGAGAGGTGACGACAATCACGATCACGGCGCCCAAAAAGAACCCCAAAGAAGTATCCCAGTTAAAGAAATTTACAGGCATGGCTTCCCAAGAATGGAGAATCGCGTCGTGCTGACAACTTCATCTATTGGGAAGCGCCATATTGAACATGACACGCAAAGAAATGGAATAAGACTACGGAGTAATTATTCAGACCTTCAAGCTTTATTTAGCTTCTTGGCAGTCATGTGATCAGAAGGTATCGTCCAACTTGGCTAAACCGCCTGGGATGATGAGAATCCATAACTTAGTGGACTCAGGCTTCCGGGAGTTCCTGATACGTGAAATTGTTCGGGTTTCCAACAACTTGAAACACTGTATGCGAGTCTCCATCCTCAAGGTACAGGCCCCAGTGGTATGTTCCCAAGGTCTGTCGGGGCTCGTAAACCGCAACAAAGAGATACACCATTCTGTATAATATCTGGGAATGAGAGAAGTGGGATCGGTAATGCCTATAGACAAAGTTAGCCCATATACCAAGTCACAGCCAATACTCCCGCAGCTTACAGGGCTTAGGAGTCAAGTTATTCTGGCACAAGTTGGTCACTCAACAAAGTGGGCAGCAGTTCTAAATCAAGGCTTTAGAATAAATGTCAAGGTGAGAGTAATCAGCTGTTGAAATTTTATGTGTTGATTCCATAATGTTAATTGTGGTGATGTACTCCTGAAAGCATTCTCTCGCCTGGCGAGAAAGGGACATTTTATAGACAACAGGCAGGTTGTTGTTAATCATAAGCGCCTAGATTGTTCCGCATAACTATTTGCAGCACATGTTTTCACCATTTCCTTCCTGAAACTACAGCTGGTGGTTGTCCAAACATCAGAAGAACTCAGCTGCAGGCATTCCTTGCCACAAAGTATTGAACCACTCTAAGTGTGCAGTGAGAGTTACCTCGTGGCCAATTAATATTATCAACAAATGCCAGCATCAGAATAATTGGACCCCATTTGCTTATTCAAATACAGGATTATGTTGGATCAGAATTGAAGCTTTCTTGAGATTGGTTAGACATGCAATCAGACAACATTCAAAGTGTCATGCACTTATGTATGGCGCCTTTATTTTGTGGTGGCTCTATACATAATCCACATCTCCAGGGAACTTCAGATGGATAATGTGTTGGAATCTCAGAAGTAGTTATTTTTACTTTGATGCCATGACCTTGACTCTGCAATGCACCAACACCCCCTGCGCCCTGTATGCAATGGGGCGGTGGGTTTACTGGGCTGTCAATAATGTTCTCTCATTGGCAGGTGCTGGGTACGGTTCCACTGGTCAGTGCCTACTGATTGCCCTCCATAACTCAACCCTGATACCACCCGCTCAGGAGCAAGGGAGTGTCCTTTAGTGGGTGCTAAGTAGCTTCTTTTTGGGATAAACAAGCTTGGAAGTTGTCAAACAAATATCAGCCCCATTCTATGGAGAACTATCAAAGTTCTTAGTGGCCTATCATATACAGTATCAAGGGATATTGCTTCCTTTGCCAGCAGGGGCACAGGCAAAAGGACAGAGGGTACAGAAAACATATTCAAATTTCAACTTTTTACAGTCTGATATCTTAACAATCTAAGATAGAAGCTGGAAATTGCATATAGACAATATAGTATCATAGATTTAATCCTCAAGAGTTGTTTCCAAAATACACTTAGTTTTCAACTAATACACAGGGGTCAGCTACCAGAACACTAAAGCAAACACTTGCTACTGAATTGCCAGGCTTTTCTTTCGCAACACAAGCAATGACCAGACTATTTAGAGATTGCTTACTCTTGTTTGAATTGCAATGCAGGATGATCACCTTGCAATAACAACTGAGGTTTGCAAACACACAGCTGCCAAGTGTGAACAGTATCAAAGCATAAAGGGTTATGTAAACATCCCAGAATAACAGTGTTGCCATTGGTATTAGCCAAGATTCCTATTATTCACTCCACTACAGAGTACTTATATTTAGGTTACATGGTTGTAGATGTTCTGGGGCTGGAGGCCCACCCAAGATGTGGTTTAGGTGCTTGCCATACTTTCTTGATATTGGGTGATACCTAGAGCTCTGATGAGCAGATTGAGCCACTGTGTGAGCTGGATAGATAGGTGGTTGTGGAGGAGATATTTCAAAAATTAAGTCTCGACGGTAGTTTTTCTCCTATTTAGCGGCATTGAGGTCTCTGATTAGTCAGCCCTCCCGGCCAGCCATAGTTACAGGGCGCGCCGTGATGTACTCCGTAGCTTGTTAATATTTATGTGTGTATATAGTACTCTGTACTTTACGCTGTACATTAACATATACAAGAATAAGATGGTTTAACCCTGGTATAATGTAAGTTGTAATAAAAATACTTTTTTTGTTGTTGATAGTTGTACGAGTTCCCTGTACTTGTAATTCAAATCAGTTAATTTACAGAGTACGGAGTACTCCTTACACAGAGTAGATAAGGTTGGTGGCTGAGGTCACTTGGTTTGGAATAATGTTACTCCGTAGTTAACTGCTGTATGGAGTTACCTGCAATTACTAATCACTGATAAGATGCTTAATTGATGGTTCCTGGGTGAAAGGGAAAGCGTGGCCACATCCTCCTGCGCTGTTCGGAGGACTATCGAGGATTCTTTTTTTTCTTTCTTCCCCCTGGACTTATTGATAGTAACCAGGTGACTTGATTTCTTTGACTTTCGGTTTCAACTCTTTTCACAGCCAGAAGGGGCTTTATCTTCACTCTTTCAAACACAATTCCTGGTTCTGCGACGCCGACTTTCGCCATGATCCTGCGGCTTCAATCTGTTACTTTCCTGCTTGCCATCATATCTACTGCAAGTAACATTCAAGCATCAGAAATTCCTCTAGACCTTCCTGTTTCATCGTTAATATCTACAGCAAAATCCCACTTGGCCAATGGATCTCCTCGTGATGCACTCACTTACTTTGATGCCGCGATTTCGAGGGACCCCACAAACTACCTGACCATATTTCAACGCGGTGCAACATATCTCTCTTTGGGGAGGAGCTCAAAAGCTATCGAAGATTTTGACCGTGTGCTGAAACTTAGACCTGGATTCGAAGGAGCCCTAGTGCAACGAGCCAGAATTCGTACCAAATCCGCTGATTGGCTTGGAGCGAAGCGAGATTTAGAAGCTGCTGGAAAGCTAGGGAAAGCCGAATTAGAGGAACTGGAAGAGGCCGAAAATGCTGCTATCCTGGCGGAAAAGGCAGAGAAGGAGGGTGATTGGGAAACTTGTGTGTCCCGAGCTGGTGTGGCCATTCTAAAAGCAGGGACATATCTGCCGCTTCGTCGGCGCCGAGCGAGATGCCGTTTCGAACGCGGTGAGATTCAAGAGGGAATTAACGATTTAGCACATGTTTTGCAGATTTCTCCAAGCTCCGTCCAACCGCACCTTGAAATATCTGCAATGTTATTTTATTCCTTAGCAGATACGGAACGGGGAATAGCGCAAATACGAAAATGTCTTCATTCTGACCCGGATTCCAAAGTATGCAGTCGTCTGTTCAGAAGAGAAAAGCAGATCTTCAAGTCCCTACAACGCGTCGACAAATTTTTGGAGCAGCGGAAATTCAGTAAGGCTGTGGAATTATTGGTGGGTTCCAAGGAGGAAACTGGATTAATTGATGATGTAAAAGAGGAAGTGGCATCTGCTCGTGCAGATGGATATATTCATGAGAATGCTCCTGATAAACTCTATGCCGATTTGATTGAGAAAACATGTGGAGCATATCGAGAAGTTAGTGAATCTCCTCAGACCAAACTTTCCATCATTTTTGCTAATATTTTTACCACTAGATGAACTCCAAACGCAAAGCTAAGCCTTTCTGTTTTGAAGCGCTTAAGTTAAATCCGACCTCTCTTCATGGCCTCATGTCAAAGGCAGAAAATGAGGTTGATTTGGGCGAATATGAAGCTGCGATCCAAACTCTTGGCATCGCCAACGAGCATCATCCAGATTCTCATGCGGTTCGAGCCCTTCATCAGAAAGCACAGATGCTGCTAAAGCGATCTAAACAAAAGGATTACTACAAAGTACTGGGCGTTGACCGCGAAGCTGACGATGCGACAATCAAGCGCGCCTACCGAAAACTTACCAAGCAGTATCATCCGGATAAAGTTCAATCGCAAGGCGTGTCCAAGGAAGAGGCTGAGAAAAAGATGGCTGCCATTAATGAGGCATATGAAGTTCTTTCAGACTCAGAACTGAGAGCGCGGTTTGATCGAGGTGATGATCCAAACAATCCTGAAGGTCGTTCAGGACATCCGTTCCAAGGCAGCCCGTTTGGACCCGGCGGTGGAGGGCAGCAGTTTTTTTTCCACCAAGGGGCCGGCGGACCGCATTTTAAATTCTCTCAGCAAGGATTCAATTTCCCTGGAGGGTTCCACTTTGGTTAATTTCTCTCTCTTTTCCTACTGACCTTTCCTTTTATTTCTTTTCCTTTTTTTATCTTTTGTTTTCTCGTATCTGTATGCATTTGTTTATGATACCACCACTTCAATCATTTAACAGCCAAACCCCTATTTTGCTTTATCATTGCCTATCAGTAAACATCACAAAACGTAAAAATATGCAAATCACCACCAATGGTCAAACATGGACAAGGATGAATCAGAATTAACTGAGAATTTGAGCTATGTATACAGACTCATGTTGCCTGCACATCCAGTCTGAAGCAATGAATGTAATAGTGTGTTTGGCTGGTTCTGCCTCAACCCAAACATCAGTGTTGTTCGAAGCCTGTGCGTCTCAACAAGGCAAATGGGGAGGCTAGGATCGTAGGAGGCGAATTATGGCAGCTGAGATGGATTAACGCTGCACTCAAAGTTACCCACATATACACTATGAAAGATGCTCAACAAATTGAGCAACCATCCTGAACAGAGATCATTATTTTTCAAGTGAAGTTGGAAGTCAAGTAGCAAAGATCCAGCAGGGAATACTTTACTTCCCAAAAACAGAACAGTGTCACAATTGCATCACGTGCAACCATTACCGGTGTCTTGATTTTTCACCACCAAGCCCAAAGCAAAATGAAGACAGTGTAAAAGCGAGTCATGCACCCAATCTAACAATTTATTTGGGCGCATCAGTTAGTGGAACATAGCTAACTCCGAACACTTTTTCCTTATGGACTGAGCCGTCGTCCCTTTTGTCAACCACCCAGATATATTGCGGACCGCCCAAGCCGAACAACCTGGGGCTACCAGCTTCTCCTCCAGACTCAACTGGAATAAACATTCGACCAGGTGCTTTTAGCTGTTCGATCAAAGCTGGATGGATGGTAGCCGCTGCTGCTCCAACGTGAATGGCGTCGTAAGGACCACCTTCCGGCCAACCCAAGCGCCCATCACCGGTAACAAATTTTACTTTACCAGATTCAAGTAGTTTACGGCCACTTGCAGATTTGGCCATATTGCTGCGAGACATGTCGACTAAGCCCTGAATATGGTCAATGCCGATGACATGGCCATCCGTAGATGACGGAGGAGATGAAGAGTCTGTAATTAGATTTGCGAGGACGTGTGTTAGATAACCCGAGCCAGATCCGATGTCGAGCACACGCGACCCGGGATGAAGATAAGGAAGAAGATACTCGCAGGCGTGGCCATGCATATGTGGAGCAGAGATGGTGGCCGAGTATCCTATGCTCTGAGGAGAGTCGGCATACGGGTTGGTTGGAGAGTAGTCACCGCGGTCAACCTGAAACTGTTAGTGCATGTTAAATAAGGTCACATTGGCACCAAAGTCAATTGCATAAGCAAAGCGAGGCCCTACATTGAGCATAGCATTTTTAACTCGTTCAGTTTTGATAAGACCCGATTCAAAGAGGTTATGAACTAGTTGTGCATTGGTAGAACCAGAACAGTACCAGGCCATTGAGGCAAGAGATCTCCTACAGAGGAGCACGGTCACAGTGGTGAGTTTGGGAAGAAAAGACAGGGTGGGCACAAGTCCACTGAATTGTCTTTGAAGCAAGGTCTGGTATATTGCAACGAACAGACAACTGAGACAGGATATGAAACAAAGATTGCGAGACAACACTTTGGTGATTGGTGATGGTTTGTGGAAGAAGTTCCTCGACCAGACAACTGATTAGTTAGTTGTGCCTTCTGACGCAGAACACTAAGATGGAATTTTTGATTGTACGTGTTTGACTGCCAACACTGCTGAGTCCTGACTTCTTGTTGATTGACCACCCGGCTAATATCTTGCATTGTTTTGTGTGATTAAGTTGAGTTTGAAAGTGATGACGTTTTCAACCATTTGGAGGGGAGTCAGCTGGATACCTACCTACAACGTTCGTAAGTCAGTTGCCTAAGCTCGTGTAGAGGAATGAGTTAGTGGTCTAACTTAACTAGTTAGTGGTCTAACTTTAACTAGTTAGTTTAACTAATTTATGATGTAAGGATGACTAACTAAGTAACTTAGTTTCTAGTACGGAGTAAGCTCTCTCGAATAGATGATTATATTTTAAAGGTTGAGGCAAGCTAGAGCTGCCTGCCTATGATCCAAGTGAATTATCACTGTATAGAGTGCCTTGCTGTTCTTATATTATCCAGAGTTCTAGTCTTAGGCTATGAAGCTGTCCTTTACCTGTAGCCTACAGGCCAGGTAGATTTAATATCTGACGAGCTAATTTCTCACAGCATTATCATTCATGAATGAGGTTGAATGAAGTAAACATGTGTATAGAGTACCTTGGAATTTTTCTTAAAGGTCCTTTTGAAATGCAGCCACCTGAACCAACTAGACAAATTGCACTTCTTCCGGACCTTCAACCGCTATTTCTCCATTTTCCTCACCCTTTCCGGTCCCATCTTGCTTTTCGCATTGCATTATATCATCATTATCATCCCAAGACAAGTCATCTCCTTCTGGATGGGTGAAAAATTTGTCTTGTAATGCTTCCTTTGCGCTAGGCCTGTGCATCGGATCCAATTCCAAGAGCCGGTATAAAAGCTTTATTCCTTGTTTTTCTCGGCCAGTGAGCTCTGCGACGCAGCTCGACCATTGCACAATTTTTTCCCAGGAAAATCCCCTTTCCCCAATTGTAGGAATCGTGGTTTCGAACACCTGTCCGTGGAGCGCTGCACAACTTCTCATCCTGCGAGTTCCGAATATGCTAGCTAGCTCGATCATTGCATCTACATCATCAACTGAGTGAAAAAAAGGAAAGCGCCTCCCCAAGAGGGTGAGTAAAATCACACCAACCGACCAGATATCGATCTTAGTGGTCTGCGATGTGCATTTAAGCAATACTTCCGGTGCCCGAAACCCGCGAGTTCCAGCTCGATTCGCTCGACGAGACGGCCGAGAGTCACTTTTTGGATAGCCGGCCGACATGACTTGTGTCTTACTAAAATAGGGTGCATCAACAAGTCGCGTCATACCGGCCATATCGGAGCAGGGGCATGGTTCTCCGCTGAGATACTCGCGCTGATTTATTGTCAAGTTAATTAAGATCAATTACCTATACAGGACTTAGCATTGTCAAATCCGTCAGCACTCACCTCAGCTAGCCCAAAGTCCACAAGAACACCGCGGCGATGCACTGGGTTATATAGAAAATTACTAACGAGCACTATCAGAATTTTCGGTTCCGAAATTGTAGTAAGGGGTCATTGGACTGACGTTGGCTTAATGTCCCGGTGTATTATATTTTCTCGGTGAACAGCATGAAGTGCAATGAGAAGGGACCGGAGATATAATCGCATATCTTCCACTAGAAAAGTGCGATATAACACTCGGAAATCTGCGTGGGGAAAATATGGTAGGACTGCCACAACCTGGTCATGATGTCTGAATGCAGTGATTATAGGGCAGACTGACATGCAACCCCGGAGACTCAGTAATAGTTCAAGTTCGTTTTGAATCCGAAACGGGCTGCTGGTCACATATATTTTCTTTAACGCAACGTAACGCGCGGTCTTCCTTTTTTTCGCTCTTTGCACTGAGACATCCCGGGAATTCCCAAGACGAGGGCGTTTGGAGGGCGCCCGGTCATGATCACCAATCTCCTCCTGTTCTGAGTCCGGGTCCCAGGCATTGCAGAAACGATCGTAGAGCAAATCTTCTGCTTTATAGACAGTTGAAAACGTTCCTTAGGATCAGCTGTTAGTTTCTTCAGAGTACTTGGTTCTGATGGGAACTCGTTTTACCCACAGCTGGGTAGAGTTGAGATCAAAGAGGCATCACTCCACGAACCTTCTCCAATGCGCCGGATTAAGCGATATCGTTCGGAGAACCCGTCGAAACTGTCTTCTAGTTTTTTCATGTCCTCGATTACAGACTCGTCTGTTTCCTCGAGATCACTATCAATTAAATCATCTTGGTCTGAGATGCCCTGTATTTCTCCATGCTCTTCTCCACTCTCTGATATCTCCGTATAATTTTTGTCTTCCTCTTTGATAATCGCTGCTACGTTCCCGTTTGAATGGGATGCCATTCCGGAAGAAAGGTAGAGGTATAGCTCGAGTTAGCGTACGAACTGGACGTATTCAAGGTAAATGCGAGATGTGGAGAACTCTCCAGGGTATATCGCAACTCGAGATTTTTCTTTCCTCGAGAACGTCTGCACGCGACTACCAGACAGCGCGACGCGTCCAAAAACAGAACGCCGCCTCTATTTAACCGAAACTCCACTTAGTTGACGCTCGAATACTGAAATTGAACGATTGCGGCTTTCAGTAAATAGTTATTATCGCAAGATCTTATAAATACCCCTCCACCAGGGCTTTGATCTACCAAAGTTGCGTCGGCGCGCGCGTTATCTGTTGTTGTGCAGGTCAAAGAGGCATCGACAACATCAAAAGCCTTTGACGTGGTAAGTTCCTTAGTTAGTTAACTAGTTATGTATTAATCTACACGTTTACGTACTGCAGAGTACTCGAGTTACGCGCTTCCCACCCGATAGTTACTCTCTACTCCATAGAGTAAGGAGAACATGTCGAGTTTACCGGGAAGTGATGTCTGCATGTATGTCCAAATAACTATCCCGTACAGACTCGCCCGTATGTACTTACAGAGTACAACAACATGTGGAAGAAAAGAGGTGATTATGAAAACACAATCATGGATTATTCACCTTGAATTTTTTTTCAGCGTAGAAGAACTCTGCTCTGGGGAATTCGTCTTGACGTTAGACAGAATATTTACTCATGAAAACTTCCAAATCGCCGCCCCAGCCGCATCTACACGTACCGTATAATCCACCTGGAGGGAGAGAAATAAAATAGCTTGAATCTAGCTCAACCTAGACCTGGTGTGAAGGGAATATCTCAGGATATCACAAAATTCGGTATGTATAGAGTGGGAGGTGATTAATGAACTGCTTTGTATTCTACTCTGTACAGTGTACTTTGCACTCCATATGTTTAAGGTATAAATGTTGCCCCGCAGAGCAGATTTCGAGGAAATTTCTTTCACACTTTGAGTGCAAGACTGTAGAAAGGAAAATTAAAGCAGGAGAGAATAATTTACTTATTTCCTCTACAAAGTAATTAGAGCACATATTAACTGGCTATGCTGAGAATTCGATGTGCCTCAATCTTTTCTAGCAAAGACCCAGGAGCCAGACCACACAATCCAGGGAAGAGCAGTGCTGCTTGGCTCATCTCAAAGAGGGAAAACCCAAACAAACTGACCGAACCTAGCTGACGAACCACAAACATGTTTTCATGAAAGTGCCAAAAGCCGTTCACGAATTTTTCCTGAACATTCAAGAGCTTTTTCAGTGCTGGAAATTTTCTTGTCATATTAATATCCTGTTCATTGTTATGGAGGAGAGAATAGATTTTGACATCAACGAATCGCTGAAGTACTATCTCAGCGATCCCGCCTCTGTCCCCACGCCCGAAGCCGACCCCGAACTCTTAGATTGCGAGTCGGATCCTGAATCGCTAACACTGCTTTTAATCGATGGAGTTCTGGATACAATAGTCGATGCGGTGGCAGAGAACCCTGATGGGCTCTCTCGACGTGGATATTTTGATTCGCTGCAGTTTCTCCTCAAGTCTGCACCTACTTTTCGTAACGTCCAACAATACCATCGACTAGGGCATGATTCTGAAACCTTTGATCAATTTAGATTTCCTGTTGTGCTTCCCACAAAAGCTTTGAGCAAAATTTTAGACCTTGTTGTCTCGGGGCTCGCTGCTGAGGCGGACGTTGTCCACAATGATCTCGAATCCGATGAAACCGAAATTATACCGCACCACAAGAAGTTGCTAGAAATATACGCCTTCTTATTGCAATGGGCTCTTTCTGCAGTAGAAGCTAAGATGGCAGAAAAACCGGCGGTTCCTGTGCCGATCAGAAGAGGGGCAGGAAAGTCTTCTAAATCAAAAACAGCGACCAAAGAGACAACCTGGGACTCTGCAGCGCAGCTGCAGATTGCCATGGAGACTATGTGCAAGGTATTAAAATTAAAACTGAATAAGATATTCGTGACAACGTCAGATCGCGACACATTTGTCAACTTATTCACGCGTTCCATTTACCTTATTCTTGAGAACGAGCAACGAGTGAGAACCATGGCTATCCGCATGCATGCATTTAAAGTCCTATGTATTGCTGTGAAACATCATGGTCATGCATTCGGTAAGGGGTGTGCTCTATTTCCTAATTTGGAAGATCTAACATATACATTAGGCGCGCAGACCTCGATCGTCCAGAGCCTTACATACTTTGAGCATCTTTCGGAACCTATGGCAGAATTCTTGCATATTCTGGCGGAACAATATGACTATCCACAGTTGTCAGACGAGATTCTTAGGTAAGCATGACAGTTGGACATTTTAAGGGTAGATGCTCACATTTATATGACAGAGAACTAGCTAATAAAGAATTTAACCCAAATGACACCAAGGGACCCAAATCCGTTTCTGTATTCATTACGAAACTGTCGGAGCTTGCTCCACGATTAGTGATCAAGCAAATGACATTATTAGCCAAACAACTTGATAGTGAGGTACATTACGATCTGTATGAGTGCACGTGTTCGAGATATTAACTAGAAGAATAGGTTTATGCTTTACGGTGTGCCGTTATCGAAGTTTGTGGCAATCTCATTATTGATCTAAGCAAACAAGATGAAAGAAGTGAGAATGCAAAAACTCAAATAAACTCATTTTTCGACGTTTTGGAGGAACGGTTCCTCGATATAAACCCGTTCTGTCGATGTCGTGCCATTCAAGTTTACATGAGGCTCTGTGATCTGGACCAGAAATTTCCAAAACGACGCCAAACCGCCGCGGAGCTGGCTTCAAGAAGTCTTGAGGATCGCAGCAGCCATGTTCGCAGGAATGCGATAAAACTACTTGCTAAATTAGTTTCTACTCATCCATTCAGTGTAATGCACGGTGGACAGCTGTCATACAAAGACTGGGAAGGGCGACTGGAAGCTGTCGAGACAGAATTGAACGCTTTGAAACCTCCTCCTGAGACACCAGGTTTGGCAGAAATGGGCCTGGAAAACATGAATATAGACAGTGAGCTGCTGGACGATGCGACTGAATTGCTGGACGAGTCTCCATCTAAGGCGCCAAGAATGACTGATGAACAGAAAGCCGCAGCCATAAAGAAAGCGGAAGAGGAGGCAGCGACATCAGAAATGCTTGCACGGCTGCAACTGACAAGAAAGTACTATCTTGAAGCAATTCGTTTTATTGAGGTTTTACATTCGGCGTCCCACGTCGTTTCACAACTACTCTCATCCCGAAATAAGAGCGAAGTGATCGAAGCAATGGACTTCTTTGTCATTCTTGATGCATATAAAGTCGAAACTGCACGACCTGGCATCCGAAGGATGCTTCGACTAATTTGGACAAAGGGGAATAGTGACGAGGGGAAAGGTGTTCAAAACCATTTGGTTGACTGCTATAAAGGTCTCTTTTTCGACGCACCAACCTCATTTAGCCCTAACGATGCCGCCAACTATATCGCTCGCAATATGATCAGTTTAACTTTTGGTGCTACCCCGGCGGAACTCACTTCGCTAGAGCAACTACTAAGCATGATGATGAAAGCCGGGCATATTCCAGAATTGGTGATTGCGAAGCTTTGGCAAGTATATGGCGTCCAAAAAAGAGATATCTCCCGGACTCAGAGAAGGGGCTCCATAATCGTTCTTGGAATGCTCGCACTAGCGGATCATGACGTGGTTGTGAAAGAAATAGAAACAATGTTACGGATTGGTCTTGGGTGTCTAGGTCGAGCTGATCTTCTTTTGGCTAAATACACTTGCATTGCGCTAAGAAGGATGAAGCCGGGCCGTCAAGCAAAGGCAACCGACGTTATATCTCCAAGACTATCCAATGATCATGCTGTCCTTACCAAGCTAGCCGCCATGACAGAAATTATTTCGGACAGCAAGGAGTGGTTTGGCGTTGCTGAGCAGGCAATTAATGCAATTTATGCACTTGCCAAACACCCAGACTGCCTCTGCTCCGACATTGTGCGACGAAAAACTAAATCAGTGTTCCAGCCGCATATACTCTCTCGAAGTTCTCCATTCAACAAAAGCAATGAATCCAGGCTCCATACCCCTGAGCGCCAAGGACCATCACAGAATGTCACTCAGAAGACCAGTCCAGTTGGATTGTCCCAGCTGCTTTTTATAGTTGGTCATATTTCTATCAAACAGATCGTTCATCTCGAATTTTGTGAACAGGAATTTAAACGCCGAAAGGCGGAGCAGGAGAAGAATAGAGCTGTTGATCCTGCCTCACAGAATCAAAACAATGCCCCGGGAGATGATGAGCTTGATCTTATCGGTGGTACAACCGAGGATGATTTCACAGAGGCAATGGCACATATTCGAGAACGTGAACTTCTTTTCGGAGAGAGATCTTTGCTCACTAACTTTGGCCCTTTGGTGGCTGAAATATGTGCAAATAACAATACTTACTCTGACCGCAACCTTCAAGCAGCAGCGACTCTCTGTATGGCCAAGCTGATGTGTGTCTCTGGTGAATACTGTGAGAGGAATCTGCCACTCCTGATCACAATAATGGAACGATCGGAAGACCCCATAGTTCGAAGTAACGCGGTAATAGCACTAGGTGATATGGCCGTCTGTTTTAACCACCTTATTGATGAGAACACGGACTTCCTCTACCGCCGACTTAATGATAACGATATATCTGTTAAACGTACCTGCCTGATGACTCTTACTTTCTTGATTCTCGCTGGCCAGGTTAAAGTCAAAGGTCAGCTCGGCGAAATGGCTAAATGCCTTGAGGACGAAGATAAGAAGATTGCCGATCTCGCTCGAATGTTCTTCACCGAGCTCGCGTCAAAGGATAATGCTGTGTATAACCACTTCGTCGATATGTTCAGTCTCCTGAGCGCGGAAAAGAACCTCGATGAGGATTCTCTACGGAGGATCATTAAGTTCTTAGCTGGATTTGTTGAGAAAGTATGGACTCGATACGCCATATGCACTATCCATATTGCTAAGAACATTCTTCCTATTTCTTAACCGTTGCTAACTACCGTATAGGACAAACATGCCAAACAGCTAGCCGAAAAACTTGCTGCAAGGCTTGCTCGTTGTGATACCGAGAAACAGTGGAACGATGTTGCTTATGCACTCGGCTTGCTACCTCATAAAAATGAAGAGATATCTAGGATTGTCAGCGCTGGTTTTAAGGTTGTCAAGTCAACAGCGTAAAAGGTAGCTGCCGTATATTTTGCCTTTCCATTCCATAGCACACGTACATTTGGAATGGCAAAGTCCTTTAAAGCGTACTCCTATGACCGGCGTCGAAGGCTAGAGCGCTAAATCTTTCGTTGTTTGAGAACAGAATATTTGCTTATCTTAGCCAGGAATTCAAAGGTATAGGATTTTCAGCACGGGGAACGAGCTTTGAGGTATCTCTTGTTTCTAAAGATTCCATGCAAAACAATCTGTGGAATTAACTTATTCGGGAAATAGCTCCAAAGGCGTGCTACTATAGAAGGGTTGATGCCGAGAGTGGAGATTCCTGGATATTAACTGCCGTGGCAATGTTTCGGATCTTATTAAGGAGGAATTATCTATCTCTATATGATGTCTGCTATATCATATCAGACGCAAGCCCGATGGACACAGGGAATTAATTATGTCAAGGTGGAATGAAAGGCTCAAAGAGACAACCTGGTGAATCAAATCAGAATGAAAGGCATCTCTTGCGACATCTAGTAGATATTTGAAGGATGTCAAGAGCCAGATCAGAGAGTGGGTATCTCGAAAAATTGGGAAGCGGAAACAGTACCTCGAGTGGAACACGAGTGCTGTCAAGACTGAAAACTGTGAGGGCCAGAGTACAAAAGGAAATCCAAAAAAGATAATATCCCTGCTGGAACTTAGTCAACAGACGAATCCACTCATACCCAATATCCCAACAGGATTCAGACTCCTCTAACTCCAAACCGGTCATTAGTCAATACTTAACATATTAAACGACTTCTTTCTCCTCGAGCGTGTAGTCTCCTTGCTGGAGCCTTTCCAGGACCTTTCGACCATCAGCTGTCAACTCAGGTCTTCCAGAAGAGTCAACGGGAAACATGAAAAAGCGCGGCTTCCATTCATGGTTCCTCTCCATTCTGATAGCTGCCTTCACTCTTTGGCGTTCCTCTAGCTCATGCTTTTTCTGAGTCGCCAGAGTATACTGCCTAGAATGGATGGCTGCAGTAACTCCGGACCAGCATCGCCGTGATTCGTTGGACAACTGCTTTTCTTCTGGCGGAACAACTTTGGAAGAAGGGAAAAGAGGAGCTATATCAATAAGGAGATGGCGTTCAACGGAGCCAGCTAATGTGTAGTAGACTTGCTCATGCCAACTCCCATCAATTGTTGCAAGGACGTCACTTTCAGGGACTTCTTTTATCTTTCTCTTGTCGTCGTTCTCAGGATCGTAACGGAAGATAACACCGACCACTCTATAGTGCGATCTACCAAGCCAGCCATCTTCGAGGTACTGTAGAATTGTCTTTATCCTAGTTTTGGGGCAGGTAATGTAGCATGTATCTGAAACCGATATAGACAATGATCCTCTGAGCCATCCACCGATGTGAGCCGCAGGGTGAGTTAGGCGATATTCTTCATTATCCCGCTTTTGCAGATTCAGGAAGATACCCAAATTGTGCTTGCCAGGGGCAATTCGAATGCTTGTACCGCTGAACTTTGCAGTGATCTGATCGAAACCACGAGCTATAATACCGCGTTGCGGACAGTCGGCGTAAAACGCCGAAACTGGGGGGTGGTGGGATGTCTGTTCCGTGAGGTATGATATTTTCACCTTTTCCCCGTTTCCAGCAGCCTGAACTCCTGCTGTGATATCCTCAGCAGAATTTGGGAGGACAGGGGACTGATAGTCTTCTGTTTCCCAATAACACTGCGTAAAGAGTTAGCTCTCTCTCACACGGATCTCATATGGGTCGGTGTAGTCAGAACCAACCCTGAAAAATTCGCCTAGGACGGAGTTGTACGGCTTGCAAGGTTTGCTTTGCACGTATCTCTACTCGATCGTCAGGAACCATAAGCTTAATGGTGTGCTGTCAACGGAATATCCTCACCACATCTTTTGTAAACCAAAATCTTAAGACTTCTAGCATACGACCCAGTTCATCATCAGACTTCCCAATACTAAGCAAGTTAAAACGACATTCCAAGGCATAGAAAAGTATCATGCCAGGCATACCTAATAAAATTCTCGGGTCGATCAAGATAATTCCAGTATTCTAACATGAGCTTTAGTTCCATGTCTTCCATCCTGTCCAAGGGTCCGACATACCTAAATTTGGCGTTGGCTCGAGAAGTTGGGCTGGCAGTGAGAAACGAGCAGTCGCGATGTCCGTCACCCCAATGAACCTGATAGAAAAAGAGGAATCATAGTTAGCCTTCGTTTCATACCATGCCAGCGGTAGGATAAATTGAAGAGCGGCGTAGAGGACGCATACCTCCGCAGGATGGAAAAAAAGGTCCTTAATCGTGAGGGATCCTCTGACGCTGGTTTTGAATGGTCAATATCGTGGAGGACAGTATCATGCGACATTGTGAAAGTTGTACTAGGTTGTGTTGGAGCTGAATCAGTAGAGAGAAAATCTTCGAGGACGGATCAGGATACTGGCTTTATTAAAGAGGTAGGATCTGGGGAGAGTTCACCGTCGATCCACGGTAGGGCTCTTGAAAGCGAGGTAATGCAGATCTACACTGGCGGCTGTTTCCTCCCGCCTGTCAGATGCTTGTTTAGAGGCAGAACGGATCTCTATTCCGTGACTCGCGGATCTGGGAATTACCCGGACGTACCCTAATGGAATGCACACATCCCCGAGAGAGCTACTCGTGTTGTTTTTGGGACCTTCAAAGTTTTGCGGATCTTGAAATTTGGTTGCGACAGTGGACTTGGAATGCGTTGTTGGCAAACGTCATAGGGTAACTAGTTCAACCGAACTTAGTCTCTGGCGAAAGATTAGCATCCCACGGCATTTCTGTATCAATGTATCGTGCTGTGGGGCCGAGTATTAAGGACTACAGCGCTCGGTTTGACAAGGAGTAATTCCTAGGAAAATAAGCAATGCCGAGTATCTTGACGCCATTGACCCCTGCCAACCCCAGTGAGCCTCAGAAGCTTCTGCTATCCAATCACACGACCACGGGACCAGATAACGAAACTGATTTTGGGACTCTTCCAAATGTACGGAGTACTTCATACCCTACTGTTAGACGAGACCCATCTGGAAAAGAGTAGGAACCCGGCACTAGCCATGAACCTCTCCAAGACACATCGACATAAGAAGACAGATGCCGTAAGCACAGTACATTGCGTGAATGTATGTATGTACTATGGTAATATGGAGGCATGGACTAAGTGTACCCCGTAGCAATAACATAGCATTCAGCTGGCCTCGCCAAAATCGTAGTGTCCTGTTTCTGAGGCGTGGCGAGCTGCGCCTTTCTCTCCAATGAACAACCCCCCGCAAACACTACACTTGACCTGAAACTTTGCAGTGTCCGTGTAATAATGTTGTTGTTGTAGGATGCGACACAGCTCCACAGCCTTTTCTAAAATAACCTGATCTGCCGAATCGAAAATCTTTGTATCAAAATCGGGAGAGGCATACGCATGATTGAAAGGGGGATCCGAGGGCGAGAGAGCGATAGTATCATAATGTATCCCGGAGTATACTACAATGCATCTTGTTGGTCGACCCTCGCTAAACCGATCGATACGCAACGTTTGGACATCAATGGAGCATATCTCGATGTCGAAGTGTTTACTGAGGATGCTCAGCTCGATACCGCCACCCCAAGCCTCTTCGCTCTGAATCCATCGACAGTAGTCGTCGGGGCTCCGTTCGAGAACGGCTCGGGTATAGACATCCGAGTGCTCGTGGATTGTCTGGGCAACAATCGATCGTAGCTCCGTCATTGTATCCATAGCACCTAGAACGGCGCTTCCGACCGCCCGAAAGAGACATGAATTATCATCCGGCATAATACGAAGGACAATGGTTCCGCCGTGATTCGGGGAGGGAATCTCTGGCGGGTCATTCTCGCTACGCGTAACCTTTTGCTTCGATGATGGGAAATTTGGCCGTTGCTCCGACGAGTTGGAGGGCTGGGTGGTAGTAACTTCCGGGGCTTGGGTAGAAATGGGTTGTGTGTCACTAATTGTAGAATCGTTCCTTTTGATGATGATGAGCTGCTCTCCGTTTAGGTCGACACCGATGTCTGTGACCTTTGATTGTCGACCAAACTGGTCTAGAGCCAGCGATTTTGGTGGATATCCATGTCTGATGTCGAAAACAGGTAAAGAAGTATTTTCTTTAATTTGATCAAGAAGGTCACCAATTGTTGCACTTTCTTGTAGGGAAACAGTGGATTGGCCAGACGGGCCCCTGATCCGGATCCGCATGTTGTGAGCTCAGGCAACTCCTTGACCTGATTCCGAAACAGTGCAAAAGGTGCGATCTATACCGTCAGCAGTACAGGAAAGGGCGCGCAAATTCCCGAGGCTGGAGACAAAATGGATGCTTTGACTGGACCCCCCGCCAACGCTGGCCCCGGCTGCGCGTTTATCGCGGCAAAAGGGGCGTCTGGGAGAGGTTGCAGAGGTGCCTTAATCAGCGCGGATCATTGTATGTCCGTCTCTACTTTTGGTTTAGCGCTGAACAAGCACGCTAACGGCCGCGCCCCCGGTGGAAACTGCACCAAACCACGTGAGAGCTCTGGCTTCCTTTGAACGCGATTCTGTTCCTCCTCACCTGCGCCGTACGGAGTACAAAATAACAACATCCTATCTTCATGTGTTGATTTCACTCCCTGGTGCTGTTAATTGAAAAAAGAATTTATTGTTTCATTTCTGTTGTTCAGCCTGTCACCTTCAGTTCCTCCTGAAAAGTGTTACCGCACACCAGCGATGGCGGAGGCTAGTGTTGGGCCTGGCAACCAAGCCAGTCCCGGGGTCGATCCGCCATCCTCGCAGAATACTGGGCACATTGGTCAAAATTTTGAGCAACCCCAAGCTCTAGCCGAATCAATCGAAACAGACATCAAACAAAATGAAGAAGAAAGCCAAGTCACGGAGGACCAATGGAAAGCAATGTTCGAGCTTGTCCTCTCCATCTACGAGTACCGTGAACCGGAGTATGTTTAACGACCCGAACCCATTCCAGTTATTCTTACTTACTCCAGGACAGTGGTCACGATCCGTCGAGGCTATTTCATCGTAGCGTTAATAAGCGAAACGTTCCCGATTACTACGATGTCATCAAGGAGCCGATGGCGTTGAGCATCTTAAAACAAAAGATCCGCAATCGATCCTATAAAACCTTTGCAGAATTCGTCAGGGATTGCGCTCTGGTAAGATCCCCTCACCGCAAGCCATCTCTCTTTATTTTTCCATTACCCTGTCCCAGCGCTAATGCTTCCCTCTTCCCCAGATTCCGCACAATGCCCAAACATACAATCGACCCAGGTCGCAAGCCTATGAAGACGCGCTCATAATCAAGGTCCGTTGGTGCACATAACACTACGCTTGCTTTAACTGATGCACAAATTGTAGGATGTTTTTGCCTCTGAATTTAAGAAGCTTGCCGATCAAGAAATAATATCTGCAGAGACTGCCGAATTGCCAGACTTGGGCGAGATCCCCGAAGCAGATCCACTTCCTATCGAGGAGGAAGATGACGACGAAGAAGAAGAAGACGACGATGAAGAAGCTGAAGATTCTGACGAGGAAGGCGGCCGTCGTAGACGCAAGCGCTTCCGGCGAGGTAGCCAATCCTCCAAACGTGGTGGTAACAAGGATGAATTCCGCAAGAGCATAGATCCAGCGACGCGCAAGAAGAGAGGCCGACCCCCGCGAGTTGATACACCGATGGAAGCAAGAATTAAAGCAGTACTCAAAGGAATTCGAAAACCTAGAGACCAAGGAGGATTAAAGATTCGACATTTCGAAAAGTTGCCGGATAAAGCCTTGTATCCTGATTACTACACGGAGATTAGGGAACCCATGGCTGTTGACCTCATTAAACGGAAATCCAAAAGAAAAAAGTACGCATCGGTTGATCACTTCATGAGAGACATAGATCTCATGTTCAATAACGCGAAGACGTATAATCAACCCGATAGTCAGCTGTACCAGGATGCCGATGATCTTCAAGCCGAAGCTCATAGACTCGCAGAGCAAGAAAAGAACAAACCTGACAGCGAGTATCTCATGGAAGATGGACGGCTTCCTCTTCCCAATGGAATCTCGTACAAAGATGAGATCTGGAGAGTCGGCGACTGGGTGCATATTCAGAACCCGAATGATGCACACAAGCCTATTGTTGCCCAGATTTACCGGACCTGGCAGGATTCAGACGGCCAAAAGTGGGTGAATGCTTGTTGGTATTATCGACCGGAGCAAACTGTACACCATGTTGACAAACACTTCCTCCCCAATGAAGTTATGAAAACTGGTCAATATCGAGATCATCGGATTGACGAGGTCGAAGATAGGTGTTTTGTGATGTTTTTTACGCGTTACAACCGCGGCCGACCACGGGGATTTCCACCCGAGAAACAGGTGTATGTCTGCGAAGCTCGTTACAACGAGGAAAAGCATAAATTAAACAAGATAAAAACTTGGGCCAGTTGTCTTCCCGACGAGGTTCGAGAGAAAGATTATGAGATGGACCTTTTTGATGGACCTAGAAAAATTAGGAAAGTCCCAAGTCCAATCAAGCATCTGTTGCCAACAGACGCCAAAGAAACAGACGATCTGCCCAAACCAACTTGGGGAGCTGAGAACGCGCCGCCAATTATTGGGGCCGTCCACTGCCGCCCCCGTGATGAAAATGTGAGTAAACCCCCCCCTGGGCCCGGGCTTTTTTTTTTTTTTAAAAAAGATATCCAAAACTCCCTTTCTGACTCTCATCATTAAGGAATCGCCGCCTCCTGAGCCAACTCCACCACCTCCTCCACAGCCAACTTCTCAATCGCAACCAAGCTTACCGCCTAGACCAATGTCTGCGAATCAACCAGCACCTCAAACAAACCTTGATGCGAGGCGCGATTCCCGGTTGAGCGCCGCCAATTTTGCTCCTGTGCCAACGCCATCTCCAGTTCAGCCGCCCCATCTACAGCCGGCGGCACAGGTACCCTTGATGCCTTCGATAGCTCAACAGCCTTTCCAAGTCCCCTCTCTTGCTTCCTCACAGTATCAGCCATCTCAGCCTATCCAAGCCCCACATGTTCCTATTGGATATGCTACCTATCCACAACCTACGCAGCAGCCTTTTGCTATGTCGCACAATTATCCTACGCAAATGCCTAGTCGCGTCCCACAGCCTTCAATGGCGATGCCACATACACATACGCCTAACCCGAACGCGGCGAGGTCCTCTGAGTTCATTACCTTGCCTGAGGAAATCAACAACGCAATCCCCCCAGAAGTGCGAGCGCAGTTCCAATGCGACGACAAAGGCCGTGTGCTTTTCTGGAGCACTCCGCCAATTGATGTGGTGAATGATCAGCCCCAGCCACTCTCTCACACTCCAGAATATCTTGCTGCGAGAGCAAGACGTCAGACAGTCATTGATCGTGTGCGCAGGAAGATTCTTGATGAACAAAAAAGGCATGCGGAAGAGGATGAACAGCACCGATTCAATGAGGAAGAGAAGGTGGCTGTTAAAGAGGAAAACCTTAAGGTCAAAATGGAATATACCAAACCCTCCACACCCTTGCGAACTTTCTCCAGAGAGACCCAAGGCGAATGCCATGGGCGGGAGTTAGAAATCGCTAGAGCATATATAGCCGGCCGCACCACAGACAAAGAGGATACTAACGCCAAAATTTTAAACATTGTTAGACGTGACAAGGGTGATATGTTTGATCCGAAGACACTCTCTCCACGTCGAAAATATTTTCCTGTAAAAGATCACTGGACCTACTTAACTGAGTCCTCAAAGAAGGGTGCTCTAGGTACTTAGCGGGATTGAATTGTTGTTTCTCTTTCTGTGTTTCTTGCTTCGTCTTACCTTCATCACCTCAGTGTTGATTTCTTCTTTTCTTGATTCGCGCCATTCTTTTTTTTTTTTTTTTTTTTTTCTCTAATAGTCCTTTTGTTACATTTTAAGCTACAATGTTATGACTGGCTATGAAGGAAACCCAAGAGCATTTTCTGTGGCGTTTTAAGAGTGGGTGGATGGCGCAAACTTCCTGTACGAGTAGAATTTGGTTCGCTGCTCTCCTGTTTACAGTGTTCATCTTGTAAAGATTACCACATTTGTTTAGGAAGAAAAGGAGAGAACTTGTATGAGTGCAACGTGTCCCTGTATTCTTTTGTTAGTTTGCCTCACCCAGGCTGGGGTTAATTTCAATAGGAGAGACCAGTCGTAGGATTATTCTTGCCGAGAGAACTGTTGCGGAGTTACAAAGGAGAGCATTTCGAACAGGTATTGATGCAGCTCCCCAACCTTTATGCATGTAAACATGACATTCAATAGTATCAAACCTGCGAATTATCTGTTCCCACTCTCCCTGCTTGCAAGCCGCAGCGCAAAAGAAGATAAATTCTAACAAGAAGCCCAATTTATTTCATGGCCAAAGTGCTTTAGTAGAAATGTGCATCGCCATCCATGCCACCACCAGCTTAGTACAAAATGACACACAACGAAATATTTACAATATGCAATGCAATACATATGTGCAGGTACAACCTTGCTGAAAGGAAATAAACAGAGTGTAGTAATAAACTAGACAGGACATACAAATGGAGAAGAATTGAAGGAAGATATGAATGCATATTCCCATTACTTAAGGAAGACAGAGGTAATTTTCGGTCTGTTTTAAGGGGGACAACTGCTGCAGAAGTAACTGCCATGGGATTTAATATGGAAATAGAATAAGGAAAAGAGGAAAAGAAGAAAAGAAGATGATGAGAAGATGATTCGATTTGGCGTCGATTTTCAGGGTAGGCAGAAACAGAGGGGACAGGAAATGGAAAATTTCCACAAGGGTTGACCAACAAAATCGCGCCAATCAGGTTCAACACACATATTACTGGGCTCTCTTGGAGAGCATCCAGCATTTCAACTGCTCTTCCATGAATGAAGATACGCTTCAAAGGCCACAGCCCCAATTATGTTCGTTTTTTGTATACTATATCCTTGGGTGTCGTTGCGGTGGCCGAAGTGTCATCTCTGGAGGTATTAGATGCTTCGTTTGTGGCAGGCTTATTCACGCCCCATGAGCTGTTGCGTTTATTTTCCTCCTCCTCCATAGAAAACACTAAATCTCCTTGTTCCTCATCAATTCTGCTTGTGTTCATCGGTGATGATATCGAACGATCGAGTCGAGTTCCAGTAGTATGACGAGCTGAATTAGGATGTAATGAGGTGCTGCTGAGTTGCTGAGTGATCATTGACATTGAGGGCTGACGTGGAGGACTGGCGATGAACGGTGAGACGTCGCCAGAGCCAGGACGGCTGCCAATCGGACGTAAACCAGGGCTAGATCGCATACTAAGTGTCGAATCACGGAGAGGTGATCCAACATGCCCCAATGCTGACTGACTCTCTTCTTCTTTCTTTTGTCTTTGCTTCGCGAACAGCGCCCCGAATCTAGAAGGACTAGACGCCAACGGTGATCCCACTTTGGTTGATCCCGTAAGTGGCAGTCCTAGGCCACTCAAGTCTCTTGCACCATGAGAATCATTTTCCGTCCGTGAAAGTCGCCTCATTTTTTCTTGGGGAGTTAACACATCATCATGCAGGTTTGTGGGCAAATAATCCTCCTCCATGGCAAAATTATCATCCCAATCGTCCAGAACTGTAGGCCGGGGAAGACTAGCTGATAACATTTTCGGTCGAGATACCCGTTGCGAATGCATAATGCGAGCAGTGTTTCCCTCATCTCCGCTAAGAACTGGCGAAGAGCTGAGAGTCGAAAATTTCTTCAAATCCGATCCAAATGTGTGATCATGGAGATTACGGAACATATCTGGTCTATTGGAAGGAGTCGGTGAAAGATCAAAACCAAATCTCGAGGGGACAGATGAGGCAACAGGGCCATGTCGAGCAATGTAAGATATTCCTTGACTATCGAAGGAAGCGGGAAGGGGAGCGTCAAGTGCAGAGCGTCCGATGGGCGACATAGCACGTCGGCCATCTTCAGGCGGAGATCCATACTTCGAACCGGTGTCGGACACTAATCCCGTGTCGATAATGGGAATGTTCTCAAATGGTGGCTGAGGTTGCATTGGAGGTTGAGGTTGAGGTTGACCATGCATCATTTGTATATCCTCTTGATATGTATACAGCCGAGGGCCATGACCGTTCATCTGCTGCTGCTGCTGCTGCTGCTGTTGTGATAATAGGGAATTCGCAAGTGCCGAATCTTGCGGGTGATAAGGGGGATAATTGACGCGTCCGCCCAAGTTGAGATTTCCACCGCCACTCATCCCCATTCCAATATTCGGCCTGTTCACTCGACGACCATCGGGCAAGATATGCGCCAAAGCGCATTTTGCTCCGAATTTACAGTTTCCCTATCAAAAGTAAGTGCGTTAGTTTCTTTGTTCTGCTCTTCACCCCCGATTTTACACAGGGCAACTGGTGGTAAACTTTGCCACACAAAGCCATCGGCGAACGACTTGAAGCCTTAGGAAAGCAATGGTACCTTTGTAAAGTATTTGCACGGCGCGGAATCAACGGCAGAATCCGTAGAATGAAGGAAGGGACACGCGGGACCTGCTTGACAGGCTCCTTGGCGGAAGAATTTGCAGGGCACATGTTTAGTATCTAATCACCAAGGGCAAATGTAGTTAGTACACGCAGCAAAAGCGAAAAGCGGAAAGGGTTTGGCAATTACTTTTGCTGGGAGGTGGATTCGGAGGGCTGCGGGCCATGTCAAATGAAGGGACAGATCGTGGCTGGCCATTTTGCAAATGAGGAGGGCCGGACGGCACAGGGAGAGGGGCACGGCCTCTGGGATCGTTCGCCATTCGATTTGGAGGCCTCAGAGCACCGTTTGCAGGATGAGATGAAGGAGGATTTCTTGGATCCTGCAGCTGCGGAGGGGGCTGCTGGGGCTGCATGGCGGAAAGATAGAGACACGGTGGGTTAGAATATTGCTGTTTCTGTGGGCGAAGGAGGACCCAAGAAGAAACAGCGGCGGAGAGGAAAAACGACTAACCTTCAGGTCAACTCTCGAGTTAACCAACTAGTTAACCAACTGCCAGGACCAGGTTCGTACCAGAGGAGTTTTGCTGTGGGAGGCGGAACTTATTTACTAGTGGCGGTAGCGTTAAACTGAAAATTCTATTTGGGCCTTAAGAGGGGGAGGACGATGGCAAAGTCATTCACATTGTCAATCATCAGCACACAATTCTTAATTTATTATTGAAACGAGGGTTCCAGCAGACCTGGACAAGTAAATGATTTCAACACTAGTGAACTTCCCGCCAAAATTGAATTGTTTTCTCTTTGTGAATAAGCTGGATATCCAGAGAATTCATGGGTGAAGCCTAGGTTGGTCAGTTAAGTAACCGGTTAACTGGTTAACTACTGACATCCGTCTCCGAAGTTACACGTAAATTGTACTCTGTACTCCGTAGATGTCAATAAAATCAGAACTGATCTCGTAACCTGATTGCGCTGGCTCTAATTTCCAGAGCCATGAAGTCCGATAAGCTAACAAAATATATGTACAAATTGCTGGGCGATCATAGGATCATTTGTTCACCAAGATAACTAGTATTTACTTGAGTCAGGTCAAGGGGTTTGCGCGACATGCGCTGGGAGGGAAGTTCATGATAGTCGCACCCCAGGAGACAGCCCAAATTAGCCAGGGAGATATGTGACTACCTGTTGCGTTGTGGCGAGAGAGTTCAATGAGTGGCATTCAAGTTGATGCAGATGACCTTGAATTGAGGGGCTTGTCACCTGGGCCCTGCAGGGCGTCTTGGTCTGTGGTTTCATAGCAAGGTACGGAGTACACAGGCATGCTTGGCCTCGCGCTTGAAATAAACCCATGATTGTGTCTGGGCTGTTTATTTAACGAAATGATGTATGTAGGAGCTACATCCCCTCGCTCCAGTCCTTTAGCCATAGTCTCACAGCTGACACAGAACCATAAAATGCTGGAAGGGAACTCCTGGAACCAGCAGGGGCAACATGTGGTTGTCTCGATTATGCCACGTTCTTGGATTCGCGCGGAGTTAAAATACCCTGGTTGTTTGGTTGTCATGCATCTTAGAGCCACAATTTTCTGAAACCATATTATTAAATTGTGTCAGGGTTGGAGTGAACTTTTGGGCTCAAGTGTCACTTGAAGCTCAGAGCTTACCACCCTAACAGGAAGCCTACGAGCAAAGTCACCTGGATGGTCACCACAAAAGGAACTGCATGCAGTTAGGTAGCCCCTTTTTACTTGATTGGAATGATGTGGAATCACTGAGCTTAAGATTATTATGGCTGTTTCTATGGATTGACTAGTTGCTCTGTGCTGCAGGTGGCATTAGTTACATATTTAGTTACACATTGCATATCAAACTGCGGGTATAGTTGTTCTTCAACAATGACCCGGTTATCGTAAATAATCTCTGTTGAAAATACCCTATCATCCCAGGCGCAATAACATGCCATGCGCTTAGCAAGACGTGTCGACAGAGGAATCTGATTGAAAGCTACAGGGCCACACAGTGCCCATAGAATTCTTGACTCCCTTGCGAGAAAGGCAAAGGCTCGGCAGCCTCTAGGTTCTTGGGCTGCCTTCTAACCCCAGAGATTCCCAAAGCTCCTCCTTGCCCTGTACAGCTTCCGGTAACACCTCTGTGCACCTCATCCACATCTCATGGCATATTTTTTTTCGCACTGTCACATGTTTGCGCCATTTTCTCCATTCCTTTTCCAGGCTAGCTTTCTCCTCCGCAGTGACTGCTTTGGCCTGCACGGAGCTAGCTTTTGATGGCGCCAAACTAGCTATCAAATTCCGCTTTTCTCCCTCTAGGGCAGCGAGACACTGTCGTAGCTCGGAGGTAGACACCCTCCCATTAAGAGTAGTGAGCTCTGCCTTTAGCAGTTTATTCTGGGACTTGGCCGAAGCGACTTGGCTTTTAAAGGCCTGAATTTCTTCATCAAGGCCAGCGAGCCCTTCTGGAGTGGATTCATCTATTGCATCCTGGATCGCATGGTACACGATTTGCTTGCCTAAAAATAGAATCACGGATTTAGGACAAGCATTGGCTTTAATACCCAGCGCCTTTGAAGACGCTCGAAATAGGTGATTACTTGCCCGAGGCCCTGCCTTCCACCTGCTTTTTCTCGTGCAGTTCTCTCAACGCTTTAGCAGTATAGGCTAACCCACCTGATTAGCATCCCGTTTCTTCATGCTGCCAGCAATGAGAAGGTTATTCCCGATTTACCTTTTGTTACCTTATTGTGGAGGTTGGCACTGATGTCAATCGCCTGTCGCACGGTTAGCATCTGTCTGGCTCCTAAGACATTAATATCAAGCTTACGGAATATGGACGACTATATTTTTTGCAACAATACAGCCGTAGATCAGTAGAAATCCCATGAGCAATTCGGATTTTCGCAAGAACCGGAAAATCGTGGCTATAGGACCACATACTTTTGCTGCCCTACCCAAAAGGCGTGTGTTGGTAGGGGATTGATCAAATGCCCAAACTTTTCTGGGACAACTCACGAAGATATTCTAGGATCAGCGCATTTCCTATTCTTTTCGAGTCAGTACATAAATATGACAATTGTAGATCTCCAAAGGTGCCTCATTGGGAAATAATCAAAGCGTGATGTGCATAGATAGGTTGAGGGTAGCTACCGTCCTCAACAGATCCCTTGTCTCCCTTTTCTGTTTTCTCCTTTCGCGGTGCCATTATGCTTCACGTTGGCAATGGGCATTCAGACCTGGATATCAGTTTAAGCAGGTTGAGCACGCCCAGATAGCATTCGTCACCGTGGACCCCGCATTCTACTATTCCAAGACTCCGTATGTGTGGATGAATTCCACGTGAAAGCGTCTTTCGCTTAATCATCAGGCATGCGGCTCCGCTGCGTCGCGCCATCATGCAGCGGGTGATCCCCCCCTAAAAGGCTTGGCGCTTCTGGACGGTAGACTCCGATTGGTCGGGAGAAGACACCAATTTTGACAGAGCAGCCGCCAGGGCACTTATCACACCAATATCGAATCCTACGGGGTGGGATGCGTGTCCACGTTTGATTTAAACCGGTCTATATAATACATTTGAAAACCTGGACAGGGAGACAGCCATGGAGAAGCCATTGTAGTTGGAGGCTTGAGGGGCAAGAAAGCAAAGGTACATTTCAAGGATCAGAGGACACCAGACATAGTTCCTTTGGCAGGTTGCTCTTCATTTAGAGATGTCTTAGCAAAGGGTTTAAGCACAAGCACCGAGCAGATAAAGCTCCGACAAGGACGCCTCAGAAGGAAGAGTGAATGATGTCGCTGGATTTGCTAATGATAACAATAACAAAGCATCAAGGGAAATAATTAACGAGCTCCTAATGACATGTCCTAACAATATATTCCTAAGACTGTGGCTAATGAATTCCAGCCCAAATACTAGCTTCCCCGAACCGGAGAGGGAATTCAAAAAGCATAAATTCCACTTATCCCGTATCTTCCTCTAGAACTTCCCAAATCTGAACTGTGTATAGATATATGGCGTATTTTTCTGAGGCTAAGTTAATGGGAAGCAATACGGCGTAGCTTGTGTTTAGCATAGTTGATGCTTGCTATACTGTCATCGTCGACGCCACTTTAATGCATCCCAACAGTATCCCCTAAAATGGTTAATAACTTAAATGGAAATCGAAGAAGCACCGACAGAACGCCGAACAAGCTGCCCTATTAATGTAAGTCGTAACTGAATATGAGTGATTCTCTGAGAGACAGCACCCATCACATAACAACCTAAGACCAGTTAGCATCATCGGATTCTCTAGTCCACTTTTTCGACAAAAAATGCTACTCACACATTCCCCTTCAGTTTTGCCTTGAGGAACGCCCATTTCCTCAAAAGTTTTGGGGCCCTTCCCAGGTAATCCAGACGCAGGCTTTTGAGCCTGTGCCGGGTTGTTTGGAGAAGCATTCGAAGAAGGTGATGGTTGCGGTCTAGAGTCACCTCGTGCTGGGAACTTCCCAGTACCTTGCCCGTGTGGCATGTGGCCTGCAGGGTTAGGCGAGGCGGGCATTCGTGACTGCCGTGGATCTGATGGAGGAGCAGGCCTGCCTTGCACTGGCACTGACTGGCCATGGGGTTGGTTTGTAGTGGCGGGTCGCTGTAATTTCCGCCTCCTATCGGCACCTGTAGGATCAGGGGGCGCTGAGAAACCAATATCTAACTTTGGCGAGGGGGCCGCTTGATTAGTTGGATAAGGAGCCATACCAGGGCCTGGAGGTGGTCCGTAGCCTTGAGGGAGGCCCACTGAGGCAACACGTTGTGGCGGAAGCTGACCGCCCGGAACAGGTTGTGTCCGTAGATTTGGGTTAATACCGAACGCAGAGGTCGGCCGAATGTCGGGGCCGTACTGACCTCCGGGACCACCAGGGCGCCCATAACGAGAATTTGGGCCTTCGGGATAAGGAGCAGCCGAGACCGGTCGAGGGCCTGTGGGATCGGCAGAGATAGTCATTTTGGAGGGATCTGGCATTTCCAATGTTTCCTGCGCCGGCCTTTCATTTTGCATAGCCGCGTAACGTTGTTGCTGATTTCGCCCATGAGAAGCATACTGTGATTTGATGCGTGCAATCGCGACACGCTCATGATCCTTTCTTGACAAGGTCTTAGATCTTGATATGCTGTCAATTCGTGAAGAAGCGTCTTTGTTACCACTGGCAGCTGCTTTGGCATACCAGCTCCGGGCTTCTTTAAGGTCCACTGGTACGTGTATACCGATCTCATAAAAATACCCAAGGGCAAATTCAGCCGTCGGAAGTCCATTTTGGGCGGCTCGTTTAGCGTAGACAAATGCCATCTCATCGTTCTTCTCAAAGACACCTTCATGTCCGCAAAGGAACCATTTACTGATGGCCATCTCAGCTTCGGGCTCACCTTGCCGTGCCGCGAGTGCATTATAGTGTAGAGACAAGGCTGGATTGAAATCGCATCCTAGTTGACACAATTCATAAGCTGCCCCCATCTTTACTTGGGCTTTCGCAAAGCCGTGATATGCGGCTTTTTCAATATTCAAACGTGCACCATTCAAGTCTAGGGGCAAAAATTCATCGGGAACGGCAACCTGGGGAAGCTCGCGGGCTAACAGCATTCCATAAACCTAAATAAAAAGGGGACATTGAGTCAATCAACACCCAAATTATGACGGGCCGAAGCTTTCCATAACTTACGTAGGCGCCCTGAGGAGCATTTTCATCACATGTTTGGGCAGCATATCGGATATGGTCCAGCCCTCCGGCATAATCTTGGCGTTGTCCATGTTGTCCCAAGAGTATCATCATCCCCAATCGCTAGAGAAAAATTAGCATAGTTTTTTGTTGAAAGGTTAAGCGTCGCCACTCTTACATAATATGAGGCAGAATCACCGAGGCTTACACCTTTTTCATAATGTTTGATTGCCTTCAAAGGTTCATTTGAATTCTCAAACTGCATGCCCATTCGATATTCGGCTCTCGCATATCCCTTTTCAGCAGCCCGCTGATAGCACCGAAAAGCCTCCTTCTTGTCGATGCGGAATCCAAATTTCCCAAACTCAAGCCACATACCGCGGATGAATTCTGCTCGCGGGTGTGATTGATCGGCAAGAAACGAGACAATGTTAATGGCATCAACCTTCAACTGATGCTCGCCTTGTGGAGTATGGGGTCGTGGGGGTTGAACGACGGCAAGGCGAAGCTCATTTTGCATGGCTACCTCCACGTAGGAAAGGGCATCTTGTGCCCAAGCAAGTTGCATCTCTGGATCATTGGAGCTTAGAACTGCGACCCGCCCACGCTCGAGGTTCGCTTCTCGTTGCTCATCGCTTGGAGGAACGTTGGGCGGTGGGTTCCGCAAGACTGGGAATGGCGAGAAATTAGGGTGGTCCATGTAGTCGTTCGCCGGAATGTGACTGCCAGGTTGCGCATGTTGATTCACATACGAACTACTATTATTATTGTATGCTTGAGTCGGCATCGAAGAGTTTCGAGCTGGGAACTGTGGTCGGTGGGCGGGAGGATAATGATTCGCCGTACGATGCGATCCAGAGGCTTCCTGTTCGAGGTGGGCAAGATTATCTTGCATATTTTCGGGAACTTCAGGCATCACCCTGTCAAAAGAGACTGTAAGTGAAAGGTTATCACAAAAGCAACAGATAGACGCCGTCCTTCGATTTTATTACCTTTGGGGTGCCGGAGATATTACTTCTGGCATTTGGTAGTCATCCGTTGCACCTGGATAAAATGTTGCTCCCATTCGTGGTCGGGAGGAATCGTAAGGTGCAGCCATAAGAAATATTATTAAATATTATCACCAAGACCTGCTGAGAAGTTGACCCCCCTAGTTAATTTGAACCCCACCGATTCCATTCACGACAACCCTGCAGCAATGGAACGCCCAGGGAAATTTTGGCTGGTTGTCATCAAAACAAGCAGCAAAGCAGCCAGAAGGCATGAATAGCACCTTATGATAATGATTGGAAGAGAAGGCCTCATGAAAGATTCAACGAATATTCCGCTGCACTCCGTAGCTCCTGTTTTTATCAGGGAAAAATTTTGATCAATTTAGGTGGGGGGAAACTATGGAGTACGCCGTACGGAGTACGAAAGGTACAGTTGGCTGTAGCGCAGGCGCCTTCGACTTGGCGGAGGGTGGGGGCTTTCGATAATCAGCGCCGCCCCCCGGCAGCGACCAGCAGAACGTTGATGTTGCAACTATTTTCGAGATAAAACATATATAGATATCTTGAGCTTTGGCAATAGGATGGAGCAATAGCCCATGTTTGCTAAGGATATGCTATGCTCATGTATTATGTTGGTTAGTGAGTTGGTTAACTAGTTACTTGATTGCTGGGCTTAGTCTGAATTCCAACATCAAAGGCAAAGCAAACGTACGAAGGACATACTTTGTACTCCGAACATGGTTACCTAACTATGGAGTATATGCAGAGTGATTACGGAGTACAGGGTAGTTACTCCATACATAATTAGTTAACTTGTAAATCAAAAAGTCACTGCTGAGGTTACGAGAGAGTTGCAGGGACAGCCTGAGGGCAGGTGCAACAATCAGCTGTCCCAGTGAGAGTCAGGGTGCCATCAGCACAGCGTGCACGGGTTGAATACAAGCTGCGAACAGCTAACCAACAACAGAGTAGCTGCAGTGTATGAAGGACAGAGAAATTAGTTCGTCCACAATCTTTTCTCCGAGGTCTGGGGCTTTCATTTATTTAGTAAGGGGACAGAGCACGGAGTACAGCCGCGTGTAAGTTCGGATGACCAGCTGATTTTGTCGCTTTATTAACGACGACTGTCAGGTAGCCAGTTTTCACAGAGGACTGGTCCGTCCGGGATTCACTAGTTTTATCTGCTCATTAGAAGAAGATCCGGGATCAAGCTCAATTTGGGATGTTCCAGACGGTTCCGAGATGCGTGGACCCGCTTGAATGTAATATTCTCCAGTCTCCAGTTTTCAGGAGCGGTGGAACTTCCATGGCTTCGCGGACCTTCGCTTCTTCAAGACTGGCTTGTTGTTCCTGAACGGAAGCGGAGCGAGCCTGATGGAAGAGAGGAATTTGAGAGACACAAGCCAGTACGGAGTACTCCGGAAATAAAAGATTCTGCGCTTGGGTTTCAAGGCTCCTCTCCATCCCAAAGGATCTGAACCCTAGCGCGCGTGCGCGCCACTGCGCCACGGGGACCGCGTTCCAATTGTTTCCAGCGAGGAAGCTCCATCTAAACAATCGAATCCGACCGTACGGAGTACCCAGGATACAGATCAACTCTCGGTGTCCTGACAGAACCACTGTGACCTGACAACCTGTAACAAAGTATAAATTCAGTACAGAGTGCTGAACGCTCAAAAATTATTCCCCCCAAAAATCATTCCCTCAATTCCCCCTAACCCCTTAACCCTATCCCTAATCCCCCAAATCCCTCCTATATTGGTTGCTGCGCAGCGAGATTACACAACTGTGTAATATTACTGATAGATATTGGTAAGTTTGCATGGTTGCTTACACACATCGCGAGGTGAGCTCATCCCACTGTAGGGTCATCTGTACCCTGATTGAGTGAGTCCGCGGAGTTTTAAAGGTACCTATATGCGCCGTACATATGGAGTCTACTTCGGAGTTACCACCCTGCAGATAACTTATCCCTATTTTAGAGGTCGTCCGTCCCGAGTTACCTAACGTGGTATATGGATTTACGTATATATGCACAGTACAGTACGGAGTACTCCGTACATACAAGCTTACATACTGAATCCTCCGTAAGGAGTACATTGTGGTCCGTGTTTCCCTAGCCAACTACGACGAGCTAAGGGGCCCGGTGGTGCAATTTAACTTTTGCTTTTCCAGCAGACGCGTCTCCTAGAGCGCGGTCCCGCGTAACACGTGGCGCAAGCTTGGAAAGAAGTCGGATGATTCTCGTTCGTGATGACCGGTGCGTCAGTATCTGCAGAGTGCTCCATAGTGAACCAAAGCTAGAACAGTCGTTTCGATGGCCTTGACGTCCCCTCGTCTCATGTCCGGCCATGAATCCATCTAGCAAGACCTTCTATCACCCTTATTCTCCCTATGACATCCAGGTTCAATTTATGCGTTCTCTCTATACTTGCATAGAAGAATGTAAAGTTGGCATCTTCGAATCTCCAACAGGTGAGTTTTGTGAAGCATTTCCAAATAGCCATATACCGTGAGTATGAAATAGACTGACATATTTTCAAGGCACTGTAAGCATTCTAACTCCGGAGGGGGGTGTAGTATGAGAATATTTCTTTGAGATCCGATGCTCCTGAAGAGAACGCTGCAGACGCAGAATGGGATCTTATGTTCTTTAACCAATTCGCCTCAATCCCCAAAGAAATTCGCCAAGTAGTTATCTAACCGGGAATGCTAATTGTGATGGACAGGGGAAGTCCCTGAGTTTAATATGTGGCTCGTTGACGTGGCTACGAGACCATAAACGATCGGTTTTCCTGGAAGACATAGAGAATAGTGATGGTAGAGCAACTATAGCTTGCGAACAGTTCGGTGCTGACCAATACATAGGTGATGACGAGCCGGAATGGATCTTGCAATATTCAAGAAAGGAAAAGAGGCGAACCATCAGAGAAAGAAGGAAGCGAGTGGAAGATCGATTATCACGTATCCGCAAGGAGGAGCTCCTGCGTGAAAAGGCAGCAATAGCCAATATACCATTCAAAAAGCAGGTATTGTTGGTACGAACTCCCTTTTTAACACTTACGGTGCTGATGGCTCTCCAGAGGCTGGAAGATGGCAAGCGACACTTGGATAAAATGGCCGATGATGGGGCATTCGAGCTGGATGAATACGATAGTGACAATCAAGAAACTTCAGCCCATGACGCTAAGGGTAACAGCGATCTTTCTGCCACTACTATCGCACTACTGGAGAAACTTAGTGGCTCAGCTAAGATCCAGGATGACTTCGAAGAGGAAAATCCTGTCAAAATTTTTTATTGTTCCAGGACCCATTCACAGCTGGCTCAGTTTGCACGAGAGTTGCGGCGCGTGGCGTTTCCGCCTAGTATACCGCCGGAAACCGAAGATGGAGAGATAGATACTCAAGGAGAGGGCAGAAGACACCCAGACACCGAATTAGAGGAGCCAACGAAGCATGTATCGCTCGGCTCAAGGAAAACGATGTGTATAAACCCGAAGATTAGACGCCTTGGGAATGCCACGGCCATCAATGAGCGGTGTCTTGATTTGCAAAGTTCCAACGTTCTCCCGGAGCATAAATGTCCATTTGCTCCATCCAAAGAGAACGAGTTAGCTATTAGTGACTTCAGGGACCATGTTCTTGCTGAAGTTCATGATATTGAGGATATAGGTAAAATTGGGCAGCGCACAGGAATTTGTCCGTACTATGCGTCCAGATCCGTTATCGGCCACAGCGAAGTAAGTACACAGACAACTCGATGCTTATGCTCTGTCAAAACTGACTTTCTTGCCTCAAGATTGTCACACTTCCCTACCAGCTTCTGCTTCAGAAGTCAGCAAGGGATGCTCTAGATATTTCGCTTAAGGACCATGTTATTATCATTGACGAGGCCCACAATCTTATGGATGTAATTGCTAATATTCACTCAGTGAACGTTTCTCTCACCCAGCTCCGAATCGGTCTCGAACAATTAACTATCTACGCAAGAAAGTATAAAGCTCGGCTTAAAGGCAAAAATAGAGTATACGTTGCGCAGGTTATGCGCCTACTAGGTTCTATAGCCAAATACCTTGAATCCGTACTGGCTGCCAGGGAACTTAGGGAAGGTGCTGTAGATCCGTCATATCTAATGAGTGGAAAAGGAGTTGACCAAATCAACTTACACAAGCTCTCGAGATACTTGCAAGAAAGCAAGCTAGCCCGCAAAGTAGACGGGTATATTGAAAGTTCAACATCTTTGGAAGAGAAAAATCCTGAAACGAGTACGACAGTGCCTGTTTTGTTCCAGGTCCAGTCATTTTTGCTCTCTTTGATGAATCCGTCGGCGGAGGGCCGCCTCTTCTTTGAGAAGAATGGTAACGATGTTCTGCTCAAGTATACGCTGCTGGACCCAACAGCACATTTCCGGGAAGCGGTAGAGGAGGCAAGAGCCGTCATTCTAGCTGGAGGGACAATGTCACCTGTGAGTCCTCCACCCACCCTGTTGTTCTTCACTAAACCTTGTGCTAGATGAGTGATTACAGAGACCACCTTTTTTCCTATCTTGCCCCGGGCCAACTGAGAACTTTTAGTTACGGTCATGTGATCCCCACAAGTAACCTCAGCGCAAGACCTGTATCAAGAGGAATACTGGATACAGAGTTTGATTTTACTTTTGAAAAGAGAAATTCCCGTGCAATGGTAGAAAACAGCTCCTTTTGTCCATGGTGATCAACAGGGCTAATATGGCATAGATCATTGACCTAGGCAAGACCATCAGTGAGATTTGCAAAGCCACCCCCGATGGTGTGGTAGCTTTTTTTCCAAGTTATGACTTTCTGAACCAGGTGGTCGAAATTTGGAAGCAGCCATGTTCAAATTCGGGTAATCCAAGCATTCTCGATTCACTTGGGTTGGTAAAGCCGTTGCTCTACGAATCCAAAGAAAAAGCCATGAATACCGAGGCGCTTCTCCAGAAGTACGCAAACTTCATAGATGAAGGCAAAGGAGCGTTGCTGCTATCGGTCATGGGCGGAAAGCTTTCCGAAGGAATAAATTTCTCGGATCGGCTTGGTAGAGGCGTGATTGTCATCGGCCTTCCATTTGCCAACATTCGCAGCGCAGAATGGCAAGCAAAAATACAATACGTGGAGAGGAAGACTTATGAACGGTCTTCGGGGGGTGAAGAAACTAGAAGGAGCAAAGCCAAGCTTGCGGGCAGAGACTTTTATGAAAATGCCTGCATGCGGGTGGTGAATCAATGCATAGGGAGGGCGATCAGACATCAGCACGATTATGCTGCTATCCTCATGTTCGATCGGCGATATGGGACAGCACGCATACAATCCAAACTGCCAGAATGGATTCGGCGGAGTCTGGTTTCTGCTCCGATCGGAGCTACAATAAATAACCTATATACGTTCTTTGAAGAAAAGAGTTCCATAGAAGTGACAAAAGAGAAATAAATACGTTTCAAGCTTCTGCTCGACAACCGTCAACATTATTGTCCTGTTCCTGAGCGATGATAATTCGACTGGTCCTGTGTGGTGCAGCTAGTGTATTGATCATGTGATTTGAAAGTTTGACCCCGGCCGTTGCTCCGTACTCAATGCCAAGATTTATTACATAATTTCCACTAGTGAATGCCAAGAATCTCAGGGCTTGACCCTACAAGCGAAGGGTTTTGGCACACACCTCGACGTCCGAATTGTCAACAAGTCCAACGCCCAACGCAACGTCTTCCTCAACCTCCTTGTCGGGTACAGCACAGTCGACAAGATGCCTACCAGATTCTCGAAGACAAGGAAGCAGTGAGTTTCCCGGACCAAGTTTTGACACAATTTCGGTTTTACGTGCTCCACCGATCCAACTAGAGCAAAGTCGCCTTTAAACAAACCCTGAAATACTAACCGTCTTTCTCCTTTTCTTTTCTAGCCGCGGCCACGTTTCCGCCGGTTATGGTCGCATTGGCAAGCACCGAAAGCACCCTGGAGGTCGCGGTATGGCTGGTGGTCAGCACCACCACCGAACCAACCTCGACAAGTACCACCCAGGTTACTTTGGAAAGGTCGGCATGAGATACTTCCACAAGACAATGAACCAGTTCTGGAAGCCCACAATCAACTTGGACAAGGTACGTCGCGACATATATAAGGACCTAGCTGAAGGCTGCTGGTGGACGGAGATGATGGATCACAATGGAGGAGCAGGGCGCGAAAAGCTAAATGGTCAGATGGATGCTAACTGGTATGGCTTGTATGTATAGCTTTGGTCCTTGGTTCCTGCGGAGACCCGTGAAGCCTATGTTAGCAACCAGAAACCCGATACTGCTCCCGTCCTAGACCTCCTTTCTCTCGGTTACTCGAAGGTGTTGGGCAAGGGCAGACTTCCAGAGGTCCCGATGGTCGTACGAGCGCGCTACGTCAGCAAAGAGGCCGAGCGAAAGATCAAGGAAGCTGGCGGTGTTGTTGAGCTGGTGGCATAAATGGATGGGAAAGGTATGATTTTGGCGTGGGAATATGCCGGGAAAACCATCATTCGAGTCCAGGGTTGATTTTATTCTTTCCACTTGCCTGGGGAAATGGAAACGAAACCGGTGTTGGGCTCGATAAACTAAAGCATGTCTGGTTTGGGGTTCAGTGTTTCATAATGCCGGTGCCTAAGGAAGACGGACTGGGCAAATGAACTGCGTCCCTCCTTGTTACGATCTCATTGAATACCATTCATAGGTGGAATGAATAACCTTCAAAAAACAGATACCCAATATTTTCACCTCCAGACAACCACATAGGAACTAGAATGTCGATCCTAAACTTGTTTCCGCGGCAGGGCGCTTCCTGGTACTTTTCCACTACAAGCCAGAAGCCACAGGATAAGGTTTTGACGGAATTCTATGCTAGAAATAATCAAGGTCGGAAGTGCCTAGCCGTATGAGGGTGAAAGCGGGGAAAAGCAATGGCTGAGCTCACTCTGTTTTCATTTATACACGTACCGTTAGTGAGCGGAGTAAAGGACTTCTAGCGTTCCATTCTTGACGTGGCATGTACCTCCCCCTGGCGAGTTATTACATGTGAACGCACGAAATCGAGGTTACTGCTGAGGTCTGCAAATTCTTTGGCTGGTCCATACGACTCCCTTGGAGAAAAACCACCCGAAATCATGTCGAGGGGTGTTCCGGGTGCGGGAACGATAGTACGGGCGGATTAATGGCTAATTGGTTCTAGAGCCCTCTGCGAACGTGTATAAGAGGGTGTGGATTAGGAATCTGCCAGTATCACAAGGCGACATAGTTTCCTCCAGTCGGTGAAGCTGAAGAGGTAATCCGTCTGGGTGGTATTATTGTTGGTTGTTGACGTCCGGATGCGCAGATCCTTGGGACCAACAAAAACGGCCCGATGCGGAGGTGTTCTTACCTAATTGAATAGTTTACATGTTACTCCGTACTCACTGAGAGAAAGACGCCGTACCTCTGGCGCCATAGGCTTCGGCATCCCTGTCCTTTGCCAATATCGTTTCACTCAAGCAGCCCTCGGGCCTCAATGCCAAAAAGCCCTCGGAGGACTGTGACAATGGCTGAGGATTATTTAGGATACAGGGTATAGAGTACTCCGTACAATCACACCCAACAAATGGAACAAGCCACATGCTGATCGACGCGTCCAAGGTATCCTGCAAAAGAACAAATGATTGTCCCGGGGGGGGGGGTTTCCGAAAGTTACGGCAAATAATGGCTGCGGACCGGCCAACTGGCTGATGAAGGTCTACATCCGCAGCCGGATGTGAGGATGGTGTGTTAATGTCAAAGTTCACAAGTCCTATTACTCCATATTACAGTTGTATAGCTATCGGAGCAACAAATGATCAATGGTGTTGCTTAATGAGAGTCACGAAGGTAGGTAATAATGCAATGTGGATTGACTCGAAAATCTGCACGAAGCAACGAGCAAGTTCTGCCTGAGCGATCGACGGCCACCAACCCTAAGATCCACCCCCCATCCCGCAGTTAAGCTCACATGCCAAGACTGCCCACATCCACCCGACTAACATCGTTCATCTGGTGTTGATATTTCTCGTCTCTGCTCGCTCTCAAGCTGCTGAACAAGAAGATTGTCAGTGGTCTTCCAAGCCATGTTGACGATCACGAGGCCGTTAATTCTTACATCAATGCTTATTCGGCATCTTCCTCGACATCACTGGTTTCAATGTAGCCCCCACGCCAGTTAAGTCCCGCGCAAGTTCTCTTGACAAGCTCTTCAACGTCTCGGGCGTTCAGCTGTCCACGCTTCTTGAGCGTAGGGCACAATCTCTTTGCGAGTTTATCCTCAGATTCAGTTTCACGGAAATCTCCAAACCAGTTAAATCCTGCGCAAGCCCTCTTAACGAGCTCTGCCTTGGCTTCCTCCACGGAAAGCCCAGTTTCACCTCGCTGCTTAAGTGTCGGACAGAGTGTTCTTGCGATAACCGCATCGTCCACAGGGGCGGGGGCTGCCGAGGTGATGGCAGCAAGACCAGCAAAAATGCTGAGTGCGGCTTTGAAATGCATTGTGATAAATTTATTGAGGCAACTGCTGGGTTCTTCAAATGGGAGGAGGGCTTTTGCAGACTTGTGTCGAAATTGGAATTTTGTTCAAAGCAGGCGAAGATGATGAAGCAGCCATATATATGTTGATTTGTCCCATCTTCTTACCACAGCTTCTTCCATGTCAGGTACTTTACCCCCCACTGTCAGTCTCTTGTCACTTCCAGGATGATCATCAATTGCAACCCTATCAATGCGGTGAAATTTCCTCTCTTCATCCTATACCATGCCAACATGGTATGACGCACTCACCAAATTTCGTTGGTTATCCCCACTCCAGCTTTAGGGTAAGAAATGTGTATTCTCCGAAGCTGTAGTAAAAGGATATCCCCGGATATTTTACGACGCTTGGGCCGCTCTAGGGTAATAGTAACAAATCTACTTTGTAACTACGTGGTAATTCCCATCCCATTGCCACCAAACTCTTCACCTTCACAGATGAACATGCAATGAGAGTGGCAACAATGGCTATACCCGAGAGCGGGGGTCACATCTGATTCCGTCACGCGTATTGAACAATTTGTTCCCATTTCCTCTGGTTCGCTATGGAGCATGCCCCAGCATTTGCAAGGTTATCAGTGTTTAATCCGAGGACTGGAGGTCAGGGGTTCTCCCGGGCTCTGACCGTGAAAAGTTTCCTTTTCCATGATAATAAAATACCAACACCATTCAAGATGTCGGCTGAGGGCAAATACTGACGAAAGCCACTGAGTCATATAATTTTTTCACTTGAAGAAATGGAAATGGAGGAAAGCGTGGCTTCAAAGCCAGGCTTTGAGCAGCTTCGTCAGGAGGGAGACAATGAGAGCGACCGTGACATGCTTTCCGCCGAAGAGGACGGCTTTCTGGGGCAAAAAGCAAGATTGAGAAAGAGACAGAGAATGTGGAAAATTTCCGCCCGAGCCTGCACAATCTTTAACATCTGTTTCACTATAATTTTGCTGAGCATTTTGGCATTGACATCTCGATCAAAGTGTTATGGGGCACCCGAGCCTCCATATTGTATGTTTTTTCCTGCCCTCCCTCTCAGTTTATCGTAAAGGCGGACATCTCGGTTCCTAATAACCCATCAATAGCACCATTATGGGAAGACGGAGCAGTCAAGTACGTGAACAAACGAATTAGGCCGATGAAAATTTTCCAGTCCGAGACCTCTGATGAGGTCGAACGGGCTTGGAACGCCACCCTCGGACGTGAGATTCCCTCCCCAGTACCTATAAAAAAATGTTAAAGGCATCGAGCAATGTCTAAGGGAAAAGATACACAAAACAGCGAGCGAAGGCGTTATAACCCTCCCGAAAGAATATACCTCGAAGCTTCCTCATACGCTGGAAGCCTGGTTTAAGCCAGGACACTATGTATATGGTGTTTCTGTGTTCCATCAACTTCACTGCCTAAACCGCATACGCAAAACGTTCTATGCGGATAAATTCTTTGCTCATGAGTCCGAAAAGGATATTCAATTTCATAAAAGTATAGTTCCATTCTAAATCATTCCCAACTTTCAGCTCTAATTAGTCGAGATATAATTACTTACTAACAATTAACTCCCTGATTCAGACCATTGTTTTGACCTACTTCGCCAAACAATTGCATGTAATGGCGACGTCTCTTTAGTTTCTTGGTGGAATAGGGATTTTACCTACAAAGACAGTGATGGCAAGAAGCAACTCACCCAAAAATACCTGTCAATGTCACCAAAAGAACGAGCGAAAGAAGCTGTTGTATTTTGGGATGTAAAGACAAGATGTCACGATTTAGATGCGATCACTGCATGGACGGAAAAGCACCGAGCAAAGTGACCGGATTCAAATGAAATTCCATAGATTACACTCACGTATATCTATATGTACCTAGACACCTATATATCGCACTGTATGTTCCTTCATTGAGGATTGCTAGCAAGGTATCTGTCTCCCTACCAATTTAAGGATGAAGGTGGAACACGTAAGAACACCAAGAAGTTGGATTTGAACAGGATTACGACTTAAAATCGCTTTGCAGAGAGTCGTGATTCGGGGTCTTTAGAGCTGATTCGCTGATGTGCTTTATTTCGTTTCATAAACTCTACTATTTTATCTATTAGTTTATTCGAAAGATCCCCAAAGGTATGTATTTGGAAACGGATCGTTGCAGCGTGCTAGTATCGCCCTTGGGGCCCGGGAAATGTGCTTGAACCGGCCCCACTAGCTCCGAATTGTCTTTCTGCTTCCTGCCTTCAAATCCTTGACATGAACACAGCTCCCGTCTCTGGTTCGTCATCGCCGGTAGCTAGCGTTTCGCCGATGAATCGAATGGCCTCTGTTATCATGGCTGGCGTTACTTCGTGGCCGGCCCCATCAAAAACAATATCTTCCAAGGAAACCCTACCCTCGGCAAACCAACCACCAGAAGCAATGGCTTTCTTCAACCAGGTTAAGAAAGGCTCGCCACGGCTATATGGTACCAGCTTGTCTGAGCCGCCCGACAAGTTCAGGATCTTCTTTCCAGCTAGACATCTCCTCATGATTGTCTTGAGTGCTTTTTGTTCAGCTTTTGTAGGTTCGCGCACAGTGCTAGGTTTTATTGGCTCCTTTAAACATGAATCGTCCATTTGGCTGAATAACAAGCCCGCCGGATCCCAGATCTTTACCATATCCACTAGGTTCTGCGGAAAATCTTTTGAGCCAAGGAATTGTGAACCCGGAGGACTACTGTCTTTCCATGAAGCCAATTTTGAAAGTCGAGCACGATCAGACATTAGGCTAACATAGTCTGGGCACCCAATGATGATGACAGCGGCTCTTATCCGTGGTTCGTGAAGTAGACAGTGCCATGCGGCGTGAGCGCCCAGGGAAACGCCGAGGACTAGACTGTTGGTAATGTGTCGATCAGCCTCTGGAAATACGTAGCTGCCGATAAAATCCATAATTTGCGAGACATCGCGAGCCGTGCCGTCTAGATCGCTATCATGTTAGTCTAAATATTCAATGCTAAGCCGTTTGTGGGCACGGGGTAACCTCGGGACCATGTTCAAGGCGGTTATAACGGATAGTCATCACTTGCGCAGGAAATGAGATACGGGGAATATTACGTACTGAAGATCGAGAACATGTCCTGCGCGTGATTCGGATTTCCCTGCCTCCAAGCCTCGTTCCGAAGTTTATCGACTTCTCGCGTCCCATGATTCCTCTGGTCGAAGCACACAGCAATTAGACCGTTGTCTTGTTCACTCGTGCTAACCTTCCCATTCTTCAATCTTTCATTCCAGTCTGCGACCGCAGAAGTTGCAATACCCTTCATGCTCTGCATTGTATTACCTCGCGGGTGCAGCACATATAAACAAGAAACATGCTTGCACTGCACCGGAAGCTCCTCGAGCCCATACACAGCGCATAAAATGCCACCGATAACGAACTCCTTCTTTGACACATTTGGGGAAGGTGTGGCATATGTCTTGACCATGGGGTCAATCGGGTTTGCCATGTTAATATCGATAGGCGCGAGGTTAATCAAGCACTCCGTAGGGAAGCAAGTTCTAAGTAGCCCAGGAATGTGATCCACAATTGAGGTCAAGCACTGAATGCAATAATAGGTATGTTGAAACAAAGCCTAAAGGCCACCAAGAACAAGTGGCAGCATACTTTGTAGAAATTCCATGGCTATTGTGTTTTTGCGTGATTTGTTGCCCTTATACACGGACTACCAAGGCAAGGACATCTTCTCCCAAAGCTCCGGCTCAGTGCTATGGCCGAGGTTATTGTTGGATAACTCCATACTTTTACAGAGCACAGAGTACAGAGTAGTTACAACTTAACTCAGTCATCAGTTAATTACTCTCTGTATGTCACAGAATAGTTAACTCCCTCCTTGAGAACTTAGTGAACAATCTAGTGGCTTTGCGGTGCTGTGTACTCTATAACTACCTGTGACCTGTACACGCGCGGAACACTCGGCATGTTCACGGGTACTCTGTTGAGTCCTGAGTCAATTAACTAGTTAGTTTAACTAACTACAGAGTAGTTACCTTCGTCAATTGTCCAACTTCCACATGACCAAATTCATTCAGCAATACTTCTGTTGCACATTCAGTGAACCTGGGGCTGCAACTACAATCTTTCAGCGAGGGAGGAGAGAAAATCCAAAAAAATACCTTAGCACTGCTCCCTTGGTCCTTCTTGTTGATAACCACCCCCTGATCCAGACATTCAGTTGACAATGAGAGCATCATCGCTGCTTGTGTGGGATCAAGTACCAGGTCCATCTACCAGAAAGGATGAAGGCAATTCCTTTGTGTTATACTTGATATATCCTTCTTTTATGTTTTAGGCAAGTTGATGATCGTCAGGTGACAATTAGGCTTCAGCTGTAAGTATAGCAAAGGTATTCTTAACTGGAAAGGGAACTCCTGGGTTCATTTTGACACTGTTTTCTCAGCGTGGGTCCTGGTTCTGCTACATCCACTCTTGAGTCTTGACAATGCCCTGGTTTTCATTGTGGGAAAGAAGGTCGCCTTTGCTTATCACTTTCCACAGACCTTACTGACACCAAAAGGTCCCGCTAACAAAAATTACAATTGTGCTTGTGTTTATCTCACTTTTTGTCTCCCCCTCACTTTATGTAATTCGTCTAGCCCTCTTCCTCACATATTCTCTCTCACATCTACCCTCTCCATCACTATATTCTTACAGGGGTAGCTCGCTTGTTGTTCTGGAATATTGGCGCATGGCTACCAAAGGACACATTTCCCTCGCCTACCCTGGCGATCTTACCGTTTCCGTGACACAATATGGCGGGGAGAAGGTCAATGGTGCCATCGAAATAGATGGACCTCGCATGGCCGGAGCCATTCTCGAACAGACCGTTTTATTTCGGGTTGAGAAGCTTAAGTTAATTGAAAATAGTGATTACTTTCAGAATATGTCCAACGGAGCATGGGCTGAGTCCCATGGTGATTCGATCTCTCTAAAAGAGGACAACATCAAGAGCATGGAACTCTGGTTCAGACTGTTCCACTCCACCCTCTCGCAAGTGCCAGATCATGAAGTCTCCATAGCCCAAGTGTGGCATATGATCGTGGCGGGCGACAAGTAAGACTTTGACCTAAAACAACTTCAATCTTGGTTTGGGGCTTGGTTCGACAAGAAAATACAGGGGCAAGAGCAAGATGAGGACCGTTGTGTCTACCGCCAGCTGCTATTACCTTGTTACGCTTTCAAATTTGCAAGGGGGTTTCAATTTCTTTCAAAACATCTTGTATACGGATTCCCGGATCACATCACGGAACTTTGCCCTATTGCGCACCGGTTATAGTTACTTACCACAAAAAATAATCCGTAAGTCCTCTCAGGTTTAATGACATTAAATTCGCTCAATTATTTCCCAAGAAATAGAGTTTACTAACGATGAAACCCCAGAACAACTCAATGAAGCCAAAGGTCGTCTGCGTAATATTCTCCGACGCGAGCTGTTCTCTCACATGAACCATATTATTGAAGAGGCTAGATGCGATTGTAAAGAGGGTACAGTGTTTAGGTATCTGCGCGAGCTTACTAGAATCTGTGTGTGGCCATTGGAAGACAATCTTTATAGAAATAGTATTGTCACCATCCTTGACCGGCTGGAAAACTTTCGAAATGCCAGTATGGAGCCGGAGAGTCGTCCTAGGGTGTCTAATGCCCATGCCGTGGATACCAAATCCAATTCTGCGCAGAGTCAAACACCAAAGAAGCGGACTGATCTCAACCGACGTTGTCTTTGTGTCCGTGATTGGAAAGTTGCTGTGATGCAAGCGCGAAGAAAGACGAGTGGGTATTTTGAGGGTTTATGCATTGACGGTATGAATGCAACGAAGAATCTCCGATGGGGCGACGATTCAGATTACTGGGGTGATAATCATGATGAGGGTTGTAGAATCCAACATGGGGAACCAACCTTCTTCTTTAGCTTCATGGGCCAGAGGAAAAATGGACATGCTTCGAGACGCTAACAGTGAAGAAATGTTTAATGCTAGAGACAATTTGCGCTCAAAGGCACTGTCAAGATTATGATTTACAACTTGAACCTGCATTTTGTTATTTGCATGCAATCTGGCGTAGGTGATTTCTTTCGATTAGGGTTAGCACACCTCAATGAGTTCTTTCTCGTTTATGGCCTCGATTCGAAAACCTCGGACAGATATTTTCGTAAGCCAGGGACATTACGGCCATTGAACCGGACATTATTCTGACCGTAGAGCAGATGGCGGCTCCGGATATGAAGAACCTCATGCACAAGATCTTGTAGAGCGCATTTCATTTGCCACTACTCCACATGTAAAAATACAAAGCGTCGGGTTCAAATGAAGAACAAGTGAGACTAATTACTTATGAATGTAGGGGAAAAGTTCCTGTTTAGAGGACGTAGCTAATAAATATGGAATGAACATCACCACAAAGCATAAACTCAAAAGAATTTTTATAAGAATGGTGATAGTAACTTTTGTCCAGGGGGGTTTCTTGTGGGCCAACACGACTGTGCACACATGTGCCAAGCATTGGGACGGTGATGATGCTCCTTTTTCTCCAAAGCGTGTCAGCACTCCAAACCTAAGCTTGGAACTCCTAAACATTCCTCAATTCATTCTTGCAATCCTGATGCACGGAATGCTCTAGTGGGATTGATCCTCTCCCTATCTCACCCGAATTGATAGCACCATGACCTGTGGACTGGTGTGAATTTATCGGAACCAAAACAATTTTAAATCACCAACACCCTGTGGCCCCGAACAACAACATGCCACAATAACCAGTGTCAGGTCGGCCACAACATCGGACTATAACAGCCCATTGAGACTATTGAAAATGACAGAGCCCCCGAACACTTCTACGGCGAATATAGTCCCTATTATTTCAGAACGCCCTTCCCCCGACGAAAATGCAGAGAGACTCGCCCCTGAGGGGAGTATCGCCCACGGCACCGAAAACGTACGGGGTATCCCAGGAATAAAGCCCAACGAACCACTTCTTAATGTCGACTCGAGAAGTCCACCCACCCTCGGGGAATCTGAAAGTAGAGCCAACGTCAAGACGGAATCGGCCTCGGTACAACCATCTAACAAGCCGATTAGCCACCATCCCCCTTCAATCGACGGCATGGCCACACCAAGACGTCGAAGCGTCCAATTTGCTAGAACAGGTACAGAGCGTGAAGCCCAGGATACTACTCAATCGAGAGCCTCATCGTTAGCAGCCCCAGATGATTGGGAGGTGTCGACACCGGATCGCCGTGGTCACTCGTTTCTTTCAAAACTGAGAGCTCTCGCTGCATACCCCTCGTTTCCGACCCATTCAAGATCGGCAAGCGGTGCTACGGTTGGAGGCGAGCCAAGTGATAGCAGATATGGGGGCGAATCTTCGGTGCCTTTGTCAGAGAGAGCGCAGTTTCGGTTTCCTAGAAGTGTGGAGGATGGTAGCGAGGCCGATGCTGATGGAGAATCAAGCTCAGAAGAGAATAAGACACGCAAAAAGCGAAAAATGAAATTTAGAGGACGGTTACCCGGAGACGCAGGCCCGCGTACTGAGCCTTCTTCTCCAAAGACCACCGAGCGGTCCCCATTGCCTGGTTCTAACTCATTTTCCCCGCCTGAAGATTATAATCCGAACCCGCTGGCTCGGCGAGCCACTATGTCATCTGTACAATACCATGGGCGGGAAGGTGTATCTGAAGATGAAGGCCGGGATAGGCTAAAACGGGACTCGATGTGGCGTCGCAGAAGTGGGTGGCTACAAAGTGCTCGTGGCCTAAGTTACGGTGGAACGCTTCGTCAGGAAGGGCGGAACTCTCAGGATGAAAGGAGACCTAGTAATCTACGACGACTCACCGGGTTTGGAAACCCATCAGAGGGTGCCGAGGGAATTGCTGCAGCCTGGAGAAGACACAAGGCTGAACGTGGAACTAGCCTCAGCGCCCAAAAATGGCGCCAGATCAAAGCAGGACTGAAAATGATCGGTCAAAGAAAGAAGCCTGAGCCCACCGTTGATCACGTAAAATCAGCAGAGCTTTTAGCAGAACTAACATCAGGCGTTCCTGCTGCTTTGCTCCTTGCAAGTATGTTTCAAAGAGACGAGCATGGGAGTAGACGCATACCCATACTCCTTGAGCAGTTAAAAGTTCGCATAACTGACAGCCATTTTGACTCCCATTCTGGTGATCGCCACTTGGTTTTTCGGATTGAGCTAGAATATGGTAGCGGAATGACGCGCATGAAATGGGTTATCAACAGAACACTCAAGGACTTTGCAAATCTACACATAAAGTACAAGCTTCAAATCGGCACCCAAAAGTACATTCATCTCAGAAGTCAGGATTCCGGGCATACTTTACCGCATTTCCCGAGAAGTGCTTTTCCATATCTGCGAGGGGTAAGGGGCCTGGATAGCGATGCTGAGGACGAGGAAGAAGATCCTGGCGATGACACGGCTGCCGATGCCACTAGTGGAAATGAAAGGCCATCGAAGAAGAAAAAGCGACGCTCCTCTTTTGCAATTTCTCGCCGGCAGTCAAGTCTTGCATCTCCACCAGATGGGAATGCTCCTGTCACTAATCTTGATGGCGTCGCAGACGCTACAGCTTCTGGTGCACCCAAAAGAGAGTCTTACCCCGAGAAGCAACGCAAGAAACTTGAAAACTACTTACAGAAGATGATTCGTTTCCTCATATTCCGCCCTGATAGTAATCGTCTTTGCAAATTTCTAGAACTGTCTGCGTTGGGAGTTCGGCTCGCCGCAGAAGGAAGCTATCATGGTAAGGAAGGCTTCCTGATAATTCAGTCTTCTAAAGGGTTGGACTTTAGAAGTGCATTAAATCCTTCCATGATAAAATCGCGACATTCACCAAAGTGGTTCCTGGTCCGGCATAGTTATGTTGTATGTGTGGATTCGCCTGAAGAAATGCACATATATGATGTCTTTTTAGTGGACCCTTTTTTCCAAATTCAGGCCAAAAAGGGACGCCTCAGAGACAAGAAGCCCAAAGAGATTGCTAAATCCGCGAAGGAATCTGCTGCCCATCCGCAGCACCATACACTTAAATTGCAAAATTCCGAACGCAAATTAAGACTTCTAGCTAGAAACGAACGCCAGCTTCACCAATTTGAGGATTCTATACGCTTTATGATCGAGAGTACACCTTGGTCCAAGCCCAATCGTTTCGACAGCTTCGCACCCGTTCGAACAAAGTGCTTCGCACAGTGGCTGGTTGACGGGCGTGATTACATGTGGGTGGTATCCCGTGCAATAAACCAAGCTAAGGATGTTATTTACATCCATGATTGGTGGCTAAGCCCGGAACTTTATATGCGGCGACCAGCTGCCATCAGCCAAAAATGGCGACTAGATCGCCTGCTTCAACGAAAGGCCCAAGAAGGAGTGAAAGTATTTGTTATCATGTATCGAAATATCAATTCTGCTATTCCTATTGATTCCGAGTACTCGAAATTCTCCCTTTTGGACCTACATCCGAATGTTTTCGTGCAGCGATCGCCGAATCAATTCAGACAGAATACGTTCTTTTGGGCCCATCATGAAAAACTATGCATTATTGACCACACGCTAGCCTTTATCGGAGGTATCGATCTTTGCTTCGGTCGATGGGACACTCCGCAACATTTACTTACTGATGATAAACTGACGGGCTTTGAGTTGACCGATGCTCCAAAGGATGCGGATCATTGTCAGCTGTGGCCCGGCAAGGACTATTCCAATCCGAGGGTGCAGGACTTCTATGACCTTGACAAGCCATACGAAGAAATGTATGATCGCGAAGTGGTACCGAGGATGCCCTGGCATGATATTGCCATGCACGTTGTTGGCCAGCCAGCTCGAGACTTGACTCGCCATTTTGTGCAGAGATGGAACTACATCCTTCGCCAACGGAAGCCAACAAGGCCGACTCCATTTTTATTACCACCACCAGACTTTAACCCCGCGGATTTAGAGGCACTTGGCTTAGATGGTAGCTGCGAAGTGCAAGTTTTACGATCAAGCAGTACGTGGTCAACCGGAACTCCCGAAGTTACAGAGCATAGTATTATGAACGCATATGTCAAAATGATTGAAAAATCTGAGCATTTCGTTTACATCGAAAACCAGTTTTTTGTGAGCAGTTGCGAAGTCGAGGGAAAGAAAATCGAAAACCTTATTGGAGACGCTCTAGTCGAGCGGATTGTCCGTGCCGCTAGAAATGAGGAGGATTGGCGTGCAGTTATATTGATTCCGCTAATGCCTGGTTTCCAGAATACCGTTGACACGGAAGGCGGCACCAGTGTTCGGTTGATCATGCAATGCCAGTATCGGAGTATATGCCGTGGCGAAACATCCATATTTGGCAGACTACGGGCTCAAGGTATCGAGCCTGAGGATTATATCCAATTTTTTAGTTTAAGATCTTGGGGTCGTATTGGACCAAGAAAACACTTTGTCACTGAACAGCTTTATATTCACGCAAAGTGCATGATCGTGGATGATCGAGTTGCGATAATCGGATCCGCTAATATTAATGAACGGTCTATGCTTGGTTCTAGGGATTCGGAATGCGCAGCAATCGTTCGGGATACGGATTTGATTTGGTCCACGATGGCTGGCAAAGCATATTTAGTTGGTCGCTTCCCGCATACTTTGCGAATGCGTTTAATGAGAGAACATCTCGGCGTCGATGTTGACGAAATTATGGAGCAAGAAATGGGAGGTGAAGTCGAGTCAAGAGAATCCCGACAGGAGAATAGTGACTCATGTGCGAGCGAAGGCCAACGGGACACTGATAATTGGGGCGAGAGGGAGGACGAAAGAGAAATATTGGAGCGAAGGCATCGGCTCCAAGATGAATTCCTTGCTCGATCAGAAGATATGCATAGTTTCAACCACGACGTTGACTGGGAGCAGGCGAACAATCCTAATCTTAAGTCAAACAGAAAACTTACGGCAGATGCTAGGGTCACCAGAAATCCTAGCCATCGAAAGGATCTGGAAGGCTTTGGGGTGGATCAGATGCAAATTCTGCATGAAGCTGGGCAAATTACTGGCCGAGACTCGTTCCTTGGGCAAGACAACGTTGAATATTTGAAGGAGGTAGATGTGAACGAGAAGCAAAGGCTGCAAAAAGATTCCAAACAGCGTAGCGACTCACGCCTGCCAACCCCATCCGAGCTAAACACGCAAGAAGAGGACCATCCATCCATTCTTGAAGCTGCCGACACTCCTGCTGATGTATTGAACCAGCAGCAGATGGCGTTTCATAATGACGATGCTGCATCTAACCAACCTACGCAAGCTAATCCATTGACGCAATCTAACAATTGCCATCTTATGTTACCCGCGTCCGCTCGTCCTATTATTGACAAGGACTGCATGAAGGACCCTCTTTGCGATGCCTTTTACCTCGATACTTGGCAGGCCATAGCAGAAAACAACACCAAAGTATTCCGCATGGTATTCCGATGCATGCCGGACAGCGAAGTCAAGTCGTGGAAGGAATACAAGGAATATACTGCCTACGCAGAACGATTCGCTGATATGCAGAATAATTACTTTTACGATGAAAATGCGCCACATCTGCAGCCCAGCGGCGGGTCCAAACTCCAGAGTGGCCCTCCAGGAGCGGGTGTTACTTCTACAGTGGGCAAGGTTGGGCACGACGTCGAAAAGATTGGTAGCGAGGCAAAACAAGTGGTCGCGAATCATTTATCAAACGAAGCCTCTGCTGAGGACAGCCTCAAACAATGGGCTGCTGAAGCCAATCGAGCCCAGATTGAACGGCAACAAGAGGAACTCGCCAAAGTAGAAACTTTGGGAGAGAAGGAAGCTTTGAAGGCCGTGGAGACGAAATCCTCTCAGTCCAGCGGAAATGTAGAACCGTCGGTGGCGTTTCCTGATGTCGATAAGGCATTAGAACGTCAGCGATCGGGCGCTCAGACAAATGGATACCCTGATGCACTCACCTTGAATGGTTCTCTATCTCAACGGCGGAGACGGAGAGGAACAACACGTAGTTCTAAGCGCGAGTTCCATGCATCGGACGATATCATCAGCATGCACGAGGCAGAAGAGTTGCTCGGCATGGTGCAAGGTCATTTGGTGTTGTGGCCGTACGAGTGGTGTGTACCCCTTTTCCCCCATAGATATATTCATACCTGACTGACGCCATATACAGGCTCGAGCGCGAAGAGCAAGGGGGTAATTGGCTATATACACTCGATCAAATCTCTCCTTTGGAAATATAGTAGGTTAACCTTTTCCTGTCATCCAAGTCTTTTTACTAACTACCATATAGTAACTAAAAACATTCATTCAAAACGCTCCCCTAAGTGGTATCTCATCCAGTTTTGCTCCACGACAGCGGACAGCGTATGATGATTCCTTTTTCCGGAGTGGATGAAGTTCATATAACTATGTTTTTAATAATACCCTTGTTTTCTTTTGTTCCTCCTCGACACCTCCATTGTCTTTTCATTCCAATACCAATTCAGAGCCTCAGCCTTTTATTTTCCTTTATCCATAATAATTCGGGAGCTTTTCCAGTATCCTGGTCACTACGTATCGAAATGTCGTGCGTGTCTGATTGAGCACATTCTTTATCTGTCTTGCAAGGATTTCCTACGTCTATGCATGCATGTATGTAAATACTGTACTCCGTACTATTGACTTTTAAGTTGAACAGCGAGAAGGCATAAAGGTAATATATTGTATCCGAGTTAACAAAAGACATATTTCTTCATTCAGGTTGAATTACGGAGGTATGTTGTCTCCAAATGCGGCTCAAAGCACTTGTTTTTCGACAAGCCGCTGAGGAGCCGAAAATAAGAACTCCGCCCACACGGAAAACGCAGTGGGGCGTGGACGATGGGGCAATGACAAATAATGTGGGTTGAGAGCGACACGCAAATGAGGAGCATCTCTTCTTTGGCGGAACAGGTGGTCCAAAGATTTCATGTGACGGACTCGATATTCCGAGATGCGGCGCAATGACATTCCCAAATTGAAGAAAAAGAGGGAGCTGGGTAGAGCTTCGTATCCAGTCTAGCAACGGTTCCCAATGGTCCAACGCAAAACTCATTCGCGCCAATCTCCACGGAGTATAAGTACTATTTCCAAAGACGGAATACAATATTTCACAACTCCAGAAAGCCCATCATGGGCGCGGCTTGATGGACTTTGATGAAGGATCCCGCAACTAGAGATACGGGGTAGAGGCGGTGGTGGTCCGGTGGACCAGTTATTTAACTACTTCGTACCCCGTGCTCCGTACAGAGTTAAAAAAGAAGGGGCTTGGCTCAGGGACCTGAAGAGCTGAACCCAAGGATCGCCTAGAAACTCTCCGCACTCAAACTTCTTACACGCCGTGGCAGGCTGTCTCTGTCGCAAGGCATCTTCCAGTCTTCAGGAGCAGCTCCAGATGATCTTCTCCTCTCTACTTTTTTCACCAACACTATACCCCACGCGTGATTTCGCGTTTGAGGACATGAGTCTCGTAGGGTGCGCGATTATAGCACCAGTAGTGGAGGACTCCTGTGCTTTGATCGGCCTGAGCCCCAGTTGAAGCGTCTCCGCTGAGACGGTTGGAGCTCGTATGCGGGACATTATCACCATGCCTTGGCAAAATGGTTCTCTGACGGCATGAGAGCGCGACTTTAAGAGGTAAACTGGGGCGCGCCGTTCAATTGATTAATACGGGCGGTATATATTCGTCCGTCATGTTCGATCATTTTTTGCAACGCTTCAGAGTGTATTTCCCCCCACGATCCTGAAGCTGGTCGCACACCGGCGATATGGCACGCATTGCCTTGGCTTTGATATTGGGCTTCCTGCTGAGAAGCAGCAACGCCCAGATCTTCGAAGAAGGATACTTACCTTTGACAGAGTCTAACATCACGGTTGTTGATGGGGCGCAGGGGCTCGGCTCTCCAATCTTGGATGGATCTGATCTGTTTGAAAATGCTATCAGTAAACGGCAGGTTCGCTGCCCACCGGGAACGAGTGAGTTGTGCGGCTGATTACCGCAAGTTAAAATAACTGCTATCAAAGATATGGAAATAAAATCTAATACTTGTTTATTCTTAAGGACTATGCGGTCGAATGTGCTGTCCAATTGGCAATACATGTGTAAGGTTTGATATCTTGTGTGACGGCTGGAACATCATTAACGAAGTCTAGTGTCCCGGATTTTGCTGTGATCCTGCCCATCCAGTATGTCAGCCGAATCGCTTTTGCTGCCCTCGTGGTATGAATGCGTGTGGACCATCAAACCCGACAAGGTGCAAGATCCCTAGTCATTTTTGCTGCCCAGCTCCGTCACGAACAAGTTGTCCGAGAGGAACAACGTGCTGCGGCAACGGCTGTTGCCGAAGTGGTTCAAAATGTTTCAACGGGAACACTTGCTGTGCGCCCTATGCTGTTGCATGCAACGGGTGGTGTATGTCGAAATTCCGGGAAATTCTTAAATATTCTTACTAAAATTCAATCTGGAAGGTTGCCCTAAGGGATCGCAATGCAGCGCCCAACGTGGATACTGCCTGAAAGACGGTGCGACCAAAAGCGGCTCTAAGCCGAGCGAGACAAAGGGGGGCGGCACGCCATCGAAGTCTCGCACGCAGAAGCCCACCAAATCGTCGAGCAAACCCACATTGACAAAACCAACAAAAACGAAACCGACTCTGACAAAGCCAACTTCCAAACCGACTAAGTCTACGAAACCAACGTCTCGGCCTTCGGACGAGCCTACGTTGACTGAGCCTGAGAAATCGTCGACGAGTCGTGAGCATTCAACTCGGACTAGACCAACCAAATCCGACGAAACACCCTCGAAGACTACGGAAGAGCCGACAAAATCCAACCCTTCGCGTACATCATCGGAGAGGTCTGAAACTACATCTGGGTGGACTTTGGCAAGCTCTTGACTGACTACTCTCTATAGCAAACAAACTGGGACTAGAACGTTTCCATCGATAACAAAGTCGGATAGTTCAACAGGACAGGGTTCATCATTGTCAGTAACAGGAACTGATGACCGGACTGAAACCCCTACAAGTACTGCCAGTGCTATCCCTACGCTTATCTTTAACTGGGCTCGTGACCTTACAGATGATGTACGTCACATGTTGTTCAAGCTCACATACTGCGTGCTAACTATAATAGCTTGTTGAGAATATGTGTCTAGGTGAGGATTGACTAAAGAAAGTATTTCCTGTGTTTCAGTTAACTAACTACTAAATCACCAAGGACTTCGAAAACGTAATGCACCAGTAAATGGGGAAATTCTAACTTATGCCGGCGCTAGAAGCCAGAACCGTCAGCAGACACAATGTAAAGGTGGAGATTGTTGCAAAGGTATGTCATAGACTCAACAGAATATGATCAAAAACTGAACTAGATATAGGCCAAACAAAGTCGCATGGCGCAAATAAAGGATTCCCACTTTCCTGCGATGAATACCCGTTTTCTTCAACGGTTGAAGGTGGTCCACATGCACATGTTGGATGTATTGTGGCCTTCCAGAATGGTGCACAGGGTGATTACCTTAAAGCTTTCTACCGAGATTATAAATTGAAGAAAGGTGATAAGTATTATATGAAAATCACAGGTATTGACTGCGATGTGGTTCATGAAGATGATATTCCTAAATGCAATCGCTTTGGGAAGCGTGATATCCTCGCAGATTCAAAGGGGATATTCTATCCACCAGATGCAGCCCGAAACACCGGAAGACTTGTGATCGCTCTAGGGGATGTGGAAGCTGGATCGTGAGTATTGTGTCTCTGCAATTACAGCTAAACCCAAAACCTTGGTCTCACTATGCTTATTTTAGGCATCGCGTCATGGTATCTTTTCCGAAGAATTCACAAATTACAAATGTTTTTGTGATAAACAACCAAGGTTATGAATATGCAGCGTAAGTGAAAGGGTGACAGGTAGTATTTCAGCCCAGAAGCTTATTGCTCTCTTAGGTCTTCGAAGCCAATATCCGAGACAACTTATCAGCTTTCCTTTCATTCAGAGGAGGCCATATACGGTGCCTCTTTCATTGCAGAGACAGAGGATTCTCACCTCGTTGCCTCTTCGTGGAAACACGAAAGGGGCCCTGCGCCCTCCACAGTTTCCCGACCTCCCAGCACTACGACGGTTACGACCATAGTTGATGGAACCACTCTCACTACAACTTACTGCCCCGAAACTACTGTTACCAGAATTCCTACACCGAGTGAGACCGTGATCACTACTATTATTGAAGGAAGCACGGTTACAACAACTGTGTGCCCCGAAACTGAAATAAACCAGACGGAAGCCGAGACAGCCCAGCCTTCACAGAAACAGACGAGCACACCCAGCGCCCCAGGAGATCCACCAAAGGACATCCCTCATAATCCTCCTGAAGACCTGCCCGAGCCTCCGCCAGAGCAATCCCATACGCAACCGCCTCTAGAATCCAATGGGCCAGAAAACCCGCCTGAAACGCCCCCATCACCTACAGCACCTACAACGCCACCTGTTTCTCCACCAGGCGATGAGCCAGAGGTTCCTGAAGGACCTGCAACGAGCGCTTCGGTCGAACCGCCCGCAGGCGACCAGTCAACTTCGCCGCCAATTGCGATCCAGACAACTAACGCAGGGAGGATTTTGACACTGAAGAGATGGCTCAATGGCGTAGTTTGCGCATTGGTTCCCTTCTTCGTGATGTGACGATCTTGGCAGCTCCGTTGAATGTAAATCCTCTTCACATGCCTTCCTATACCTTTGAATTAGCTCGTTAATTAACTAGTAATGATCCCGTGATTGGACTTAATCGCCAGTTCAAATCTGAATCACGATCAGCAGGCAGCCATTTCGAAGGCGGCACTGGTTTGACCTTGAACTCCGTATAACCACACATATAAAGAATCAGGGAAGGCGACGACAGTCTCGGAAAATTTGTCCCTACAGCTCCCCAATAAGTAGTTGATTAATGACCATCACCGTCAAAGCTTCGCCCCGAATGTTCCTGGGCAACAAAGTGAGCCATCATCAATACCCCTCGGAACATCTATAAACGCTTTTCCCAGCCTTGTCAATATCTCACAGGTCATTAAGAGCCACCTCCACACCAGGGTGCTTGCGCTGCCGGGAAGAAAAGCCCTCTAACCCAAATCTGGCGAAAGTTCAAACTTGCAGTTACATTGATCTTACCGAGTTTTGACGGGCTTATCCTGGCATACATACGCAACATGGATATTCTCCTTCCTGGGATTCTTGTCAGACTTGCAGAAGAATCTTCTTTTTCTCGATCTTCTTGGCTGGTGTTCGCTCATCAGAAATGTGCATCATAATTTCTCGGAAGCTTGTCTTGTCTGATCTTGTTCCCCGGAGAATGAGGCTGCATGGGTGGGAACCCCACAGTGATCCCGACGCTCTTCTGGGGAGATGCGAGTAAGATTAGAGGGGAGAAGAGAACGGTTCCATCTTCGCATGGAGGTGCTGTAGACCCGATCGTCGCAGGAATCAAAAGGGATATACGGAGGGGCATACGTGTGCAAGCGTGTCCTAACGCCCATGGAGGTTCTGAATGAGTCAAGCTTGATATCTTTCTGTCGTGGTGGTCAGCTCGACAATGTGAATGTATGTGTACCCCCAGCCGGGGCCCATGATGTCGTTACATCAAGTAAGAAGACAAGCCCGTCCTGTTCGATTCTCCCGTGGCCCGATGACGTTGCTATATTTAACTTCTACTTTTGGCCCCCAGTCGCCTTCAAATCCTTGACTGATCTGACCACCAATACATATACACGCCAAAGGCAGTGAGAGACAGTGAATCAGGTTTGTAATCTCATCGCCTTTCAAGAGCCTTGCCACGAACGGTATATCATCTGTTGTAAAGTAGTTACACGACTGAGGATGTCGTATTATGCCTATTAGTATGCATCCAAGGTATTGGCCATCAATGAAAACCCAAAAGAACCCAAGAACCAAAAGACCGCTAGCCAAAGGTATCAAAAAGGTAGCTCAAAACGTGTACGTGATAAAAAGTCCCTGCTTTTCCGCCCAGTATCATGCCTAAATGCCTGCGATGAATAAGATGTAGATTGTAACAATGGAGATCCAACCAAAGAAGAAAGAGAGAGACAAGCCTCCGACCAAAACCAAAATGGACGCCGATGAAGTGAAGGGGGGAAAAAAAATTAAAAACCTAAAATTAAAAAAAAAGACGGATACTGGGATATTACTTCATCCAAGCCCATACCCAGCGGAAGAATGTACGGAAATTTTCTGAAGTGAATCCATCATCAGGGAATTCAAGTCTTCCTTTTCTCTTCTCGCTTGTCACTTGTACCGCATTAGAGAGGTCATTCGATCGCTCTGGGCCCCAGTTATCAAATCTGAATCCGTGTTTTTTGATCTTGTATCCTATGATGAGTAGTATGTAAACGGGGAGCTGCGAAGGCATCGTTAACTTAGCGATCATAGAAACATAAGAATGAGGAAGGGAAGATGTATACTTACACCAATATACGCAGCAATGAATCCTTGAGGGTTGAAAGGTGTTTCTAAGAAGGATACGATGCCATTAAATAGAACGAGAATGACACAAGCAGTTAGACCAAACAGTGCCTTTAGCCACTGTCCATGAGACTTATAGGGGTATCTTGGATGATTCCGGTCATAGCAGGCCGCCTGTGCCTCCGAGGTATTACTGTAATCCTTAATATCTTGGAGCCTATGGACCCGTTAGCTGAGTTCGACAAAGGGCGATCCTTTGGAGTATATACGTTCTAAAGAAGCACAAATAGGTCCCGCAGATATTTGCATAAACAATTAAACATGAAACGGTACAATTTACTGCGAGTTCGCTCAGTCTCTGTTGATACGTTTATTAGTTGGACAATTCTCATGTCGGGTTACAGACGGTAAACACTTCGCGATGAGCGTACCTCTCCTGGGGCTCCAGTGGGGCCCATATATGCCACCAGCATCAACGCAGCAGTTACAAGGACAGTCCTTATCGGCACACCTGCATGGCACTGCCGTAATCTCTTCGTAATCCATTCGGGGCCGGTTTGGTCGCGTAATGCCAATGTATGCAAGACTCTGGATGCCACATACATCGAATTGATGGCGCAGGTAAACGCTGAAAATAAATACACGGCATTATAAAAGTTAGCCAAAGCAGGCATTCCTGCTTCAACGGCCGCTATGACAAATATCGTCTGCCCTCCAACTGACTGTGCTTTTCCATTCAGGAAGGGATGATCAAGAGGGACCGTGAACGAAGCAGTTATCATAGTTAAGGCGTAAAGCGTGATAATACGTAGTGATATCTTTCGCGTTGCCATTTTCATTGCTTCAGAGTCTGCCAGGGCCTTGCTTTCCGCGGCCGTCGCAGCGACAATATCCATACCAATGTAGGAGAAAATGACATTAGTAAGGGTTGTCCTAAAGACATACGGTCAATCAAAGTTCGTTGGATATATAGAGAAGATTCACAGCTCACCACATGCCGAGTAGAGACCCCATTGAACCGGTCATCATATGTACTGATCCATCCTCATTCTTGATCGGGAACTTACGGTTGAAAAAGCCGTACGGCTCGTCCCAGTCTATAGAAACCTATTAGCCTCCTGTGATGTTTTATACAGGAACGTGAATTCCTGAAACGTACATTTAGTTCCCAATGGTTTATCATAGTATGCATTCGGTCGAGCTGCGCCCTCTTAATATCAGTAACGCCCTTCACAGATTTGAAAAGAATGGGACTCACGTTGCATGGTGTCAATCACAACGCTCATTAAAATGAGGAAGGTAATAAAGGTAAGCTTTATGCTCCCAAAGATATACTCCAGTTGCCCAAAGACTTTAACAGGGAACATGTTGACCATGGTCACTATCACAAGCACAAGCGTAATCCAGACTGCTGAGTGGACATTCTCCCCAACCACCCAGCTAATGTACGTTCGCTTATCTTCGTAGTGGAATTTAATAGAATTCGTAGCCGCGACCAGTTGATCTGCAGCAAGTACAGCATATGCGAACCTAAACATGAATATTTCCGTTAAGCAATTGTCCCTTCACCAAATTCCGGAATAGCTTCCTCACCAATACATCCAACCGACGGCAAAACCGACGCCTCTGTCGACAAATCTTCGGGGAAATTCCATGACTGGGGCATTAACGGGCATCAATGCGGTCATTTCGCCTAGACAAGATATCACTGCTGATATAACGGCGCCCATAAGCAGGTAAGCGACAACGGCACCGCCTGGGCCCGCGCCAGCAAGGGATCGACCACTCCCGAGAAACAATCCTACGTGGATCTCAATCAATAAGACGTTCTTTCTGGAATATTCGCGGTGTCATACCATTTCCAATTGTGCTATTAGAAAAGGAGTGAGTGTCAGCATGCAGGTTGGAGCCTGTGGGTGTTGGCAACAGGAGTTTTCTGGCTTACCCTGAAAAAGTAATCATCTACATGGCGAAGATAGTGGGATCAGTTCCAAAGTTCGGATCTCCTGAAAAAAAAAAAAAAAAAAAAAATCCTATTGCCGATACTCACGTTAATCTGTCTTTCACCTAACACTCTCCTAAAAGCTGTCTCAGTGATGGTCGGGCATTTGTAGGCAGGGCCACGACTCTCTTACCAAACATTCTCTCCGACTCGCTCTCTCCCCGGCTCCGAATAGACAGGTTCCTCGAGAGACATTTCATTGCTCCCTGGAGACGGCTCTTCCGGAAAATCGTCCGGAGAGAATTTCTGATATTGCGGCCCCAAGCCGCGAGGCTTATCTTGAGCCATTCTGCTTGGAAGTGCAATGTAATGATTGCCCATAGATGGAGCGTTCACATTCTCCGGCGTGTCGTTCCAACAAGGCACGATCGCGTCAGATCACACACGGCCTTGATGGGATCAGGAACAAACCACAGAGAGGCTTTGTGGAACTGCACAGAGAATGCAAAGGAATAATTCTGAGATACGAGAGCATGGTGATTTCACCTGCGCATGGGGGACGTTTGCTTTTTCATTTCTCGCACACCAGACGAGGGCTGTGGCTCATGAAAAGCACTGACATGCCCCAGAGCAAGGAATAGGAACCAATCGCCATGGCGGGGAGGGTGGGCAGCCAGCGACGAGAGCGACAACGGGGGAGACAAGGAGTAACGCTTGGTCTGACTGACCCCCGCCCTTGCTGCTACACCGGGATATCGATTATTACACTGGAACCCGGAATTGTTCACTTAGTGCGGCGGCCTTGACCACAAGAGAGTTTGCCCAGACCATGAAGATCGCCCAGGGTTCTGCCGAACGGACGGATTACCCCGAGTCGAAAAAAGGACTGGCTGCAGGAAGGACGAGCCAGCTGACTGGGAAGGAATGAGAAGGAGTCCTCTCAGTGACACACACACACACACTCTCTCTCTCTCTCTCTCTCACACATGACCATACACACGAATCGAGAAACGGACCGGATGGTAATTAATGCTGATGATGGCGATGGGTGAAGATGCGGAACTGCGCCTTGGCAATGCCTCGTGGAGGAGGATCGTCAAACTTTGCAGCGCCTTGACGTGCGTTAGGCCGACGCTCCCTTGAGCGTTTCTGGCATTCTCAACTCTTACGCAGCATCTGACTACGAACGTCCAAACTCCAGGGGGGATACTTTCAATATGTGCTCCGTCCTCATTGTCTGTCTTCTCTCAATGACCCCATCGCCTGAGAGGAGTTGACGAGTCACTATCCTCGGGATTCCCAAGTCTGTCCCTTGGTCGGAAATCCTCAAGCCGGTAAGCCAGCACAAGGAGCAGATGAGGTCGGCTTAAATGTCAGTTCACCCTTTCTGTTGTACTACGGATAGGCGCTGGAATTTGAAATAATGATAATTATTATTTTGGGTTAAGTATCAGCACTTGACTCCATACTCCCTGCTGGCTAACTAAACAAATTGGGACTTAACCCTGCAATCACCGCTGCAAGCCGAAATCAATCCTGCCGTTCGCATTGTCGGCTATTGGTTGGGAGAAAGCAATGAATAGTCCAATTCGCTGTTTGATTGAGTAAGACAACCAAGTTGAACAACGTGTTCTGGGTTCTGGATTGTTATGTAGCCGTCATGTTTTACTCTCCCACACAACCGCTTAACTCTTGTGCGAAACTGATGCTGTGAACCCCCCCCCCCCCCCCCCCCCCCCCCCCGGCTCCCTTGCTGCGGAGGAGGACGCTTCTGACTGTCATGCTGTACCACATCCAAAGCCACGGGGATGGCTGTTGCTCGTCGTAGAACCGGATGTAATTCTGCAGTCCTCGTTTAATTTCGCAGTATTCGGCAATGTCGCAAGCGACGTCCCTCCAGGGGAGGCGATTGAGTCCCTTTTTTTTTCTTTTTCTTTTTTTTTTTTGGGTCAATTTTTTTCTTTCCCCTACAAACAAACAGCCTACAAGGAATGATTTTGTATGATTTTCTGTTCAGCTTCAAGAGGGCAAGCAGGCGGATAGACTTTGGCACTAATAATGACTTCGTTTCAAACGTGGCACAAACCTCAAGCCTCTGTCGTACCGGCCTTTTGAATAATACGAGATAATCGCACATCTTGCGCCATCACGCAAATCCAAACAGCCACAGCCCGGCTGCAGGAAACAGGCTAGAATGCGGCTCCGTCCCTTTTTCGCTTCCTGTGTCAACCGGGCACTGGGGTCTGAGAATCTGGATCAAGCAATTCTCGATATTTGGAAGAAGCCGATCTGCAGCCCGCAATCATTGGTGGGAAAAAGAAGCAGACGCGAGCAGCTCTTGCGACGTTACAAATCTCCACTTATTTCCAATCGATCCGCCAAGTACCCCGGGCACATCAGTGGAGAAGTGTGAGCCATGAAGGAAGCCTAACCTTACCGCCTCGCTGATAAAGGAGTGCCAGCGAGTCAAAAGTGAAGGGAAAAATATCCAAAACATACAGGCATTAAGCCCTTAATTATTTCAACGCAAACGCGCAAGGGAAGGAAAACACCCGGTCTGAAATGCCCAGACTTTTCCATCCTCTTGCTGTAAAATCTTCCCCAATACCACCAAAAAAAAAAAAAAAAAAAAAAAAAAAAAAAAAAAAAGAAGAGAGAGAGAGAGCATAATTGATCCATCGCTGTGTGTGGAGTCTGAACGTGTCCTCCGTAAAAGCCATTCGATCGCAAGGCACCAAAACAAAAGGTCGGTGTTGTGGGTAGTCACTTGCCTCCAGCCATGTTCTCATCCCATGTCCTTGGATGACGCCCACAAGCTGTGAAAGGGAATTTGGGAGTGGAAGAGAAGAAAAAGAATATTAAGCACGAGGGAGCAAAAAAAAAAAAAAGGTTCCTATGAGTTCCCTCGTCTCAGCAGACATCCTGTGATGGGCCCACTCGATCGATCTCCCACCCGCAATTTTAATGCCGTCAGTCCCATCGCTGCGAGCTCCGTCAGCTTGGAAGAGTTCAGAAGAGAAACTCATCCATCCCCTCTTGCTATCACTTCTCAACCATATTTCACCTATCGCATAGCCCTAGCCACTTTCCTCATATACCGGAGAGTCCGTCCGCCCCCGTGGGGCGGAAGGAGAAGCGTTAAGACGAGATCCCATTGCTTGCAATGGCCGCCGTCGGCTCCAAGGTCAGCCTCTTGGCAAACGTGTGGAAACTTTTGGGAATTCGGCACGATGTCGACGATATCATCCTAGAGCTTCTCGGTCGTTTCTCCTTGGAAAAGGTCTACTCCGAATGCGATCCTCAGACATATCAGCGCCTTGTCATTGCCCTGTTGGCCCGCCTCAATGCCATCTACTCCCTTCAACGCCTATCTTTACCCTCTGAAAGCGAGCAGGCCGGCCAGTATCTGGGCTTTTTGGCAAGTTGGGAAGTCGTCGTACGCTCTGTCGAATTCATCCTGCAAATAATAATCGAAGGGCGGGACAGCTTCTGGGAGGCACGGCCTCTACGAGACAAGTATCTTGCTGAACTGCTGTGCGTCGCATTACGAATATTGATTCTACACCCAAAGCCACCTGGGGGCCACCGGGTTAAAGAGCGCAAAGATCGGTTTGCACGCATCCACGGCTCGCTAGAAAAATTATTCGACAACTATCCCGATCCTAAGTCATTCCTCCTCTGCACCTGCAAAGCCATCACCGACGTCTTGCGTAACGACCCCAATGCCCTTCCGCTGCCCTCCAAGTTACGCTCAGAGCTACCCAATTTGACAACGCAATTGGTGCGTCCAAAACCAATATTTCTTGAATCCCAATCCCATCCCCTTTGGTTACATGGCGGATATTCGGACTGACCGTTGATCTCGGCTGATGAGGAACTTTTAGTATCCCTTGCCGGAATGTCTATCACCTGGTTATGTTTCTACTCTTGTCGAGAACGAAGAGGCCTCGGAGCAATGGCTGGCCCAGTTTCTTGCCCTCAGGGATGTATCACATTTCGTGGTGGGCGCTTTCATCCAATACATCGTGGATGAAGAGACCTCCGACGCTGACCTTCAAGCGTCTTGCGCAAACTCTCGGAATGCAGTTTTAGTTTCGCTGGACAGCTTTCGAATACCTCAGAGTCTCTCCAAATTGGAGATGATAGAAACCTTTAGTGAAATTTTCCGGCTCATTCTACCGGATACCCCAAATGTAAGCATTGAAGATGCATCGAAATTAATGTTCGACGAAGAGGCAACAGATGCGATTCATGCCTTTTGTCTTTCCCTTAATGACCGCCAAGTGGTCCACCGTGTGAGCGATGCTCACTTGATGAATGCTATGGCAAGTATACTTGACAACGTCGCGCTTTTCGTTGAACCTGGTCCGCGACCTCGATCGGCCTACCATAGAGCGTATGCGTTGAATTGTCCCTCTTGCCATTTTGTCGAACATTTTCAGTTCACAGATGCAAACAACTTGAAAATTCCGGTATGCTCTCGCGTCGCATCGTCCAGCAACTCCTATTTTTGAGGAGTCACAAGGAGGCCGTATCCGCCAAGTTAATACTAATTATAATTTATAGGACCCATCTGAAGTCCCAATGATCAAGCTTCCGGAAGGCACAAAGTGTGTTCAATGCGGTGAAGCGGTTACTGTTGCGCGGGAGATCTCACTCGTTTGGCAGGCCTGGGATGCCTTAAAACTAGTGGAATGCAACGCCGACACTATTGGTGTAGAAAGGCACTTGCCTACTCAGTTTCAACTCTTACCTAAAGCCGGGACCTGCGTGCCGGCGCAAACGGCCGCCGGTAATCACGCTGACATCGGAGTTCCCACTTTGCATGAACCAAAGCTTCCCGGGCCATATACACCTCATGCAGAATATACCGGCTTCTCAAGCGCGGGGCCTTCAGATAAACCCCATTTTTATTCTCCTGATCTCGTATCTCCAATCTCCCCTGACCAACGGCACAGATATGATTCGCCATTCAGTGAATTCGCCAGACCGGAGTTCCAGTCTTCGATGAATGACACAATCCATAATAGCAGCCTGCAAATTTCTCCAAATGAGAGGATCTTGAATAGCCCAGTCGAAGGGACCCTCCCTCCATTTGGCACAGACTTCTCAACGAACCACATTGAACGCGCGAACTCAAGGGCATCTTTTCAACCCATACCACTTTCACGGACACGTACCATTTTAACTTCAGATAAGAAAGGTAAGTGGATGTCGAAAAGAAGAAAGGATCCGCCTGCCTCGTCAGTTGGTGATACGAGCTCCTTATCCTCTGGGACTTTAGAACGCCAGAAAATGGAAGAAATTTCACTCAAGGATTTGATCAGTTTATCCAAAGTGCATGGGAGAGGCAAGGGGTCAAAAAACATAAATGTGTACCTCTCTCAGAATTCAACGTATGCTCTTTTCTGGATGCAACCATCGATACACATTTGGGACGTGGGCATGTCCCCGCCCACACCCGTCCGAGCAATCTCAACAGAGAGCTCTTGTCTGATGGCTGCTGTGACGAAAACATACTTAGCATATGTCATTGGAACTCGTGACCAAAAACTCACGGTGAGAACGGTTACGGCCAAGTAATCAAGCTACCATCCCAAGCTAACTCATAGTTTTGTAGCTGCGAATTGTAAATCTCGTCCAGCCCACGGCATTGGTGCTTGAGTATCGTATGCCGTCGACGTTATGGTGCCGCAGCATTGCAATGAGTCCCAAAGAAAACTATGTCGTTATCGGATTCGAGAACGCCACAGTCCGATTCTTCAGAACCACCAATACCGAGCAGCCCAGAGAGTTCCGCCTTCATCCATATCACAAACAATGCAGAGGCTGCCCATCTGTGGACACGTTGTCTTTCTCTCACGACGGTATTGTCCTCCTTGCAAGTACGAGAAATCCAAAGATGGGTATGATCCAGACATATATGTGGTCATTTCCCTTCTTAGAATTTCGGGAGCTCGTAAAATGCCGATATTACGTACCTTTGCACGAGTCAGAAGACAACGGAGTGTC